ACATCAACAACCACTGCGGGACCACCCCCTAAGCCAGTCCAGTCTTTCCAGGGTCCCTAAGCCCCAGGAGTATTTTGAGTCTTGCCTTCTTAAGAACATCACTTTACCCTGGGAATAATCCCTAGGAATGCCCTGGCTAAAACAAGGGCATTGAGATCTGCCTGCAGAATGACAATCATGTGCAGCAGAAATAAATCTGCTCTGATCTGGTAAATGTGGTGTAGCACACCCACTGCACGAGCCCCTTGTAGGACCCTCACAGCGCAAGCCAGGGCTGCAGGTCTCGTCCCAGGATCCCAGGCTCTGGCACTCAGGTTTCTTGTCACTCCACACACGCTCRTCCCGTTTATACCTGTTGAGCCAACAGCTCCCTGGCAAAGTCTCCTTGGCAACAGGTTCCTTTGGCTCTCTCAAAGGTCTGGAAGAAAAAAATATCAGAGACAAAAGCTCTTCTCATCATCCCCCAGAAAACAAACACCTTCAGTCCTGGGAAGGGCTCCAACAGGGGTCTGCTGACTGGGAAAGATGGTCCTGTATCCTGAAGGTGGGTCAAGCTGTGTGCAGAGCAGCCCCTGACTGTGTCACACAAGGCACCAAGCACCATCTAACCCAGAGGCCAGGCAACGGGGTCTGCACCTCAAAACGCGTGCTTGGGAAAACACCATCCTCGCAGAGAACTTCTGAGTGCTGCAAAGAGCAGAGCATCCTTGTGTGGGTTACTTTAAGATGACCCAAAGCTCCAAGAGGAAGTAAGTTCTACTGAGGACCTGGAAGGAGAGAAATAAAGCACTCGGAAAGATGTGTTTATCTAGGCAGCAAGTCAGTAATCTTGCTGAATTAGGCCAGGACATCTCCTCTTTCCTTTAGACATCTTATCTTTTCAACTTTAGACTCTTATCTTTTGGCCACCTGGGTCTCATACATAAGTTCTTAAGCCACACTGTGGTGGGTTTGGTGGGTTTCTCCCTCTCCTGGCCTTGGAATGGTTTGGTTTGATTACCCGGACCAAAAGACACATCTCATGCTCTATAACCAYAGACAGCTTCCCTTGGTTCACAGATGGTTTCAAACCACAGTGGACAGCAGCAGCATTTTCTCTGCATAAAGATGCCGTGTCTTCGGGAAGCTGGAGAGGTGAATTTGGGCAGCGATCCCTCCTCCACCCGAGCAGCAGGAGCTTTACCAGCTAACCCATCTCCATGCAGTTAAGCGATGCTCACACACTCCTCMCGTCAAGCCTTGTGGGCCCCTTGCAGCAGGGACAGGAGAAATGCTTCTCACCAGCTCAGCCTCCTCATCCTCTTCTGAGCTTGGACCCCAGGGCAGCCCTGCTCCAGAGGAGGCAGCAAGGCAAAATATCTCTCATCCTTGTCCACATCCCTCAAGCTCTGCATGTTCCTGGGCCCCAAAGAGACAAGGAAACCTCCTTAGCTTGTTCCCCAGAAGCTGCTCCCGAGACAAGGAAGCTGAAGACAGGGAGCTCTGACGTTCCTAACACAAAAGTGCTTCATCTCCATGCTCATTTTGTGCTTCACAGCACTGAGACTTGAAAGACACTCACTTCTTTAAGAAATACTTGGGAATTAGTGAGATAAGAGATCAGCTTTAGGCAACACTTCAGTGACAACACTCAACGGGACCCCAGTCTTYAGCACGTATGCATGTGTATAATATAAAAATTCTCTCCTGCTCTCTGCATATAGAGAAATGTTGATGCAGGGAATTAAAATCAAGCTGTGCTTTCTGCTTTCATTTTTAATGGGACTGCTCGTGGCTCCAAGGAGAGAGCTCTCAGCCCCCAGAATAGCAGAACCGGGTGCAGAGAGCAATTGTCTTCTGCCAAAGACAAATAAAGTAAAAGGAAAGCAAAGGCGCTAGAAGATGATGAATGGTTCACCTTCCTGGGCTGCAGGAGCCTCTTCATTAACCGCTTCACTGCCTTTTTTCCTTTTTTTTTTATTTTATTTTTTTTTCCTTCTCTCCCTGGCTCTATGTACGCGCCGCTCTCGGTGTCCGTGTGTCGCCTGCCCATGGGCATGTGCCCCCACTTTGGTCTCCTTCATCTTTCCCACCCTGGGATGTGACGTTAAATGAGACAAGAGGATGATTTTACCATCTTTGCCAGGGATTTACGTGCCCTGAGGAGCAGAGGACACAGCAGGCCTGGTGCTGCGTGCAGAAAGCTGGACCTGGAGGTGCAGAGGGACAGTGGTGGCCTGGCAATGTCACCAAGTGCTGCACCCTGTAGGACAGGGCCTACCTACAGGGCCAGGACATGCAAGGACATGCACAGCTCTACCTACAAACTTGGTGTCCCTCCAAACCCAGCGAGCAGGGCTCCCAGGGGGACACTGTGGTCCTTGCTTCCAGACTCAAGGARATGCCCTAGTTTGCTCCAGAAAAGTCCCCAAATTCTGCACATCTCCTGAAAGCCACTTGAGCCTTGGGGACCCTCCCCTTCCATCACCCTGCCCTTCATCCACAGCCCTGGTGAGGGGTTACCTGCTCACCTGGTAACCCCTGCAGAGCCCAGGCACATCAGAAGCCCCAGGGTGGATCCAGGTGTCCCTTCACATCCTGGAGAGCTCAGGCCTTTCTCGGGGTCAGGATTTGGCCTCTTGCTGCAGCTCCCACATCTCACGGTAACTGGGCAGGACAGGACAGGGCTGGGACAGCAGAAGAAACCACATTTCACAAGCAGGGGTCCTAAGGCAGAGTCAGCCTCAAGACAGAAACTAGAAGTTTGTCGTAGTTCCTTCACCACTACCAGAGCAAGCTGCATCCTGCCACAGCTCATTCCCTATAGTCAGCTGCCTGATTCCCAGGTTCCTTGGTTCAAACAAGTCCATCATGTTAAAAGAAAGTCTGGGAGATATTAAAATACCCCMCACACACTCCTACACCCCCTTATCAGGAAGGGTGAAAGTATCCCGAAAGCCCAAAGGCCCCAGCTAATTTCAGAGCAGCTGGATCACCAGCTCCAAGCTCTGCTGCTTGGAAAACGCCTGGTGCACTGGGACCTCTTGGAAGTCTTGGAAAGAATCTTAATGGAGACGAGACACCAGCAAGGGAACAGCAGCTAGGCAGAGAAAAAGACACTGCTGGAGATGACTCACTCAATCACCCCAGCTTAATTTGTCTTCCATTACACAGGACGTAGACTATCTCAAAGCTGGAGCAAGAGGGAATCCCCATAAACTGGGTAAACGCTAGAAAAAACGTTTGTACTGCTGGGATTGCTTCCCGCAGCAGTGTGGGCGCTCCAGCACTAGAAGGTCCAAGAACATTTGGGCAATTATAGCGAGACAGAGCAAAGAGCTTAAACTGAGTCTCCATTAGGGATGAGGTTGAAACCTGCTGGGACCTTGGCTTGCTCCGTATGTTCTACCTTTCTTCTGAAAGGTCTGGATCTGGCTGCTGCTGGAAATGGGGTATCAGACTACAGGGACCAAAGGGATGGGCCCATCCTGTATTTCAAATCCTGACTGGGAATAAAGGGCATAAAAATTCCCTGAATTTCATGCTGATGCTTTCCCTGAGGGAGACGGGAGATTTTTGTGTTTCTCACATTGGTCGCACAMACTCTTCCATGTGGCAACTACAAATACCACCAAATAACAAGAAACCCTCATACTAAAGGACTGTTCAAAGCAGCAAATAAGCAGTAGCCCGAGTCTCTCGGGCTCAGGCCTGGCTCAAGAGCTCCCCAGAGATGGAAGGTTTACACCTCYGTAATCACGGACTCGGGTTGTCCCCAGACCTCCAAGCCTTTGGGAGACTCCAAGACGTTTGGGCAGCAGATGGGATGGCTGCACATCTCAATGCCCCAGGTTTTCAGGGAAACGACTGAGCCAGAACCAACACAGCAGGAGCCTTCACCTGTCCCCTTCACAGAGCACAGGCTCCCCTGCCCAGGAAGGAGCCTTTGATGTGGAGAAGGTGCTGCAGAGAACGGCTGTGATCTTTTAATTCTCCACCACGATTTTCCAAAGGTACCCAAACTGCAGGACCTTTCTATTAAGGGGAGAATTTCATTTGAGCAACCTTCATGCTCAGCTAGCCAGCCCAGGATCTCAGCAGCTTTCATGACCAGCTCATGCCTGTAATGGGATTGCAGATGCTGAGGTGGGCAAGGAAAGAGCAAGAAAAGCTCTTCAAGAAAAGCTAGAAAAGCAGCAGTTCAGAGAGAAGGCTGAACACCAGCTTTGATGGCTATCTGCTGCCATCTAGTGTTATCTGAACTCTCAAAAACCTTCCCTGAAATCATGAGTTTTACTAAACAAGTCCGACCCACGGAGCACAGGCCACATCTGCATCCGTAGGTGCATCAGGATGGATGTGCTTGTAGTTCAAGGCCAGAGGATGTGGSTTGGTCCACTCGCATGGATTTGTCCCGAAGGGCTGTACTCAGCACTAACGATCTACCTGAGTATTTGCCTGGTTATTCCACACTACAGWGCAGCTTTTCTGCCTCAAAAAATAGTCCACTGGTGCATGTAAGGAGATCTCCCAGGAACAGATCTGTGCAAGACCCCCAGAGAAATGGAAATGGGGGTTTCCATGAACTCCTTTCCAGCCTAAATRGCTAAAATCCAGCCCATCTAAGACGCATGAATTCACCCCAGAATAATGYGCATGCTTTGCAGCTCTGAAGAAACCCCTGCACTGTTTCCTGAGGGTCATCCCTGGGCCTCTATCACAGCAACTTTACTAAGGCTGGAGGTGTTTCAGAAAGCTTTATCCTAGGCCAAATGGGATCTAACACAGTTTACACACTTTTGGACCAAACAAACCCAGTTTTAAGGGCTAAGAGAGGGATTTCTGGGGTGTCTGCTTACACTTGTGCGTTGGAGGACATGGAGCTCTTGGTGTCTAAAGGCTTTGGGATCTTCTGAGCAACAAAAGAGCTCAAGCAACAAGAGACAGTACAAAGCCATTGTTGTCATTTCAGACCCTGACGGAGACGCACATCAAGTCATAGGAAAGTGGCACGGTACAGCCCTGTGCAGGTCAACAGCACCTTTGATCTGAGGATTGCAAAGCCCTTTCAAGACACCAGTTTGTTAAACCTCACAACACCCCTGTGAGGTAGGTAGTACCCCCCCATTTTACAGATGGGGGAACTGAGGCACAGAGAAATGCAACGGCTTGGTCAAGGCCATCAGGAAAGCCAACGGCACGAGCAGGACGTCCTCCTGCTCTTGTTCCTGGCTTGTGGCTCCTTCTCCTTTTGGACAGCAGAGTGTTAGCAGCTCACAAAGCTACTGCTGGGCTTGTCCCAGGAGCGGGGGACATACAATGTTTCTGGAGGGCTCCTGAGCCCTTCAAAAGCAGCCTGGTAACCAGCCACCACCAGCACTGCAGACGTTAAACCATTACCCAGGTGGATGCTCCTTGCAGGTACAGTCCCAGGATTCCACCACGCTCTTCTTTTTCAGTTACAAAGGAGTCTGAGGGGCTCCTGAGAACTTGGCCCTTTGTGCAGAAGACCCAGCACCATCTAACACAGTTCGAACTGGAAACCACTTCTTTTCTCTCATTGCAAACAGCTCCAAAAACAATGCCCAGCATTGAAGTCTGGTGGCAGCAGGTGGTAGAGGATCTCACCAGGACTGGAGGAGAAGGAGGAGGTAGCTAGTAGGATATTACATGGCTCCTGCTGGCACTGTCATCATCTTTTCTTTTTCTTTTTTCTGTCAATGTTGGAGGTTCACTTGACCCCAAGTCACCCCATCCCAGTTCAAGTGCAACATCGATAAGGAACCAAGGCTGGAGGATAAACTGGCAAGGAAGCAACGCCAGGAATGGTGGTGGGGCCTCCACTGTGGTAACACCAGCACCAGTCCACCCCAACCCTTATTTGCATCATGGTACCAATTTCCCTTCTCCTCCCCTCCCTAACCCCCCACTACTGTTTTTGTGCTGAATACACAGATAGTCTTATAAAAATAGTCCTCTGGTATCAAAATAGAAACAAAACAAGAGAGGAACGAAAGACCCCTGTCGCCAGCAGCAGTGCAAATCAGGAGAGCCAGCTCAGGAAGGATAGATTTAGGATGTCCTTGGTTTGTCATTTCTTCAAAGAGAATGAGGCTGATTGGACTTTGATGGTTGGGACTGGCCTAGAAGCAAAAAGAGTAAGAAAATAACCTATAATGAGTATAAACAGACCAGGTATCCACCATGCATAGTACGATCATCTTTCCACAGCTCAAGGACTGCAGACAAGCATCTATCCCTCAGAGCAGAGGAGATGCAACCAAGGTTGCCCCAGGTCACTCCAGCATCACACTGACAGCCTACTTGGATTACTTGGTGCTAGGCTCCAAACCCATACCTTCCTGCTTCCCTTATTTCCCTTTTCCAGGCAGTAAAATAAATAACACTGATCTCAGCCTCGTGTTTAGCCAGATGTCATCTCCCCCAGAGCAATCCCATTCCTGGCATAGGCAATGTCCTGCGTGGGGTCTGGGACTCACCTTTGAGGAGGCATTGACCTGCAGAAAGGAAAGACAAACAAGGTGTCACCAACCATTCCTTCACTCATCTCCCAAACATCTGACTCCACAAGCCCTGAAGGTCATTACCTGACCTTGATCATACTACCTACAGCCCCTCAGATCCCCCGGACCCTCAGACATAGGTCCCCAAAGCTTCATGCAAGGACCACCATCCACCGAGCCTTAAAGGCCTTTTTCTCAGTTCTCTTGGACTTGGTGGACTTTGATGTCCTCTGTAGCCCTGGCAGCAGGGCACAGCCCAGCACACCCCAGAGCCCAGATCATTCCTCTTGCTCCTCGGCAGCCCAGCCTGGGCACATCAGCCATATCAGAGAGGAGCAGAAGCTCAGGTAACCCTGCAGATACCACAGGCTGAGGGAACAAGGGACAGAGCACTGCATCCAGATGGGATTTAGGACATCCCAAACACACAAGATACAACCACAACACCCCCAACACCATCTGCCTGCAGAACCCCAGCCACAGTGGGGGTTAACACCTCAACTTACTTGAGTGGCCTCGTGGAGTGGCTCGCGGTGCTCGTGCCCGATGCCTTGAAGTTGGTAGGAGGGACCATGACCAGGAGGGTCTTTCCACGTGCAGGAGGCAGCTCTTTGGCCACGAGTGGACATCCAGGCAGCGGCCGACGGGGAGGCTGGTGCTTTGGGACAACCTGGGATCGTAAAGTGCGTTGGGGAGAGATCATCCTCAGAGAAACATCCAATAACCTCCTACAACCCTCTCCCTCCTGACACATGGCTGGAATGTTTCAAAGCATAAAACAACACACCGTCAACTCCTAAACTACCTTAACACACTAATGGATTTTCTTCACTATTGCAATGGACTCAGGGTAGCATGACAGCTCCTCAATAATGCCCAACAACTCCACGGAAGACCCATGGGCTCTCACATCTCTAAGGTTCCCAGAGGCAAGGCTGGGGTGGGATGCACACTTTCTGTGCACAAAGAAGCCCTCATCACTGTAGGGCCATAAGCCACCAAATGCTGTCATCTAAAAGGACATCCCACCCAGGACAGCTGGAAAGAAAAAAAACAGGCTCCTGGTGCTGAAGCTAAAACAAAAATCAGAAACAGGCCAGAGCATCCTCTGCTGTTATGTGGCGCATCCGAGTACCAAGAGGCAAGCTGTGCTGGCTGCGTGTTTAATTGCCCTGCATTTGTGGCAAGCTGTTATTCTGCAGGAGACTGGTGGCAGCCAAAACCAAGTCCTCCGAGCCCAGCGGGGACAGGGCCAGGCAGCAACGCTCACCAGTGGGGTCCTCACAGGACTGCAAGGAAGGGGTTTCTTCGGAGGCGGCAGCTTGGCGTGAGACACGACCGCTCTGGTAGGGATGGCAGGAGATTTGCTGGCCGGAGGAGGTGGCCTGGCGGGCTTGTGGTCTCTGGGAGCCTGAGGGATGGAGTGCGGAGGCGGGCGAAGCGGGTGGACGATGTTGACGGGCTGGGAGCCGTTCTGGTGAGGCCTGGGCTTGTGGGGGAACGTGGCCTGCACTGCCTGTGGGAACAAGAAACGCAAAAGCACAGGGAAAAACATTAGGTGAGTTTTCCTGGGTGCTGGAAAGAAGCTCCTTCACGGTCTGGGCACTAGAGAGTCACAGGAGGAGGACAGGACCTTTACTCCACTTCTGGGACTGACCTTTCACCATCCTGTCTCACAGAAGTGGCTCATCCTGTCCCAAAGTGAACCTAGTTTCTTTACACAGAGAAAAGCGAGGCACTAGGGGAGGGCTCAGGAGATGGAGAGCAGGAACAGCTCTGGTTAAACCATTCCAGATTTCCACCACATTGACCAGTTGCTGCAATGGGAGAAGTCACTCTTTCTGCCTTACCCTTGGCCACTGCAATTACACTCAAAAAAAGAAAAATAAATGCTCTCTCTTCCTAAATTCTGCTCTCTGTTTATCTATCCCAAGGCTGCCAGAGCTGTAACAACCAAGAGCAAACCATCTGCCTTCCTGGAGACTCAACAAAAAGCTTTCAGTCAGATCACAGGGTCCCTGCTAAGCTTTGCCATGGGGACGTGGCAATTTCCCTGCAGGGGCTCCTGGCAGAGCAGCAACCTGCCCTTCCCCACGGTCCTTCTGAGCAGGCAGAGCTCAGAAGACTCCCCTTAGGCAGGGCAGGTGTCGGCACGTGCACTACAGCCCGAAGCCAGAACTGAAGGTGACACTGTAAGGGGCTCTGCGCTTCATTTGGAAGCACGTGGGATTTGTCTGTCCTGAATTACAAACACCTGGGAGCAAACTCAGCCACACTGCATGTGCAGAGCCAGGCACGTCCACAGCGCAGCTCGGAGCCTGCGAGCAGTGCAGCTGGCATCAACACTGCCCAGATCCTGCCTTGGAAAAGCCGCTTATCCAGGCCCAGCACAGCACCCTGCTCAGCAGGGCCACCTCTGAAACACAGCCCRGGGTCCAGGTTGCCATGTCACCCTTGTAGTCACAACCCAATGGAAATCCAAGTGAAAAATGTCCTTTGACCAAAATGCTGCCCAAATAGCTGAATTCTGCGCATCACAGGTGGCTGCAGGTTCATAGCTCCATACAGACACACCCAACTCGGAGACCTTTATGCCCAACATGAAGCTTCGGAGYCTCTGTCACCCTGAAAGCCACCAGCAACGCGGATTTTGTCCCCGAGCTGCAGTCACAGATGTGGTGACCCTAGGGCCACATGGCCTGAAAGGCTCTCCTTAAAGCAGAGACATGTGCAAAGCAGAACGCTGCTAGCTCAGTTGCTAGAGATGAGATCAAGCACAGCTATCAGTGCACAAGAGGCAAAGCAAGTGTGGAGGGGCAGTTATCACTTACTTTATTAGCTATCACTTACTTTATTAGTGTGGCTGGAGGTGGAAATGTCCCGTAAGGTGAAAGCAGCTTTGGAATGAGCACTGTTTGCCTTCCGCCCGGCGCCTTTGTTCCTGCCCAGGATCACAAACACAAACCACAGATGATAAAATAAAGCAACTCTCTCTCTACCACTGCCTCCCCAGCAAGTGCTCTTCAGAGATACCGTGTCTCCATTAATGATCAGCCAAATATCTTGCAGTGCTAGGTTGGTGAGAGCTGTAATTTACTTTAAAATAATGAGAGTACCCTGGCATTTTTGAAGTTGCTTGTGACAAAGAGGGGCTCGTTTGGTTCAGAGCCTTTTTCTCAAATGTTTGCAGGAGCTTTGAGATAGATCTGCCTGTGCTGGGGAGACAGGGGTTGGGGGGAAGGAAATAATGAGAATATTTATTAAATGCAGAGCTAGTCCAGCACTCGCAGTCTGCTAGGAATGGATAGTAAGCTAGCTCCTCAGCACCAGGCCACTTTAACCATCTCTCTGGGGTCACGCTGGCTCTGACAGATCATTCCTGTCCCCTGCTCATGACAAGAACTGAAAGCTTCAAACCATCGCTGGGAAAACCTCTTTTGATCTCAAGCCATGTCTAAGCTCCTCCCTACACACTCCGGACGTCAGCAAGTAACCAATTCTGTCAGATTTGTTAGTGCTCAGATGTAACCCTATTTTTTCCYTGAAAAGGGAACTCAGAAGCAGAACAGGGCAAAATTCACACCAGAGCCTGCAGCTCCAGACACCACAGACACAAGCCAGTCTGCATCATGGCCCATAGATCAGGACGCATAGCCTGCGAGCTGAAAAGGATGTTTGGACAGGACTGCACAGCTACAGCCCCTGTGATCCCAAATCCAAGTGTGTTGCGCCAGTTCACCACTTGCAGGGTACTGAAACATGGGTATAGGTGGACTCTAACCTGGCCCCAAGGTAACTTGCTTTGGCAGTACTTCCTGCGAGGACTGGCAATACCAGGAGCACAGGTTCCTCTGACAGCTCCCAGAAGCCGGTTCTGGGCACTGTAAGACTTTGCATTTCTCCCAAGTATCTCACAACCCCAGAGGATGGAGAGCTAATTGCTGTGTCTGAAACTTCCCTGAGTTCACACCAGGCTGAAAGAGGCCCTGGGCACATCTTTCATTTTCCCATAACCACTTATCAAGCCGCATTCTGCAAGAGGCAAGAAAACCAGGTTTTTAAGGGTTTCACTGAGTGCTCAAGAGAAGACATATTAAGGAGGTATCACTCACCTGTAAGTCTCATGGCTCCTCCTTATTTCCTTTATCCATTTATTCAGGAGTGAGTTCTCCCGCCGATACCAGATGTAGATGCTCAGGGCCATGGCCGGGAGGAAGAGGAGGAAGACGAGCAGAAGGGCTATTAGGATGGCTTCATGATCTAGCAGGGAAAGCACAAAGATGAGCACGAGGCTTGGAGGGCTGTTGGCCCAAGTGTTTGCCTCAGCACTTCACAACTTCAGAGCGTGGTTCAGCTTTGCTCAGTGCAAACAACCAACCCTTCTGCCTGCTCCTGGCCACCTAGACTAGAGACAGCACCACACACCTCCAGGAAAAGGGAAAGGTAAGGCCCCTGTGAGGCTGCCTCCAATAACCACCAAATGACTRGAGCTGGGCACAGCCTGCAAGTCTGTCTGATCTGGCCAGCCCCAACACAAAGCTGTTCACAGGATCACCGAATGGTCGAGGGTGGAAGGGACCTCTGGAGATCAGCTCGTCCAGCATTCCTGAACAAGCAGGGTAACCTAGACTGCGTGGCACCATATCATGTCCAGGCAGATTTTGAGCATCTTCAGAGAGGGAGACTCTATGACCTCTCCCCGTACAACCTGATTCAGGGCTCTGTCACCCCCACWGCCAACAGGTTTTTCCTCWCTATCTCCCCATCTCCCTGTCTTTGTGGCCCTGCTCCCCTCCCACCAGCAGTGCAAGGCACAGGACACTCCCCCAGCCACCGCAGCCACCTGCAGCACACGGATGAGAAACGAGGACTCACTGTCACGCTGCACAGGGCCACTGTCCACGCTGCCACCCAAGCCRGGCTTCTCGCAGTACGGGGGAGCCCAGCCAGCATTGCAGTGGCAGTTCTTGTTGCTGTTGCAGACCTAGGGGAAAAGGATGGTTGGGGACCAYGAGGAACAATGGAAACTCTTATGGAAACCACGATCCACACAGTGGGGATGAGATGAGATGGCCAATGAAAGCATTTTGGGTTGAGACACAGAAGGATCTTAATCCCTGCCAATACCCATCCCTTGGACATCACTTGGATCATGTCTATGTTACCTTCAGAGTCTCAGTTATGGAGATTTTTTTGTTGACACATTTATTTTCATGCTCTTTGCATAAACCTTTAAAGACAAGTACTTAGATCTTCTGTTTTCATGCTATTTGACTAAACAAGCCCAATGACCTCAAATACTTCTTAGGAGGCCAGAAGTTTGTTAGATTTTGTGTMTTTCCCTTAGAGTCTTACCCAGCAACCCATACCTTTCATAAAGCAGAGAATATAAACCTGAAACCTCAATAGTGCTGAGCAGAACGCTAGGGTAAATTTAGGTGTCCTACCTAGGATCTCATATATAATCCCCCTGTGATGTTCTGCAGCAGTTTGTTGTTGCCTTATATGACAAAGCTTGACTTGGTGACCTACGGAATCCTCGTCTGCAGAGGTCAAGTCTTCGTAGTCTTTAAGCTTTGGGCAATACTGACTCCTTTTATTCTGTGGAACCACTTCCTTGTTTTTCCTGCAGCCCCAGGGGTGTTTCTGACTATTGTTTTGCTCTCAGAAGGAACAGGCACCTGCTCAAAGCTCTGTACACCCTCCAGTTAGGAGAAATCACCAATTCAAATTTTGCAGGTGCTCCTTCCATGAGGAGCAATCTTCTCCAACTTGGACACAGAGAGCAGAGATCTCAGCTCAGTCTCATTCACAGCTGACATGAATGAGATAGTTATGAAAAGCAGGTGTCTGCTGCACTGCAAGACTCATCCCTGGGGGAGATKTTTGGTTTCGCTTAAGAATCTGAGCTCACCTCAGAACCCTGCTGTAGGTCTCGGACAATAACTCACCCCATGGCCGTTGCACTGGGAAACACATTTTTCCAGCTCAAAAAGGGAGGCATTCTGGCACCGGCGATCTTTGCAAACCTAAGAGGGAGCCAAGACGCCAAGGTTAGAGAAAGGCCAAGGTTAGAGGGGAAGCAGGGAGAACTTCTGGCTTCACAGATAGGAGTCTTCTGAAATAACACTGCTGGAAAACGCAGGTTGGTTAAATTATGTTATTCCAGATCAATGCAGTGACTTCACTCCAATTTTTAGGACTACCTAGGAAACCTCTGCCATTCTTGGTCCATGCCAGCCCACCAGACAACAGCCAACACAGCTCCCATCTGCATCCCCTGACAACCCACCTGGCAGCTCCTGCAGAAGACATCTCCCATCTGCCCCAACAGGTTGGCAGAAGCCAAAAAAGCCTACTTTGGCTCTTCACAAAGGGGCACCCTTTCTCATGAAAATGTCAATGTTTTCGCCTTTCAACCTAAACTGTGATGAAAATTTCCTAGTTAAAATGCCAAATAGCAAAGGCTGGGTCTGCTTAGCCAGTTCCGTTTGGCCTACATCCCTGCTACTGTGTCATCCACAAAGTCTCTGCCACTTCTCAGATGAACTGACTGCTCTATAAGGCATTGAGGGATGCAGGGACTGTAAAAACAACTAATGCTTATCTAGCAACATCTACTTGGAAATACCCTATTGATACCTAACAAAATTTCCATTTGGGAAGCAGTTTATTCATTGATAAGTTACACAGAATTTACGGGTAAGTTTATGTGCAAGAGGAACATTTTGGACCCAGACTCACAAGACCACCATGACTTTGGCATTCCTGTTTACCATAGGGCAGTGAACAAGGTAAAACTAACAAGAAGTTTAACTCCATTTGAAAAGGAAGAAAAATTGCTTGAATCCAAATAGGACTGGTATTATTGGTAACCATTGTTTCTTGATTCCCTGTTGAGCTGGTAAATCAGGTGTTTGTACTGTCTTTGCCAAGAACTTTCCCCCAAAGCACTTGTCCTTCTACCAAAAGGGATCTCTGACTTGGAGACGCCTGTAAGCGTTGGTAAAACCACCTCCTTTGGTCCTGGTGTCAGGCAATGAAACAGGAGGCTGAGGAGCCCGTTTCCCCTGTGCCACCACTCCATCCTCAGACCCCAGCCCTGGGATGAGATACTCACCATCCCATCCCCGCATTTCGTGCCCGTCATCACCAGCCCGGGGTCGGAGAGGTCCTCCTCATCATCCTTTGCCGTGTACATGTACGTGCCCCGGCACTTCACCTCCCGCCCGTTAAACCGGATGGTGGTGTCGATGGAGACCGTGTTGGTCCCCTGGGGTTTCTTGGCTGAGCTCTGGCACTGGATCTTGCCACACATTGCGTCTCTGGAAGAGATGGAGCTGTGAGGATGTAGCCTGCCCTCTGCATCCTGCTCCTCCCCGTGAGGCCGAGGTGAGGACAGAAGATGTACTAGGAGATGGGGGTGCCAGGAACATGGAGCTGCTTTTTGGCAAGGCTCCTGGTATCCCTAGTGGCTGACTCCTGGTCTCATACATTCCATATGGCCCCAGGAAAGCTGCTCCTGGCTTTGCAACACACAGCTAAGGGACACTGCACAATCGCCACCATGCCACCCTATGCCCCTCTGTCTGCTGGCTCCCTTTCCTCTGAATTTATTACCACAAAGGACTCTGAATACAGAGAGAGTCTCAGCAGGTTCATAAAGGGCTTTGACAAACTCAGCACAGAGAGATGGTGGAGGGAACATGCAGGAATGTCCCCTCTAACATCCCTGTGGATGCTGGGGAGCACAGGAGGCAGGGCTGCTGATACATTCCCTGGATAGTGTCTCCCACTGTCACTGCTCTTGTTGACTTTCCCTTTGGGCTGGGGTTGCAGGTGATGCTTGGTACAACAACCTCCCTGCARCGATAAGGACTGAGCCCAGGAAGGAGCTGGCTGCTTTCTCAGGTTCCAAATGGAGCTGGCCAGAAGCTTGGACCTTGCGTACAGTCCTGGGGCAGTCCAGTGCAGGGAGCCCTGGGGACTGAGGGTGCTGYCACCCAGGGTACCTGCAGCGTCTGCTGCACTCACCTCTTCTCACACTTGACGTAGCGCCCTTGGCTGTCTTTGCCACAGTTGCCATAGGTGTTGCCAGCCATGTTCACATCCTGGAAACAGGCATCAGGGGCTGGCCAGGCACCTGCAGGGCAGAAAAAAAAATTCAACGTAAGCAGAGGTCCAGAAAAGCATCCATGAGGGAGAGGCTAAAAATACCAAAAGCAGGAACAGTGTCTCAAAACCTATGCAGAAAACACCATGCAAGGTCCTGGAGCAGCAGCGCTGTGGGTGTGAGGCTGAGAACAGCACAACAGAGTGAGCCCCATTGCCATGGGGGCTTGTGGTGGGCTGCAGGTCTGGGGGAGACCCTCCCCATCGCTGCAGCCCTCCTGCAGAGGGGTCTAACACAGCCCTGACCCCAGGAGGTGGCAGCACCACTGCACAGATGAGACATGAGGCTGGCGAGAGCTGTGTGCACTGGTTGGGGCGAGAGGCATGTGCGTGTGCAGGATGCCAAGGAGGGATCCCGCCGGGGGCATATGAGCTGTATGCAGCTGTATGCAGCACGGAGGCCACATGCAGCACATGACCTGCATCACTTGCAGGCTGTATGTAGCACCACAGCCATGTGCAGGACATGACCTGCATCACCTATGCACCATATGCGGCACCATGGCCACATGCAGCACGTGGGCTGCTTCACTCACGGGTCATATGCAGCACTGTGGCCACATGCAGCACAGGAGCTGCATCACCTACGGGCTGTATGCAGCACAGGAGCTGCATCACCTGTGGGCACACATGCTGCATCCAGCGAGGGAGCTGCACACAGCACGTGGCTGTACCCAGCAGGGAAGGCACAGGAAGCACTGGGACCATATGCAGCGTATGGGCTGTATACAGCAAAAGGAGCATATGCAAACATGGACGGGCACCTGAGAGCATGCACACACKGTGCCCACAGCCCGGGCAGCCCCACAGACACAACCTCCCAGCCCGGRATGGGCACAGCAAAGCCCATCCCTGCTCCACGGGCATGGAGCACCTGTCCCCTGTGCAGACACAACGCTGGGACCCTGTGTGGCCTCCTGCCCCACAGAGGGGCTACATGGAGCTGGGTGTGTGACACTTACCCGGGCCCCAGAGCTGCACGCACTGCTGGTGGTGGGTCATGCACATGCCGTTGCTGCAATAAGCCTCGCCGTAGGCGCAGGAGGAGCCGTCCAGCAGGTAGACGTTGGCCGGGCAGTAAGGGGAGGCACCCGTGCAGTACTCGGGGAGGTCACAAGATCCCGCTGCTTCCCTGCACATGGTTCCAGCCACCTTCAGCTGCCAAAGGAGGAGACATAAGCGTCAGGATCGAAGAGCAGTTCAATAAGCTGAGGAGTCTCAAGCAAGGGTTGGCACCACCGCCCAGCATGGCCCAGGTGAGGAGGCTGTGGGACCACAAGGGGCAAACAGGGTAGATGTTTATGTAAAGTCAGATTCCCAGAGCTGGGCCCCAGCCAAAGAAACAGCCAAGAGAGAATCCCCAGAGGATGCATCTTCATGGCTAAACCTTCCCATTTATCCCTGGAGATGCCAGACTCAGAGTCCGATGATGGACTTGCAGAGCACGAGTCCCAGGGGGGCGTTGGGGGCCGTGTCCCCCTCCGTGGCCCCAGGAGCGTCCACCTTGCAAGCAGGTGGGCACAGGAGACCCGAGTTACCCTGCAGTCCTGGCAGCAGTCACCGTGGGCGCACTGGGCTCCCGTCTTGAGCGTGCAGTTGTGGGCGTTGCAGCAGGGGTTGGTGCATTCCTGTACGGAGAGAAGAGAGCGCCRCAGTGAGCAGGGACATCCCTGCTCTGGCAGAGCCGTGTCCAGCCCACAGGCTCCCTCTCCGAGCACGGCAGTATCTCCCTCGCTTTGCCAAGGGGAATATGAGGAAGAGGGCAGGAAGACAGGGAAGCACAGGGTGGGTCAGGAAAAAATAGGCACATGGGGCAAAGCCAAGAAAAGARGAAGGCTGTAACAGGATGCAGGAACGCAGGACTGGGAAGGGGTCCTGGGATGGAGTTCCCGGTGGGGACTTCCCTGAGGTCCTGTTCCCAGTGGAAATAACCCTCTCTGSACATGATGCACTCCTGGCTCCCTGCAAGCAGCTCAGCGCCAAGCTGCAAAAGACCCTTTAGCAAAGAGGCGCAGGGCCCGGCTCCGTACCTCGGCCTCCCCACAGTCGCAATCTTCTCCCTCTTCCAAGAAGCCGTTGCCACATTTCCGGCCAACCACCAGGTCCTTGGTGTCGGGCAGGTTGAAGAGACACATGCCACCCCCCTTCTGGAAGTAGCTCTCCAGCTGCCTCCTGCTGCAGGAGCTGAACACGCGAGGGAAGGGATGTCTGTGCAGGGGAGAGATGGGAACGGGGGCAATCAGGACTAGGAGAAGATGGGGAAAAACAATCAAATACAGCTTGGAAATAGGGAAAAAGAGAGGAAAAAAAGAGCACAGATGCCTCCAAATGGCAGAGCAGAGGCCGGGTGCGTTGATGCTGCTTAACATCCTTCCAACCTAACCACAAGGCTGGGCTCGATGTTACAGAGACCACTTGCCCAAGGTGTCTTAGTACTGAACTGGTAGTGCCAAATATCCATTTGTGACTATTAACCACTACCAAGACTAAGCCAGAAATTCTTTTTAAAAAAAAAAAAGAAAGAAAAAAAAGAGGGAAAAGAATGAGAAAAACACAAAAAAAAATGTCTATATTAATTAACAACGTTTGAGCAACAATAAAGATCAGTACACACTTTGTATATGACCATTTCTCTAACAGCCCAACTGAACTTTCCTCTAAGCAGCTGGACAGAAACCAGTGATTTGAGATACTCCGAGAACAGYTCTGCTTTAATTTTGCATAGGTTTGTTGGGCTTTTCGCACGATGCATTAAAAAGGAAGAAGCAGATGATAAAAATGTAGACACTGCTCTCTGTTTCAGGGTAGTTTTCACTTCCTCATATTGCTGATGTTTTTCTCTTTGAGATGAGGACATCCTGTTTTTGATATAAACCAAAATGTTTTTTCTGAGGTAATTTTGTGTCGGGGGGGAATCTCTTGAGCTGTGGGAAAAATGTAGGTGCCTACAAGCTGTCGGAGAGCAAAGAAGTACAAACAGGTACATGAACATGCCAATAGGAACAGACTAAAGATAGCCCAAAATGTATTTCCCACTCTTGTGAGGGAAAACATTTTAGCAAAAAAAAAAATAGAACCAAAAAATATTTTTAATATATATTTATCTTTATATATATATAAAAAAGTATAGAGGAGGGTGGGGAATGCTGGAGAGTGTGAAAACTATTTACTCAGGAGCATCCTTCCTGCATCCCAGCTTAGCGAGTCTGGCTTTAGGGAACAGGAGCTCATCCCACCTCAGTCCCCCTTCATCCTCCAGGATTAAAAGGGATTTATAGGTTCACCAGGGTGCAGCTGAGCACAGGAAAAAGCCCTGGCCTCCCCAGCAGTGCCYGGCTGCACAATATCCCGCTGCACAAACAGCGGAGCGTCCAGCTCTGCCTTCCTCTGTGCTCCCTCATCCTCTCCTAGCTGCTCTGGAGCCTTTTGGAGACCTCGAGCGTGGTCCTGAGGAGGCCGCAGAGATGCTGCCATCCTTCTCTCTGCATGTCCTGCCAGGGAGGGATGGGAAGTGCCTGCTGCCCTTGACCTCTGCAGAAGCAGAGCAAGCGGGGAGGAAGGCACCCAGCTTCCCCTTTGCGRTGGGAAGCCACGTGCCCAGAAGAGCATCTACAGGACAGGTCTTCCCTCTCTGCTCCGCAGGCTGCACGTGTGGGAACGGCATCCGGAATCACGGGAGGYCACGTTTCCCACATCCCCTGCCCGCCGTGCCCCGTGTCTTACCCGGTAGCCGCGGCCATGACGCAGCCGCCCTGCTCCGGAGTGGCCTCCAYGCAGCAGCCCTGGCTGTCGTGGCTCATGCCGAAGTTGTGGCCGATTTCGTGGGCCATGGTGGCGGCCGCTCCGATGGGCTGCTCCGAGTGGTCCTGTGAGGGGATCRAGGGGCTGCCTCAGGAGGGCAGCCACGGAGCATGGAAATGTCCCCCGAGGGGACAGGGCTRCGGTGGGAGTGGGTGGCAGAGTGACCAGAGCACCTCGGGTGGCACAGGAGGGAGGGAGGGACGTGTCACCTCACAGGGGAGCAGGAAAAGCAAAACCAGTTCGATACACGGGGCCAGGAGCAGCTTCAATGTATAAGATCCTGGCACTGCTGCTGGCTCAAGATAGAGCACAAGAGCTTCCTAGTGGCCCTTTACCATCCCCTAATTGCGTGGCCAACACCTGAGAGGAACAAGGGACCTGGAGCATCTCTGGAATGACTGGGATGGTTCTTCCTCTATGCCAGCAAACAAGATGGGGCGATAGTRGGGTGCCCAAGCTGGGAAGATCTACGGAGACTCCCACGTCTCCCTTACCACGCTGACGCCTCCGGAGTTGTCCGGGCTGCACATCCCCTCCAGTGGGGCCATGCCGATGGTGGTGCCCCTGAACGTCTTCCCGCTGTCCAGGCGTATCCCAGAAAGGAGAGCGGAGAGGCAGTTAGAGCATCCGGACGGGGCAGGGAGCAGCCCTGGGGGCGCCGGGGCTCCCCCGTCCCGCCAAGCCCGGGTGCCCGCGGGCGCTCACGTCAGCAGCTGYGCATTGTCGTGCTTCTTCCGAGCCCTCAGCGCCTTCCGCCACTGCAGGAAGGACCAGAGCGTGGCGTTGGCATCGCTAGTCACCGTGCACTGGTCCCGCTCCGTCCACACCTCCAGGCCGATCAGGGCTACCTTGATATTCAGCGACCTGTAGAACTGCAGGGAGGAGACAGGGATGGAGGGGACAGGGACTCCTAGCATCGGTGGCATAGGACATGCTCTGAGTGCAGCCCTGCGCTCAAGTGCTTTCCCATTCACAGGGAGTGACAAAAGGGACAGGCTGGTTCCTCTCCTCCGTTCTTACCTTGTCCACGTAGTTTGCGATCTCCACGATGCGCTGCTTGGTGTGGCCCAGGTTGAGATTCTGGTTCCTGAACTGCAAGGAGATGAGCCCAGGGAAGGGGGTCGTTACTYGAGTTCGATGCTTTCAACCCCCTTTCGCCTCTCACGTCAGGCTGTGGGGGACCCGTGGTGCAGAGGACAGGGTAAGAGGGACTGGCAGGGGCTGCGCAGTGGGAGAGCTGAAGTCCCCAGAGCTGTCATTGCCCTAGTGACCTTGATGAGCTTAAACTGCAGCATCTCTGCCTGAGGGAAGCAGGGGAGGACACCCAGGGCTCTCAGGAYGTGACCATACAGGATCTCAGGTGAAAAAGACAGCTTCCAAGTGAGGCCTGGAGGCAATATGGGCCAGCACACCCACAGCCCTCACTTGGGCTACACATCTCCTAGACAAGCTGCACCCAGGAAGCTTGGAAGTGGAAACAGAGGAGCCCTGGCTTATCTGCAACAGGCCATGTTTCTGGCCCTGGGGAGCTCACCAGGGTGTAATCAGCAACGATGAAGAGCTCCATGTACTTCATGGTCCTCCAGGCATCTCTCCTGGCCTGCAAGACAGACACAAGGCTCACAAGAGGGAAGGGGCAGACAGACAGGGACAGAGAGGCCTGGGCCACTGGTCATCAGACAAGGCAGCCCTGCCCAGGAAGAGTGGTTAAGGGCAGCAACTGAGGCATGAGAATCACAGAATGCTTAAGGTTGGAAGGCACCTCTAGAGATCATCTAGTCTAATCCCTCTGCTCCAGTAGGGTCACCCAGAGCATGTGGCACAGGCTGCATCCAAGTGGGTTTGGAAGATTTCCAGAGAAGGAGATTCCACAGCCTCTCTGGGCAGCCTGTTCCAGGGTTCTGTCACCCTCACTGTCAAAAATTTTTTCCTTAAGTTCCTGTRGAACTTTTGGTGCTTCTGTTTGTGGYAGTTTCCTCTAGTTCTGTTAGTGGCCACCAAGGAGAAGAGGTCACCTCATCCTCCTCGCTCCTTCCCTTGAGGTATTTACAGATACTACTCAGATCCCCACCTCAGCCTTCTCTTCTCCAGGCTRAACAGGCCCAGCTCTCAGCCTTTCCTCACAGGGCAGATGTTCCAGGCCCCTGATCAATTTGGGTGGCTATCAGGTGCAATTCCCAAACTCACCCCAGGACCCTAAGGCCAGTTCCCTGATCAGGACTCACCACAGTGCTGCATTCAAACACCTCTGCTCTCACCCCGTAACACCCAGCCCTGGGCCCATACCAGCCTTTTCTAGCACTTCCCATCGAGATCTCCTGCCCCAGCACAACCCACACAACCCAGGGCAGCAGAAGACCTTTAGCAGGGGCACAGAGGGACCCAACCCCAGCCCTCTGTCCCTGCTGTGARGAAGGACCCAGGGGTTACCCGGGGCCGCGCTGGCGTGAAGAAGCGAGCGACATGGGCTACGCTGCTGCCAAGGATGTCGCCGTGGCCGCAGGTGCCGCCGCCGAGGGACAAGTGCTCTGCTCGGTAGAGGACGTGATGCCCGGGCTCTGGGGCGCCCAGCGGTTCCAGGTAGTAGCTGTCGTTGCTGCTCACCACAATCAGGCCCCTGYGAGGAGGAGAGAAAGCCGAGTGGCTCCTGTTGCTCTTTCAGTCTTTCCTGCTCCTCTAGCCCTCGCTGAGGCCTCACAAACTGCCTGCACCTCAGGMTGGGGGCACAGAAAGGAGGCAGGTGCCCCTGTGAACGCAGACGTAAGAGCAAATACGCCCTTAGCATCCAAACCTCCGCGCTGGCTGGACTGCTCGAATGCCACGTAGCCCTGACCAGCTCGGATTGCAGCTGCATCTTCCCCTCTCCTTCTCCATAGGGAGCTGGGAAATGCAGCCCCTGTGCAGCAGCAGGAGAGCTGCAGTGCCCAACGAGAACAGAGGGACCTTCCTGGGGCATTTCCAAACCCTGCCCTGGGGAGCAAGCGAAACATCAGCAGGAGAAGGGCCCCTTCTCTGTTCTCCTGGCTCAGCAACACCCCGAACTCTGTGCAGGGAGACCCCATCCTGGGCAAAACGGATCCCAAGGGAAGCAGCCGGGGATCCAGACCTCCAGGATGGATACGAAGGACTGGGTTTGCATGGAACGTCAGCCATGCAGACCATCCAGCACTCTGAGTGCTGGAGAGTCCCTAGTGGCACGAAGGGAAGCAGTCAAGCTTGTCAGATGTGCTGCCTTCATCTGAACTGTCAGGACTTTCCTCTCTACTTGTTGTGCCGGGGGATTTTTCAGAGCCGGATAACTGAGAAGAAAGGGGCTGCTGGATCCAACCCTCCACGTGCCCAGAACCACACGCTCCCTTCTTCCCACGACAAGGGCAGCCCAGCAGCCAAGAGCCTCCCCATCCTCAGCCACCCTGTCCTGTACTTGCCCCCTACCTTATTCCTGAGCAGGTGCTGAGAACAACCCAGGAGTGCCGGTACCCCTGGACATGTCCATGGTAGTAGCAATGCTCCTAGGAGAAAGACAACAGATACTACCCATCAGAAACCTTCAGGCTGCCCCTGTGCTCCAGGTTTATTTGCCCAGGTGCGGTACCCATGGCACAAGCCAGGGATGCTGCAGGGAAACCTACAGGCAAAGGAGGGCTGCAACGTGTGTGTGGTCTGCTGAACCATCCCTACTACCCACAACATTGCCATGAAGCAGGTCTTGATGCTCCTCACTCCTGGTTGTCCCCGCCATGGTTGTCACCTGTGCAGAGCCAGGACACCTGGGTGCTGCTGCTGCCACTAACCTGACCCCAGGGGTGGTTGGTTTCGTCACTTGCTTTAAGCTTCCATCACAGGGAGGCTCGAGTGTGGTTTTGGGGGAGGACCTGAGCTGCCCCATCGTCAGCAAAGGAAGGAGAAGATGGTCCACCCCACCTGCAAAAGCAGCTCTGCTTKCTGCGGATCAGCAGCTTTGGGGCTGGAGGGAGAACGCAGGCAGGGAGAAGTGTCCCTGGCCACGTAATGTGGCAGCTCCATGGGAAGGAAGCCACAGGGAACACGCAAGTCTCCTCCTCCGCTTCCTCCCGAGGAAGCCACGGAGCCACCGCAGGATCCTGCCCCGGCAGCCCAGCTCGTCACCTTCCTGCCCCACAGCATCAGCCCTGCAGCTGCAGCACATCTGGGCCCCAGCCCAGGAAATGCAGCAGGCCCTGCTGAGCCGCATGGGAGCCCACACGGGTGCTCCGAGCGTGCCCGAGCTCTGCAACCACACCATGTGGTGCCCGCCAGCCTGGTAACAACCAGGACCTTGAGAGAGCTTGTGCCTATGGGAGTCGTGTGGATAAAAGTTGGGCTCCCCAGCGAGACACCCGTCCTCTCAGGGCACCCTTCCCTAGTATGTGGCATTGCAGCCAGCTCGAAACTCCTCTGAGATTGAGGAGAAGGGTCCTGAGGTGTAAATGGCCAAACTCACAGTGATTTTGGTGGAGCTCCTCATTTACACCTCCACAGGTGACACCCCTAAGCCAACACAGAGCTCGTGTCCAGTGCAGCAGCTCTCTAACACCTGGGCTACCTCCTGGAGCATCTGTGCCCAACCCCAGGAACAAGGGGGCATCCAAGGCCCCCCAAAACCTAACTGAGGAGCTGCGGAGGAAGGAAGGGGCTTCAGGAGGCAGGCTCTGGCCGCAGGGAGCACAACACGCGGGGTAAAGGCTGTCCCAGCGCTGCCTGCTGGCACCCACCGTGTGGTTGGGAGCGACGGTCACGGGCTGCCCGTCCTCGGCGTAGTGTGTTTCGGTGTAGCCTGGGGACAGCAGCCTGTGGAGAGAGAAAGGAGGAGCTGGGACGTGTCCCCCCGCTGTCCCCAGCCGCACGGAGCCCCTTGGCTGCTCCGCAGGGCCAGCCCAGRGTCCTGCCCGGACACAGCTCTGGCCCCGCTGCTCAGGCGCTTCCTGCTGCCAGGATGACACTTGGGAAGCAAAAGGGAGCACCAAGACGACACAACGTTGGCATCCGGTGAGTGTAGGTGCCCGGGAGCTGGGTGTCTGGTGAGGAAACAGGGGGAATTGGATGGAATTCCCGCTCTGCCAAGCGGGATGATGCCAAAGGCAGCTCCCACCTCAAGAAGCTCAATATGAATCACAAGTGCTGGGAAGGGCATTTGGCACCAAGAAACCCCAACACAATCCTGGCAGGAACGGATGCAACAGGGACACTAGTCCTGCCCCGTCCATCTGTGCTACTGTGCCCAGATGCCCCCTCAATGGGTGCACGACCTGCACCTGGGTGTCACCAGGAGAGCAGATGTGCAACCAGAGACACACACGGATCTCTGCAGACTTCAGGCCCCCAAATTACCAATCCTGGAGGAAGAACAAAGCAGACTAAGTTTATCCTTAGTGGCAGCCAGGCCCTCAGTTCCGCCCCATCCCAGTGAATTTATTTAGAAGCAAATAAGCTGAGCACCCGCCCCAGCCTAACCCCAGGCTCTCTCTCTTCTGGGTTTCTATTTTGCAACCGGTTTGACCCACAAATGTCCTTGTGGGCTCCTGCCCCGCTCCCAGGCCACCGAGGGTGGGCGCAGAGCCAGCAGCAGCACCAGCAGCAACCCAGAAGGGAGCGCGAACCCATGAGGCRACTCCTGCTTCTGCCAAGGCAAAGTCCTGCTAGAAGGCACTGCCAAGGATGGGCTCTGGATGAGAGCCGACTCTCCCAGCCCCTGGGGAAAGCAGGTTTGAGGTCTGTCCCTCGAGCAAAGCAGGTTTGAGGTCTGGCCCCTGGCCACGACCTGGCACGAGGTAGCCCTGGGGACAGTCACAGCCACCTCGGTCCCCCCAGCAGACACAGCCTCTACGGACGGACACTCACRGGCACCAGGGATGCTCTTGGTCCTCGGCTCCCGTTTGCTCCCAGACCCCCTAGCCCAAGCTCAGCCTCCTTCCCTGCCCAGCCTCCCTGCACCCCTCCAGCCCTGCAGACACTCTGCAGGCACCAGGCCTCTTGTCAGCCCTCTCTTTTTGCCCCTTAGAGCCATGTTTCACCCTTCGTGAGGGCAAAGCAGCACCAAGACCCCTACCCACGGCTCTCGGGTGCACTGCTGCATCTCTGGGGCTCCCCAGTTTTGCTACCAAACACACCCRGCCTCCCCTCCCTCCAGGGCTGGTYCCTGCTCCCCGCCAGCCTTTTCCTCGGCCCCGTTCTCCCAAGCTCAGCGCTTCTCTGAGCGCCTCCTCGGCCTGGACAGCGGCAAACGGGCTCCGCTCCCAAGCTTTTATGGCCTGGGGATCACGAGAGATGCACGAGGGGGTCACAAAAGTGGACAGCAATCCATGAGATCCCAAGACAGCTGAGCCAGGCGGAGGTCGAGGCTCCACCACATGCATCCCATCGTCCTGCATGGCCTGTCCTACAACACCACGGGTGACGTGTACCACAGCAGGAAGAGGGCTCTGTCCCGCTGTGCCCCCCTGCTCCCCAGGGCACTCAGGTGGGATTCGGGAGCCAGATGTGCTCCGGTTCGGGTGTGATGAAAGGCCAGTGCAAGGCAGCGCCAGGGACACAGTGCAGAAGTGACGCGGTGCCCGCCYGGGACCTTCCCCAGCTCCACCCCAGCCCTGGACAGGGCAGGAACCTCCCGGAACCACCAGGAAAAGCAGAAGCCAAAAGCAGAAGCCCCTGGTGAGGAGAAGGGCTTCGTGCCTTGCACACACTGCTCCGCACAGGCCAACACCCGGATGGAGCCGGGTCAGAGCGACCAGGATCCCAACAGATCCCCTCTCCAAAGCCTTCCAGGAGTCCATGTGCCCATCCTACCAGGCCTTCATCTTCACGACTAGACTAGTTCKTGCATAAGCAGCTCAGCTGAGGGACGGGCAGCAGCTCTGAGCCCGGTGGCTCATAGAGCGAAGGCTGCAGCAGAGCTGCCGAGGGGACAGACGAGTTCTCTGCACGGGAAGCAGTAACTCCCAAAAGCCAAAGAGCAGGAATGAGCTAGCGAGGGGCAGGGAGAGACGGTTGTGAACAGTGGAAAAAAACGTGAGTGTTTCAGCCCTATCTGGGCACGGCCAAGCACAGTGCTGGCTCCGGCTGTCAGGAAGCCACACGGGACTGTCACTTCCCCTGCAGGGCACAGGAGCCAGGGCAGGGCCCAGACTGAGCGCGGGACTAACACTGACTCAGCCCTGGCTGTGCCGCGATGCCCAGGGTGCCAGAAGGCCCTTTCAGCAGCTGAGCCAGCCCTGCAGGCAAGGCCAGGCTCTACAGCAGCCCTCATCCCAGTGTTGGGTGAAGCAGGAAGGGAAATCCCAGGAATTCCCTTTCCCATCGCACCCCGACACTTACTGGTTTCTCTCCAGCACCAGGATGAGCTCTCTGCCCTCGGCCATCACAGCCACTTTGCCTCGCGCAGGCGCCGGCACCTGAGGAGGAAGCAAAGGAGGGAAAGAGTTAGAGAGAAAAGAGGGAAAGAGTTAGAGAGAAAAGAGTCGCTGCTGGTAGGCTACGTGTCCCTACTGCTGCTTATCCACAGCCCCGGAGGACACGTGCCCTGGTGGCAACAACCACAGTAACCCACGCAGCCAGTTCTGGGCACCAAGGCCCGTTTGGGATCATGATGCTGCGAGCCAGCCTGGCCTCAGGCGCTGAGTGCCGCGGGTTCGGGACACCCAAACATGCCCAAGGGTAGAGGTGGGTGCTGCCATCCCCGCCATCCTGGGTCGCCCAAATTCTCCCCTCCGAGCAGCTCAGTCTCCCCTGGGTTGAGCTATAGCCCAACCAGGCAGCCCGGGCTGTTCTCGGGGGACACTGTCTCCTTTGCCCAGCCCTGTCCCCAGCATCTCCCTCCGCTGCCCGGTTCAGGTCCCATCTCTCTGCTCTACCTACTCCATCCATGAACTCGAGGAAGGAGAGAAATAAGCCCTCCTGTTTGATTTACTGTGAATTTCCAAACTCACAGGAGGCAAAAGAGAAGAAAGTATCTGCCAAGCAGCCAAGGCTGAGGGACAGAGCGAGTCCAGCCTCTGCTCACTGCTCGACGCAGGGAAACCCATCACCAAGAGCACATCCTGAAGCCGGACAACCATATGGACCAAAAGGACCTACTTTACGGTGATATTAGCAGCGATCAGGACCCTGCTGCACCCGAGCATCCTGCCCAGGGATGCTTGGAGTGACCGGATCATCTCCTCCCCAGCGGATGGGCAGCAATGGATGGATCCCGCTCCCCRGCGCACGCAGGGGACCCCCCGCGTGTCCCAAGACAGGGAGACGCCAGCCCAAACGAGGCCACGGTGGCGACGGAGTCAGGGCTGGCCCAGGCCCCCTCCGACACCATCGTCCCAGCTCCAAAAAAGGAGACCAGACACAGCGTTAACAAAAACAAGGCAAAACCGCAGCAAGCGAAGGCGAGCGGCGCCCGGCGCGTTCCCAGCACCCCCCCAGGCCGYGGCTGATGGATGGAGGAGGAAGCCGGGGCAGAGGGCTCCTCTCCTTCGGCGCTGGTGGGAACGGGCTGTATTTTTAGAACATGATCTTATCCAAACAGCGCTGCCTGGCCAAACATGGTCTGATCGTTTTTCTTGCCATTTCCCTTCTTCCTCCCCAGCCCTCCCTGATTTCAGGCTGTTTCTGCCCAGCTCTGATTCTTCTCAGCACCCTCTCCCCCGGCCCTCTCCTCCTCCCTCCAGCCGGTCCCTTCCTCCCAGGCACTGGGCGGCCTTAAATTCCCCAGCACTTACACCCTGCCGCACTCAAGGGCCTTACTGGCAAAAACGCTCTTTTTCTTTTGCTCTTTTCTGCTGCCTTAAAGGGACACGAGCGCCCGCTGCACCGGGGCCCCTGTGATGCTCCAGGGCCACCAAGCGAGCGGGTGACACAGTGGCACATCCCCCAGCCGTGGCTCAGTTCCCCCTGTTGCCAAATGAGAGGCACAGTCCCCAGGACTGCCCTAAGGACCCCGAGATGTGCAGGGATTTCTCCTGCTATAGAAAAGCCTGGGAAGGATGTGGAGGGTTAACAGGGCAAGGGAAGAAGGGCTGGGGAGGCACCATCTACCCCAGGAGGGTAAGCCCAAGGAGGACTTCCCTCCTGATGTCCTAAGGAGGCCAACACACAACAGCTCTCCAGGGAAGGACCAGCTCCRCATAAGGCTCCAACTCGGATCCAGGCAGCTCAGCCAAAGCAACGGGGCAGGGGGAAGAGCAGCTGAGATGAATCTGCCCTGGCCCCGGGCCAGCCCGCGAGGAGCCCAGCACACCCAGCGGGCAGAGCTCGAGTCTATTTTCCTTCCTCAGTCTGCTGATCAGAAAAACCACAAGAGATGTTTGCAGAAGAGCGGAGGCCAAAGCTCTTCTCGGAGCGGGAAAAAGAGCTTTGTTTCTCCGGAGCTCCGGGCCATCTTCCTCGGTGCTGCCTCCTGCAAAGCTCTGCTGCAGAGCACGAGCGCAGCCTGTCAGGAAACACTGAAATAAATGCCCACGAAATCAAGAGTTATACCAAGATCCAGAGGCTCCACGGAAGCCACAGCCCATCCATCTGCTTGGGAAGGCCACAAAAGTCCCCAATTCCAAAACAAGTCTGAACACAAGGAGGAAGGATGGAAGGCGAATTCCCATCCCACCGCCAGGGATCAAAGCTTACCAGGAAACGCTTGGCAGAGATTGGATGGATGGATTTTGCAGCTCAGCTGCTGGCTGGGAAGTAACCAAGGTTGAAGCTGGCTCCAGCAAGGGACTTCAAGATGGAATCGGGATGGCTTTAGCCATCATTTTTGTCTCCAGACCAAGCCGGAGATGCATCTGATCCCTCAGCACCATAGCCAAGCAAATAGAGCTGCAGAAGCCCCTAACAGAGGTGCCTYCCTCCAAAGAGGGGTTCAGCTCCACCATGCCTGGATAAACCTCTGCCTTGCTCCAGCTGCTCCCTGGAAAAGCAGCTAAGGAGCTGGGCTGCCCTGCCTGGGGAATCCAGGTCCTGGCAGGATTTGATCTCGGGTGTTTCCAAGCCAGCTCAGCCCTGCTGCGGCTCCATCGGCCCTGGCTTGTATTGAAGAGGAAAAAGGGCTTCCCTGCAGGAAGCAGATTGCGAGGCAGCCCTGGCAGAGCCCCACGCACCTGCTGCAGGGCGGAGGCCCCAAAACCRCGGCCCTTCTGCACCCTTCCTGCTCCCGCGGTGCCAGCAGCAGGGCCGTGACACCAGCGGCCGCTCCATCTGCAGCCCCYGGGCGCGCTGCGGAGCCAGGAAAGCTCCTGTCCCTCTGAGGCACTTGGGGCTGAGGTCTCCAGCGCAAGGCGAGAAGAGGCACCAGGTGTCACAGCCCTGCCGAGGCCATGGGACCAGCTCCAAGCACTTCCCCATGTGCYGGAGGGGACAGGGCAGCTCCGGTTCCCCGCCAAGCAGGACGGGCAGTGTGCTCGGGGCAGCAGAGCTGCCAGCACCGTGGGGTCCCACCCAGCACGASGGACCCAAACCAGCTAGCAGAGTGAGTCACAGACCTGGGAAGCAGCCGCAGGACCAGCAGGACACCCAGTTCCACGCAGGGAGGATCAAGAAAGAAGGCCAGGCCCAAAAAGCCAAACGCAGGGGACAACATCGCGTGATGGGCTGTCCTGCCAGCCACACAGGACACTGTGATCCCGTGGGACGAGGGCCAGGTGACTCAGTGTATCTGCATTTGATACTCATGCAGCAGTCACTGGATGCCGATCTGGTGTCAACAGAGGAAGCAGAAGAGCTGGAGAGGGATCAACCAAGTGCTCAAAGAGCAACTCCAGGGTTGGGAACGTGCCCTGGAGTTTTGCTTCTGTGCACAGCAGAATGAACACAGTGGCAAGGCCGGCCCGGATGGCATCTCCGCTAGTCCATCCCAAGAAGCTCCCCTGGCTCCCAGCCACGTGCAGGGTGCCAGGAGCCAGCCCAGGAGCTGACCTTGGCACGGGGAGAGGTGGCCCGGCCGGAYACAGGGCACGACCCATCCGTGGCAGCTGGGAAGGCCCGCGGGGCAGCTCCGCTGCAGGCTGCCTGCCTCATTCCCCATCTCCCTGCCTTCTCCTTCTGTTTCCTCCTTGCTGTGCACAGCGTGGCGACCTCAGTGCTGAAACAAGCCCATGGTGGGAGCATCCCCAACCTCCASAGGCAGGATCGGGGCTCCCCCAGCCACAGGGAGGATGCAGGAGCCCAGCAGTTGCTCCCTCCTSCTCATCCTTACAGCAGCCTTCACTCCATCCCCTCTGGGAGGGAAGGAGGATCCCAGAGTCTGCGGGATGAGACCTCGTTCCCAGAGAGCAGAGGAAGCTGTTGGCAAGCAGGGTCCCCACGACCTCCTGCTCAGASCCCTGCAGTCCCCAGGCCCCACTGCCGAGCGCCGGGAAATCGCTTCCATCTGCGCCGGGAGCCACGGAGCCTACAGGGAATCCAACAATAAGAAAGAGAAGAGGGGAGGACAAGGCCAGGCCCGGCCTGCGGGGCCGCACATGGGAGGCGAAAAATAAGGGTTTGGGGCAGGTTGCCTTGTCCTGCAAGGGCAGAGCGAGGCCTCTGAACGAACCGCTGCAGAGAGAGCGGCGCAGGCCGCTGACACCCTCCGTTCTTGCCCCCCTGGGTCACGTCTGTACCGCTGCCTGCCGCGGGCCTGGGCGCAGCCTCAGTGCTCGTGGGGAGCCCTGGCCCATCTCCCCTGTGCCCCAGGCCTCGTTTCCCAGCACGTGTCGAGCCTGCCTGGGCCTGAACAACCCGCTACCCCGGCCTGCACGCCCGGCTCTCCGCAAGCCGCTCTTGGAGCGGGAAAGCCGGGACGGAGGCGGCTCCGGGCTGAGCCCTGCATCACTGCACACCTTCAAGCAGCAGGTGCTGCTTCCTTGCAAACCCTTCCACATCTGAGCCACAGAGGAACCGACCAGCAGTCCAGCAGCATGGGAGGACGCCATGCCCCAGGGTATACAAGGGAATGGCCTAGAGCCCTAGGATCCCCATGGAAAGCAAGTGGTGGCCACAGTTCCCTTCGTACTCGGATATTTAATCTGTTCACGCCACGCTTGACTTCTCAGCCTTTCCTCTGTCCCKGCTGATGTTTCCTCCAAGGACAGCACACACAAATCTGGGATGTCTGTTTGGGGAACCCACCAGAGAGAGGGAGCTGCTCATGGCAGGAGCTTCCCACGCTGCAGCCTCGTGCTTAGCAGGAAGGACCAAGACCTGCTGCAGAAAACCCCACTTCCGAGCCCTGCTGCAGCCCCAGCTGCGCACAGCGCCCAAGGAACAGGAGCTTCCTATGGGAGCAGACAGGCACAGGCATTCCCAAAGCCAACCCGTCCCGCTCCCCATGTGCCTGCAGCAGCCTGACCGCCACACAGGCTGCAAGGATAAAGCATCTCCTTTCCTCCCCGCTGCTCCAGGCCGTGTCCGGGTCTCCACCGCTCCCAGTCCCAACACACAGCGACCGCGAGCCCCAACCACACGTTTATTTCCAGCCTCCTTGCTGCAGGGCACAAGGCAGCAGGGCGGGCACAGACAGAACAGCTTTATCCTAAAAATAAGCGCTTTTCCAGAGGCGCTATCAAGCTCGGTGCAGGCCAAGCTGCTCCCCGCAGATCCTAAGGGTATCCCTGCAAAGGGACCCCGCGCTCTCCGTGGCCACCCTTCCTCTCCCYGCCTTCCCGGGGAAACAGGAGCCTCCTTGTTTCGCGCTGTCTGCAGCGGGCTGAGGCAGAACAGATGCCAGGAAGCGAGCGCAGACCTTGCCCAGCCGCCCGCTCGGGGGCTGCCGTTTCAGCACCACGGGGGGCCCCGAGCAGGCTGCAAGAAGCCGGGGGGCCCCCGGGCATTTGCACCGTGTGGTCTGGGCTCTCCCCGGTGCAATTCTGGGCAGCGCGACGTTTGCTTGGGTATAAATAAACCTCCTGTTGTCCCACACTCCCCATCCCAACTGCCCTATATATAGGCTGGACTGCTCTGCCCTGGGACTGTCATTTACTTGGAACGGAGGGGACAGTGCCACAGGATCCCGTACCCAAGGGGGTGTCACGGGCAGGGAGCACCGCAAGGACTGGAGCTGCGGGAGGGCCGCCCTTCCCGGCGGCCGGTACTGAGGAGCAGGCACCAGAGGCTGCTCCTGCTTCCCGCCCGCGCGGCCCTGCAGCTCCCCCCTGTCCCACGAGCAGGAAAGGGAGCTGAGTCACCCCTCCATCTATTTTGTGCAGCAAGGAGAAGTCACAGACAACACAACAGCTCTCACCCAGGGACAGGCAGATTGCTCCAAAGCTGCTTCTCATCCAAACCGATACCTCCAAAGGGGCCAAAAAAGAATCGTATTCACCTCAATCTTCCCAGCAAGAAGTCTACTCAACCCCCAGCGGAAGGTTTTCCTGCAAGGGTTTGTACCAGGGYTTGTTCTGCCCAAAACCCATTTAATTTGCCTCCAAGAGGACCAGAGCACCCAGACCCTGCCCAGCTGTTGGGTATAAGGAGCAGCTGCTGAGGCCCCTGGGCAGCTGCTGAAGTTGACCCYAGAGCTGGGAAAGGTGCCAAATACAGGCAAGGGTCAAACGCATCTCAAAGTGGATTTAGAGGTGGCGGGGGCAGAGGGGAGGGTTTGTTGACCAGCAGAGCAGCTCCGGGAAGAGAATTTTCCAAGGACACCGGTCTTAAATTTATAGCACTATCCCCTCAGCTAGCAGGGCCGGTCTGTGTGTCCTGGCCAAGCCATTTGCAGTCAGTCTGAGGAGTTCCTTTCATTTCCCCTCTATAAATTGCCCAGCTGCCTTCCACTCCCCGCTGTGCGCAGGTCCTGCAGCTCTTGGACATCCTCCCATCCACCTGATGCTTCAGGCCATGTTTGATTTGYTTGCTGCTGAATATTCTGCCTTCCCCAGGCCTGTTTGAGGCTGGGAGCCACACTATGATAGTGTGCTCTTTCTGCAGGTGAGATGGGCCAGCCTAGATGCTAATCTGACCAACCCTGCTGACAGCTTCTGCTTTCTGGGTTTTCCTACCTGATTTTCACTCTCATCACCCCCTTGGAAAGAAAATGCACGATGTTTTCCCTTACCAAACAGACTCCTTCTCCCCTTCTTGTTACTGTGGGGCGAAACAGGAAGGTCACCAGGTAGCACAGCCCAGTGCTCCTCACACGGCCCTTGGCAGTGTGCAACACCCATGAAACCTGTTGTTTCCGTGAACATTTGCAGTAAGGGCCAACCTAAAAACCTAGTCAGGGCTAACCTAAAAACCTAGCCATGACTAACCTAAAAATCTTCTTGATGTCATTATCAAAACCACTCGGGGCAGCAGAAGTAGCAGTCCTGGACCTATCTGGTTGCAACATAAGTAGGTGGTTATTTCTGGAACCATAAAGGCCGGAGAGTTTGTTAAGAAGAAGAAAAGAAAACCAAAAAAAAAAAAAAAAACCCAAAAAAAACCACCACACAACCCAGAAAGAGTCAACTCGGGCAAAACCCCAGCACCTCCGCACGAGCCTGGGCGCCGCTTCCCGCCGTGCCCGTGCTCACCTCCTGGTCCAGGCGGGCAGCTCGTCTGCTGCGTCCTCCGAGGAGCCACTGCGGGGTCACCACTTCTCCCTGGGGCACAGGGCCTAGGAAAGAAGAGGTCAAGTGAACACGTGAAGGAAGCAGGAATGTCGCTGTCCTCAGCGACAGTAAGAGCTTCTCTGCAGCAAGGTCGAGAGAGAGGGGAGAGATAAAGCTGACAACTCTGGCTGATGCCCAGGGTGTCAGCAGCCCCGGGGGTGGCACCTTTTTGGTGTCAGGGCCAGACAGAAACCACTGCTGAAACCAAAGAACTCACCTCTTCTTCCCCCACATCACTGAAGCAGCGCTTTTCCTTGAGGCGTCCCAGGGATGCCACCGCTCTCAGGCGCTGCTGGGAGCACACTCAGGTCCCACATCCACAAAATCCACCCGGACAGCAGCAGCGCGCCCCGGGGAGAGGGGCAGCACCACGACCTAGTGCTGTCTTCCCCTCTCATGCCACATTTACCAACCCACGMGCTCGCTGCCCTCGCCCCGGTCGCTGCCAACCACAACGCTCCCCGCCGCAGGTGTTTTGAGGCCAGGTATTTCTTAGCACCTCTGCTGTTAGGTGCTCTTGGTGAGGAGAGAACCTGCTCAAAGGARGGCTGCGGCGAGGCCAGGCTCAGATGCACAAACTGATAAGTCAACACACCCAGCCTCCTACCAGCAAGCAGGTGGGCCCAGCCTAGCAGAGCCGAGCTGTAGAGCTCAGCTCCATCCCTGCCCTAACCACCCTCCAGCAGCCAAGCACAGAAGGCTGCCAAGCTTCAAAACAACCCGGAGGTTCAGAAAGCAGCACGCAGCTCTGCATCTCACGCGCTCCTCCTCTCCCTACTCATTCTGAAAGTTTCCTAACGTCTGATTTAGGTCTTACATTACAAAAACATTTTTTTTTTTTTTGGCCCCCGTTTATCTATGTTTTCACTCTCCTGATTCTCATAATTTATGATATCAGGAAATTTACTTCAATCGCTCGGAAATGCAGCAGAAGCCACAATCTTCTGCTCGCTTCTAGCCAGAGCAGGACATGAAAAACAAGAGCAGAGCAGCTAAAAGCATCGCAGCACATTATGGGTTTCTCTGAGACATCCCAGCTCCCCAGGGCAAAGCAGCACGAGTAATTCCTTGGCTCAGTTAGAGCCATGCAGACTTTCTAAGATTTTTTTTTTTCTTTTTCATAAACAATGTGGCTGTATCTGCCTGCAGGAGCACAGGCAGCTACTGATGACTTAAGCCTGGAAAACAACAGAAAGAACAACGCGGTGCTGCTGAAGACACTGCGAGAAGGGGACAAGGTCTCGCAAAGGACGGGCCACTTTGCCAAGGAAAACGCTGTCAAGGAACRCTCGGATCCAGGGACCCTCCCCAAGACAGGACCCAGTTATTTACTAAGGGAGTAGAAAAATAGGCTTCACGGCTTCCTCATTTCACATGCTTGTTTGGATTCCTCGTGCAATTGCCTGGGGAGATGTGGCTGGAGGAAATAGCAAAAGATGAAGTTAGTGAAAGAAAGCTGAAGTTGATGGTTGGAGACTGCAGTGTGGGTGTTTAAAATGCCCATGGTATCCAAAGCATGGCCACGGGTGTCACGCAGGGCCCCCAAGGACTCCTCTGTGATAGCACACGGTGGCATTTAATCAGCTTTCATTATATATAGCATTTAATCAGATTCCATGAATAACTGCAGATAAGGTGGCGGCAGGGTCCGAGTTTCCTTCTCCTCACCTCCTCCGCAAGCGGTAGCGAGGCCTCCGAGCCCAGGGCCATAAATAATTCTTTGGCTGCAGGGAAACTGAGGCAGTGCTGGGAAACGACTTGACTTAACCCACGTGGGGTAAAGGCAGGGTGGACATGAGATGCACAGAAGTGCCCGGCTCTGGCAATCACACGGTTATCCATCAGGGCTTTCAGCCTTGTCATTATAGTTAGGGGAAAAACAACCTTTTTTTCCTTAATTTGCTCCTGCAAGGAAGGGCAAATAGAAGCTCTCGACTCTTCAACACACAGACCATGAGGAGGCAGAAATGACCTTTCCGTCCCATCTGCCGGGGGCTAAATTGAGGGTTTTCAGCTCCTTGGGAAAAACATCCAGAATCCCCTCAGAGACAGCGCGGGGGTCGCTCGCTTTCCTCGCTTCCCGCACAGCCCTTCTCTCTCCCACGCTGTCCAGGGAGAAGATGGGACGAGAGGGGCAGCATTTCTGCAGGGATCACTGGGCTGGGCTTCAGGCCACGTCCGAGAAGCCTCTTGGTTATTATATTAAGCTTTGAGCTGTTTTGACTATAACTTTTGATGGGAATAGGAGAGACTCAGAGCATGAGACAGAGTTTTCAAATCTAAGTCAAATAAACCAGAATGTGCCGCAGAGGGGGTTTCCCATCCCTTCCTCGTTATTCTTCCCCCCCAGAAAACTCACACGCACGCTCATTCCCWGCCCTTTCTGGGAATGTTTCCTCTGGAACGGCGTTGCTTTTGCATTGCAGGCGCTCTGAGGGCTCGGCCAAAGCGACATTCCTCATGGAAAGCCCCATGGTTAGGGGGGTARAAGCCCCAAAACGAGCCCCGGAGCGGGCGGGCAGCTTCTCTGRCTGCTTCTCCTCTCCCCCTTATCCAAACAGAAGTTCCTGGCTCCCATCACAGTCTCCATTCCTCCCTCACATACACACCTCTCAAGCTTAGAGTTGCCGGAAAACTTATTTTAAGCAGTAACAGAGTCCAGAATGGCTCAAAAATCCTCAGAAAATCAGAAAAAGAAGAAAGAAAAAAAACAGTCTCAGCTTGTGCGGTTGCCGAAGAAAAGTGATGGAGAACAGAGACCACAAGAGACTGAACCCRGGCTGGCAAAACCCCGCCAGGCTTTCAGCAGACTGACAGAAACACACATCCAGATCTGAAAGGTGATAAAGATTGGGGAAAACTGCGTTTTGTTTCACTCTGACAAAGAGTTACTTGTAGTTTTGCCTCAAGGTGCCACAGGCTGGAGCGGGGACACTGTCTGGTCCCCAGAACGYCGCGTTCCTGAGGGGATGGAGAGGACCGGGGGGTATCTGCTGTTCGGAGGGACCTGCAGGGCTCCGATGGGGACCGAGGTGGCCGCGGGGGGCAAGGAGGTGCCTTCCCTGGCTCTCCAGGGGGTGCCGGCTGCTCCCGGCGCTCCGCTCGGGAACGGACCATATAGAGTCATAGCGTGAGCCGGGCTGTCCGGGACGGGCTTTGCCGGAGCAGCCCGGGGGCACTTCCCTGGCAGGGCTAAGCCTAAACCTGCCCCGGGCTGAGTCCAACAGAGCCCATCCCAGYGGTGCCACCCCCGCCACGCGCCCCCAAAGCCCCTTTCCCTTTCCCCAAGGGCTCCCCTCTTCCCAGAGGCTCGGTGCTCTCCGCTCTTACCTGGCGGCGCGGCGGCGGCCGCCTGGCCGGGCAGCAGCAGCAGCAGCAGCCCCAGGAGGAGGCCGGGGTCCCCCCGGAGCGCGGCGCCGAGGGGCCGCCGGGGGGCTCTCCCCGCCATGCCCGCTGTGGCGGCGCCCGCAGCGCCTCGCCTCGCCGGCCGCCTCAGGCGCGGCCTTCCCTCTTATGCGCTCGGGCGCCCGTCCCACTTCCCCCCGCCGCCGCCGCCGCCATGCGCGYTCCGGAGCCCCCGGGCTCGGGCGGCCGGCCGCGCGGCGGCCTCGGCGGCCACGCGGGGAGGGGGCTGGCATTGTTCGCCTTTATTTATGGCTGTGTTTCTTGGCCCGGCCGCGCAGGCTAATGAGAAGCAGGCCGGCGCGCGGGCGGCTCTCAGGCTCCCCCCGTCGGGACGGGCTGAGGCGGCAGCCCCCCGGCCCGCTGCCCTCTACGGCCGCCTCTTCTCCCGGTGTCACCCCGCTTCTCCTCACGGCCGCTGTCTCCCAGCAAAGGGGCTGCCCGCGAGGAGCTGCCGCCATGCTGCATGCGAGGAGTAGCAAGGAAGGGCCCTCCAGCATCTCCATCCACCCTGCAGCACCCCAGGCTGGGACAAGACCGAGCAGACACCTCCGTGATCCTTGGTGGAGGAGCTGCTTGATTCCCATCTAACGTCTCCCCCAAACCACGCTCCACGGCTTCACTACGTGCCTTCAGCCTCTCCCATCCGTGCAGCCAGCTGGAGCTCCTTCCCGGGGTCACCAAGCCCTTCCCCATGGGGTTCAGCCTGCGCCGCTGTTCCCAGGGTCCAGGACGTGGTTCTGCCCTTGCCTCCTCCTCCTCTTCCTCCCGCACCGCATCCTGAGCGCGCTCTTCCAGAGCGAGACTTTTGTTCTGCCCTGCTGCCTTTCAGACAAGCTGCAAAAGCGGCTTCGGGGCCGCAATGGCCCTTAGACATCCCTCAAGCTTCTCCCTGTATTCTATATGTATATAGAATACATACATAATCCCCATAGAATACATATATTAATTCCCTGTATTAATTCCCTGTATTAATTCCACTGAGTTAAAGATCAGCTTGGGAGGGTAAACCTGCCTGTGCAAAGGAGAGCCAGTAAGAGAGCATCAGCTCCCATTCAAGCAGAGGATATTTCAGATAATTCCCTAGGAATTCGCAAATCTAATAGAAATATTGATTAATCCTAGCAATGAAATTTACTCCGGAGCCACACTTTTACTGTTTCCCCCACCTGAAACAGGGGTGAATTGCAAGTTGTACTAAAAAAGGTGCTCCAGGAGCCTGTCCTTCAGGCACAGGGAAGGCATCTGGGTGCCACAGCACCATGGTCAGACACTGTCCCACAATGTAATAGACTTTGAGGTCCTCTTCAGTAGACAGTCTCCAAGGTCCGCGCCTGTTCCCAGCCATCACCCTGCTGACGTTTGTGCTGGCCTGGTTTTAAAGCTCAGGACGAGCACAGGATTTCATCACCGAACAGCTCCATCTCTCCAGGCCATCTCAGCATCTTACCTAAGTTCAGGTACCCCCATTAACAGATCATCAAGTGGCCCTGAGATGCAGGACTTCTCAGGACCCTTTAGCAGTGCCCCATTCTCACCACAACTCTCTCCTCCTTAGGTTGAGCTCTGTAATAAAGCACCAAGGACTCACTAAAGCTGGAAGCTGCTCAAACTCACCAAGGTGGGCTGTGCATTTCCCATGCTTTCCACGAGAGGACAGGAGGAACAGCAAACGCTGCAAAATAAAAAAAAAAAGTTGCTTTAAAAGATAAACCTGTGTGTCATGGGACTGCTGGGAAGTGGAAGGCATTATCATCCCATCTGAAACACAGACAGCTCCATGGAAGTTCAACAGAGCAACTATAAATCAAGAGTCTCAGAAAAACCTCATCAGGAATGTGCAGAGGGGCAAGGCTCTGTGGAGCCGCAGGGCGCTGCGAATATCCTTCTAAGAAAGGGCCATTTGTGGTCACAAATGACATGGAGGGGTGAGCCAGGGACTGGGACACAGTAGGGATCATAAGCCAGAGGGAAACCTTAATGCAGCTTGATAKTCAGCAGCTGATAGACTCCAAATGTCTTCCCACACCACATCTTTCTCCCACATGCTTCCAAGAGGCAACGTGGAGGAAATTAGCCACTTCCAAAGCATTTTGCTGCTAGTGCATTTGCCCACTGCATCACCCCACATCTGTGTCCTGAGCATTACCATGCACACGAGTGTCACCATCTGCTCCCTTCTCCACTTGCTCAACCAGTGCAACGACTGGATTGCATTTCTCAGTTATCCTGTTCAAGTGCTTGGAGCAAACCTGGGTTTGGTAAAAGCATCTAAAATTAGTGCAGACTCACTCACAGGCTCTTGCTGCTTCCCATGCCACAGGGACACGTGGAGTAGCTGTAGGCCATGGAGAGGTTCATGGCACTACATGCAGCTTGAGACCGCAACAGCTGGTGATTATCCAGCACAGTTTACAAAAGGGCTTGTTGTGAAAAGGAACAGGCGCCCTTGCACCCGCCTGTGGCCTTAATCACTCGATATCCCTGCTGACAAGACCTGGAGGAGCTGTGGCACCCAACACGGTTCTGCAGCTGGATGGCAGGCCAGGCAGCTGTGGCACAGATTAGATCAGATCGGGGGTTCTGCGTGGCTACCTGAGCCAAGAACAGCACGTGTGAAAAGATCCCTCAGCTGGGAAACTCACAGCCTTGGTATGCTCCATCCATCCTGTGCTCTGGCCTGTCCTCAACGCCCACATTTCCCTGTGTCCTTCATGCTCACGTAGGGAAGCAAGCAGCACATCTGGATCTCACAAGGCCAGGTTATGCGCTCAGTGCAATCCCAGGCACCCACCTTTGGATCTTCCACCACTCACTTGCCATTACAACCACCAAGGGTCTTAGATTGTAACAACTCATTCTGCAAAGGATAAGACAGTTGTAGTGCAGTGTTAGGGCCCTACGCTAGTTGTAAGAATTTCTGCCTTGATATAGAGGTAGAAACCAAAAAATGGTCTTCCCACATGCAAGCTGACGAAGTCATCCATTAAAAATACCATTCAACCTGCACACAAAACCACAGACATCCAGGTGGATGGCCTTTGGGAGCCCAGGATACACAGGTGGTGTGTTATGGCCTGCAGATCCAACCAGCAAGTCTGAGACTTACCCATCTCCCAAGGAAGGCCAAGGAGGGGCTCTGTGGATGACTCAAGAGAGTCCTGGCAGCAACTCACAACAAGCACCCTATGGCAACAGCGACTCAGGAGATGCAGCAACCTGAAACCAGGTAGAGGAGCCAACATAGCTACAGGAAAATGAGACAAAAAGAAGCCTGAAGTTTGTGTCACCCTCCTTGCAATATGGATAGGAAGTGACAGGGTTGTGGCACCCTAGGGCATGTGAATGGAGTTAGACTGTACGAAAAAACCCTCTTCTATTGGTGTTCCTCTAACTGTCCTCATAACCATGGAATCTGAGTGCCTTCCAGAAACATATTAATCAACATGGATTTCATTTGTCATATGAAGGTTATTCACCCTCCCACAGGGTCTAATTTGGCCTGGAGAACTCAGTTTATCTGCTGATGTAGGGAGAAAAATATTAATAAAAGTTTGACTTCCAAACCTTCTTTGTGTGAAAGAATCATGCCTTTTTCATTTACTGTGTTTCTGCCTGGTTTGTTGGTCAAGCCTGTAATAAACATGTCTTATGGCTACGTTACAACTTAAGCCTTATGGTAGTACAGCTCCCCAGCTGGTGAGCTAATAAATGCAATGCAAAATAGCATTATAATATAAGCTATGCATTAAAATCCTCTTTACAGGACTAAACTTTCATCTGAACTAATGAGCAGCYGGTCAGGAAGCACCATTCTTCTTCATTATGTTCTCCTTTCAGAGGGGAAGTGAATTTCAAAAGTGAATTTCAAAACCAAGATGCTTTTACAGATGGGCAAAAACGATTAGCCTACCTGGTTCAGCAGCGGGCAAATCCTTCTTCAGTTTCCACTGCTTCAAAGGCATTCAGCTGCATTCCCCTACAGGCCATCACACCACATCTAACAAAAAATTAGCATATAAGGAGGCAGAGAGCAGAAGCCTTTCTGGGAAGCAATCCTCCAAGGGAGGACCACTGAGAATCAGGCCGTATCTGGAAAGATCTGTAGTAAACGCTACTATGTTCTGTGGGAAGCAAAGTTCTTTTCCCAAAGAAGTCAGACACTTCCACTTTCCTTTTACATCATTCCTCGTATTGGTTTCCATAGTGATCTTTCCAGTTAACAGCAATGAGAGATGAGAACGTGTCCCAGACAGGAACAGCTCCAACTCCTCAGTCATTCTCCCRTCACCGCCTGATTAGGCAAATTTCTACCTTGATTTTCATCCTCCGTAGTCAGGCCTCCAAAAACATCCATTAACAAGCAGAAGATTCGCATCAGATTTTTATATATATATATAAGGGTCCTTCAAAATGGCATTTGCAGTGCAAAAGGTARAAGTAATGGAGAACATCATGACAGAGTTACTGAGAAATGTGTCTGAACAGTGAATAAGCTTTTATTAAAGCACTTTTAAAGCACGAAGTGTCTTTCTACCCCACTCTTCTCCACTGTTTTCTTGCCTCGTCAACCTGACCACAATCCAGACTCCTACCACAACCCCAACCTGCAGACAAYATATCTACAGGTAGGCCAAAACCAAAAACCTGTCATTATATTTACTCTGCAGCGAAGAAAGGGCAAGTGAATAATGAGAGAACTGCATCAAAGCTGCTTTCAGGTTCCGGAGACAATGCTAAAAAAACAAAGAGAAAAGTCAGAAGCATATTCAGCATCTGCATAATAAAAGTTGGTGGAATATGGCAAACGCAGACCAAAGAGCATTGCTAATTGAACTAGAACACAAAGCCCGCTCCTCTAGGGTCCCACAGAAGTAATTCTGTCCTCTTTAAACACTAAATTATTGGCAGAACTTACCCTCAAAGTCTTTGCATAGCAGTGGATTAAAAGATGACTCCATTCTGGAATCAACACAAGACAAGCATAATTTCCTGCGACTTTGGAAAGAAGTTCTGCGTGTTGGAACCAATGACTTCAAATTTCAACAGTCTCCTTCCACAGAATTATAAACACTGGATGCTCTGCACCCAGCTGAGTCTGAACTGACCTGACGACAACTCAGAATTTTAAAGTGGAACGAGTGTGAGTCATCTTCACTAGTATCTTTCATGGAGTAACCAAGCAAAGGATCGGTGGAAATGCTGCTAGAGGACTGAAGAAACCACCTGCCTCTTCCCTTATAATGTGGCCATAAGGATCTCAGAAGGCTCTGAAAAGCTGCAGCTCCTCCTGATTTCATCTGTAATTCCACGTGCTCACTCCTCTGGGGAGAAAAATAAAACAACCTTGCGAAGTTCTCCAAGATCTACCTTCCCCTGCCCACTTAGTGGGAAACAAGCTCAAGACCAGTGTAAAACACYCAACCACAACCTTCAGATCACACCGTCTCACATATTAAGTTCAAGTACACTTGAATTGAAACCACTTCTCCCCTAGGAAAAGGGAAAAAAAAAAGCTATTTACTGTTATCAAATGAGGAATTATGCCTATTTTTTGCTAAAGCTCTCAAGCGAACCTCTAACAGCTTACAGAACAGTGACTGCTACTTAACTTGGTTAATTTTTTTTAAAAAAAAGGAAAAGAGAACAAGATTAAGCAAACTTTTGCAGCAGCTCTTCATTTGTTTATGAAGGTTTTACAGCCTGCAGTTATCTCTACTTACATGACGATGGGAACTCCAACTAGTTTAAGGGGAGAGTCTCTACCTTTCCTTATCTGCACTGCATTTAATTACTGACCTCTATGCTTCTGTTAGGGAACACCAGACAGGCAGTGCGGACACTTAAATAAAAACAASTGTCACGTGCATTATCTGAATGTGAGACTCCCATGCACACCCCAAGGCACCAGCAGAGCCCTTCAGCTTTTTTAGGAGCATGTTTTTCATCAGTTGAAAGCTTAAATGTACTTTTTAAGAAGCTAACTGGCTTTAAATGAGCACTCAGCAAGACAAGATCTTGTCACAGCGACTCCAACACAGCTGAATTTCTTATCACATGCAAAAAGCAAGTCTTTTCAGATGCATATGAGAGGAACTGGCATGACAAACCTCAGTACCAGTAAGCTTTAGCATGCTCTGATTCAGCAAGGTATAAAAGCAGGTTTCTAGCCCCAAAGGAACAACCTGAAGGCACAGCAGCAACCTCGATCCAAATCGGTCCCAAGAAAAACCGTTAGTTCAAGGCATAAAGCTAAAAACACATTTTGAAAGGTGGAAAGCTCTAAGCAAATATGAAAACTCATCTATCATAGACATGCACTGTTGTAACGTTTTAACCCCCTCCTTTAACCTAAAATTTCTGAGGCCAGATACAGCCTTCCAATAGATTAGATCATGTCTCTAATTTTTTTTAACAATACTTTTTATGCTACTCTAAAGTCATCYTGTGTGATTTTCTTCTTTCTTGGGGCAGTACACAACAGCTACTTTAACAGCATGCGCTACCACAAGGGCAGCACAGTTGCAAGGGGATTATGTTTCAGGTAATTTAGTGGAGTCCCATTGACTTCCAAGGGAAACACGTTACTTCCCAGGAATTGAAGATCTGATTTACTACAATTCCATGGAAATGCTTAGGGTAAGCAGCAAAGCTGGGACACRGCCACCACTGAGGAGCTCAGCCAACAGACTGAAACAAAAAGGTCCATGAAATTCCTAAGGAACCTAAGTGTCAAAACTGCCCTGCCCAATCTGATGCACCATTAGAGTTGTTCTTGGAATTAAAATGCTACAGACATCTGAACTACAGAAAACTTGGCAGTATGAACACATGACAACACCGCTTGCATACACGAAGCTTTCCTCGAGTGTATTTTCCTGTTTATACACCCTGAATGTCACTCCGTCGTGACGAGCAAATGAAACCATCACTTCTATCATCACGAATCATGGTCGTATCTCTGTGCTTCATCTTTTGCCACTGTGAAGCTACTTGATTGCATAATTAAATATCATGCAGATATGCAATATCTAATGAAGTGAAGGCACAGCTCACAGAAAGCTGTATTGGTGGCTTAATTTCCATTATGAACCCATCACTGTTCAGCTAGAGGGGCTAGGAGCATTTTACAGGTACATCTGATTTATTTCTGTTTTAATTCACGAGTTTGTTATCTTTTCTGGTATTGTTGGTATGAGCACCAACAAAWGCCCTTTTGCCTATGCTATAGAGGGGAAATCTCATTTCCCAACACAGTAAAAACAAATATGTCCTGATTAGCCTCTCCTGGCTAGCACAGCAGGGCAGCAAATGGAAGTCACAACCCATCCACTCTTCCAGGTGCTACCATGGTCCAACTTTACAGCTCTTACTAGTTACCTTATGAGTTCTTATGCTTTCCCTCAGAGAATTTAAGTACGTCCAGTTTCTTCAGGTGCAGTCCATATGAACAATGAACATGGTTCCTGTAACGGCTGCTACAAACTGATTCCATGTTATTTATTTTTTTCATAATACAAAACAAATCCGGTTTCTACATTGAAATTGGAAATAAAAACCATAACAAATCATTGTTAAAAACAATTTATAATAAATATAAAAGTTATTCTAAGCAGGTAATCATAAATATATTATGATGCAAATACTTGCAACCTATGTATACTTAGAAGTGCAGAACACTACAAACAACAGCCATTTACTTAAGACTTCAATTCACGTTAAAATCCTGATCCTTAAAGCACTTATTAATATGGCTGATTGTATTAGTACAAAAATGACACTATTRCATTTCACAGAGCATGTGTTGCATAAGTGTTTACTGCATTATCTGCTTCACAATCTCCTTCACAGAGGAAGGCACTAAATTTACTGAGCGTAAAATGTCTTTGTTGAGCACCAGATCCTTATCAGTTCCATGGYACCTTCCTCCCCAAGACACGGTTGGTGATTTTCTGTAATGTAAAGACAAAAGGGCAAGATGTCAGTAGGAATCCTCTAAGAACAAAACCATTAAGCATTAAGGTATCATTGATGAGTTTTCTGAAGAAAAATGACTGCTTATACATTCTAGGACAGGTAACGCGGCCCAGTTGTTTCCCCAAGTTGTTTCAGTATGAAAGACASCAGAAAATTGGCCCAAAGAATCACAGCATAACTTGACAACTTGACTTTGGTTGACAGACTGTTTCCCCAGGCAACCAGGATGGTTCCACAAGTTTCCTTCCCCTTCGGGATAGGGGACAGCTCACCTGAGCTGTCTGTTCCCCATCTTCCAATACAGTTACAAAGATACAAGAAAACTAGGAGAGATGCAGAGAAGGGTAACAAGAATGATGGACAAAATCAAAGTGTTTTATATAATAATCAAATGAATAAATCAGGACTCTCTGCCATGGCAGTGGATGAAGAGGGAACGCATGACTAAAAGGGAAGTGATGATGGGCTACACAATCATAAACAGTCTGAAAAGGGAGAAAAAGAAAAGTGATTCACCAACTTTAAAAAAAAAGTTAAAAAAGGGAAAGGAATCACTTAAAACTAACTGGTAACAGCTTCAAAAAAAAAAAAAAAAGTTTTAGGTTGACCAGTTGCAGTCTTTTGTAGTTAAACTGGGCAAAATGCATGATCTGCTCAATCACGTTGCCAACACCATCAGTTAACATTTCACAGAGCAAATGGACAAATCCACTGAAAGTGGAAGAAAAAATATATATATATATTTATATATATAAATGTAACATATCTCAAAYTGTCTCAGCTCCATGAATCACATGAGACTCCTGAAGGGTTTTAGGAAAGCACTGCTACCCTGTGGCTCCGGCATCACGTTTCTCCCTAGGCACCTGCTGGTGACCCGTTCTTGTCACCATGAGCATTTCGGGTTGCGATATATCCCAGCCCTGAAGTTGTGCAGCCCAGAACACACATTACTTGGCTTTTAAAGAGTATCACATAAAGTGACAGCATCACCCAACTCCTCTGTTATTAATAGTGGRGGGAATGATATGGCCTCTTGCATCACCCAAAAGCAGCAGATGAAGACATATTGCAGCTCATATATAGATATATACATGAGCACACATACACACGTTGCATACTCTGGGTATATCTGCTATATAGAATAAATATATTTACACACACACACACACACACACACACGTAAATGCAATTGAGTTTTCTTCCTCCAGAGACAGGTGCTCTTTCCTTTGGGATACTGACACCTAGTGGCCCATCTTGCTCTTGTTCTCTCAAGATGTCTCAGCAATAATAGGAATAATGTTAATATTACAAGTGGTCACTGCTCCTGAATGCTAGCACTTTGTTTTTCTAGGGTATAGGAAAATACACAACTTACCCCTTYGTGGAGGTTTCTCCCATGCTGCCTATTTACAAAAAATGGCAAAGGAATCACAGCTAAGGACAAAGCCTCAGTGAGGGACTTGGGACACGGGCACCCCTCACTGGTGTGATGGGAATTCACTCCCTCCCCCTGATTAGGCTTTATCTAGACAGATGCCCAACAATTTGGGAAAGAATTGTACCTTACTAAGTTTGGGAAAGGTACAAAAGAAGCCCTCAAGAAAGGTCTGCACTAGAGTACTGACCTGCTGTTCTGTATCAAGTGTGCCCATCCCCAACAGCAAGACCCATCTCTGCAAGGACTGCACCCCTGCCTGAAACAGCTTTGAAACTATTCATGATACCAAAAATGGCAGTTTGGGAACGACCCTAAATCACCTACGTTGCTAATCTGGCTTTTGCCACGATAACCAAAAATAAACAAACCCACCTTCCTTCTCCTAGTACCCTGTGATCTCTGGAGCTACTCCACAAAATCTGTCCATTTTCTGCTTGCAYAATCATCCTCTCAGAAGCCGATGCTCTCAAAAGCACATGAGCAAAAGTCTACACAAAACATTTGCTATAGCCACAGCTATTCACTACAGCTGCTCTGTATCACCAAGAAAGACGACAGAAGATGACAATATTCCCCTCGATGAATCATCATCCCTCTTCAGATCAAAACCACACCAGTGTAAGAAACTTCCTATGGGATTCCTTCTCTTCCAGCTGACTGTGCTACCACTAAGTAGCCTTTCCTTCCCTAGGCCTGGCACCTGAGACCTTCAAGCTGGTGACAAGGATTCCAAATACACCCTGCAGAGTATCAAGTCCAAGTAATTCCAGCAACAAGCACCCACAGTCAAATTAGGCAGACACTCTGGTTAATACTTTGTGCTACAAACACTCAGCTTTAAGATCCGATTACTGCTGTTCCCAAAAAATGACTAACTCCATTTACTCCAGCACTGGTGGAAATATGCAAAGACCTAATTTTTTCACAATTCCATGTGACCACAAGGTAAAAAAATATTCCAGGGTAAGACACTTGCCAGGGTACTTACTGTTTTATAAAGCTGGGCTTTTAGCCGGTATGACTTGTATTCTGATTTTCTCTTCTCTTCCTCTCGCTTCTTCTGCACTTCTGGCAGCTGCTCATAGATCCTTATGGTAAATACAAAAAGTCAAAGATAGTGACTTAGAAGAAAGGAATTTATTAATATAAAAACATTCTATATTTGGTTCACATTCTGTTAAATGATACTAGCCAACTACAATGGAGAAAAACTTAGCCAGGGGCTTACAACTGTCACAGAGGAAGGGTGAAATACACAACAGTTGTGATACTGGAAATTCTCACATCCCAGTAACACCTTTTCCTTACTGCAGCACTCTTTTACAAGCAACATTTAGGACATTAAAATGACCATAAACCTGCTTTAATTACCTGATAAAGATTCAATGTCATCACTACACAACAGCCCTACTGTTTAGAGGATGTGTTGTTTTTGAATATGTTTATTCATAAATAGTAATACATTTGACAGAAGAATTAACTAATTTAAGAATCTTTTATATCCAAACATTGCTCTACCTTGGCCAGTATTTTGCCTKCCCCATGGCTGAAGTGCTCCCACAGCAGAGCCAAACAAAAGATGCTTTGAACTCAATAAACGGTGAGCAGTGCTCAGCAGGGAGCTAGCACACTGCCAGTCCCTTCTACATGCTACCACGTGAGGGCTGGCAGTCTAGTGCTCCCATTCTCTTCCCCATATCTCCTAGTGCTTCCTTTAATATCAAAAAGCTTTTTAGTTTCGTCGCAGTCATTACCAAGACCCACACAGCTTCGAAAAGCCCRTGGTTTAGGGGAAGCAAAAGTGAATCATGTCGAAAAATTTCAGCCCCAGAACACTCAAGAGATCACCCTCCTTTCTCAACCTACAGGTTTGATATTCAGCAAAGGGAGCAAAAACTATTGCAGAGTCTGTCTTCGTAGCGCTGTATCTTTTAAGAGACCGTTTTGTTCTTCTGTCACTCCGGTATCATCCACTGCACAGTTACTGTTGGCACTTTAAATGGTTTAAACACATCTATGCCATCAACTGGTATTATATCAAAGTGCTTCGACACATTCCACTTCAAAAATTGCAGATCAATACAGCCCACCAGCCCGGAGCAAGGAGGGCAGCTTTGACAGCCGTCTCGATGCTAATTCCAGCAGGGAAGCGAGTGGAACCGGCAAGGCAAGCGAGGGAGGCAAACGGGAGCCCATTTGCCCTGAGTGACTGTTTAGTCAGTACCCGAGTGGGGTGTCACTCACGTTTCAAGGAGAGAAGGACTAGAAATTAGCTGGAAAAGAAAGCAATGGGAAGGGAAAAGTTGCACGTAACTCAGCAGCTGAGCTACCTGCAAGGAATCAAGCCCAAATCTCAACCAATTTCACCTTCAATCTAATTKCCCAGCATTAGCTGGGAAATCAGTTTTCCCATCCACACTTGTTTACCAGTCCTGACTTCCCTGTAGAATTCATCAGTTTTTGTTCCTCAAGAGCAAACATTTATACCAGGAAACACTTTAGAAGGCCWTTTAATACTGCATCTATACTTACAATTGCCATTATATCCTAAAATACAGCATCTGAACTCTTTTTGGTGACCTACCTTCCTGTGCATCCCTGCTTTCCTACTCTGTCTGCAGCTGCTTTTGGGAGGCCACCTTTCCTAAAAATGTTACTGTCCACGTTACCTCTACAGAAAAGAGGAAATAAATCACATTTTCAATGTTATTTTATTTCTCTTTCAATTTGCTGGAATAGCAGCAGAGGGTGTTAGGTCTTCAAAAGTGCTACTGGATGTGAGAGGGGGGAAGAAAGACCTGAAGATTTCAGGATTTGCTTTAGTACCAGCCCACCATTCTCTAAATGCTTCCACCACTCTGGGGCACCCCTCAGTTAAAGATCCACTCACTGATCCATCCTATTTTTATTAGTGCCAGCTAATTTGCCGTGAGAATCTCGATTTATACACTCCAAGGAAAAAGAAAAAAGCTCCTGCATTCATCATACGTGTGGATGTCAAAGGATGGTACAGAATAGATTACTTCTCAGCTCCACCTGCGAGCTGGAGTATGACAGCAGCATAAAAAAAGCCACAGAGTGTGACTGCCTGAATCAGTCTCCATAGAAATCCTGCTGATTTTGGTATTCTGAAATCAGAGGTCCTGAAAACACGGGAGCTCAGATAACATCAATCATACGCTACAAATGATCTGAATCAAAAATCTTTCCCTTTCAATTAAAAGGTGTGGACAGGCACTCTTCACAGAATTTCTATACACCCCAATTTTGTCACCTATTAATGTCCTAAAAAACCTTAAACACCAAAAAACTGCTGAAATCGTGTCCTGTTTGGAYTCTTCTACCAGATAAATACATATTAAAGGGTTTATTTTATACATTACCTATTTTAACATGTATTTTCTAGAATCACAGAATAATTTTGGTGGGAAGGGATCTCTGGAGATCAGTTAGTCCAACCTCCTGCTCTAACAGGACCAACTTCAAACTGAAATCAGGTTGCTCAGGCCTCGTCCTGTCGACTTCTATCTCCAAAAACAGAGATTTCAGCACCTCCACCAGTCCCTACTCAGCATTTAACCATCCCCTTTGTGAGAAACCCATTTCCCTGCATCCAGTCAGAATTCTCCCTCCCTGGAAGGGGCATCTCTTCTCTGTGCAATTCCCACAAAAAGGTTGACCTGTCCTGGGAAAAGACCCTGTATTTGTCACTGTCAAACTCCACGAGAGAAGTCTCTATTGGTCACCGCAGTGTCCCTTTGGTGCTGCACAAACCCTTTCCATCCCACGTGCTGTCAGCTCAGCAAAGCCCCAACGCTCAAGCTGCATCCCAAACCTTACACGTCCCTTGCCTCAGGRCACGTTCTTGGCCTTCGCTGCTGTTTTCACATAACAACTCACATTACAAGCCAACAGAGACAAGTTTCAGAAGCTTCTGAYCTTTTTTATTTTGGTATTTATTCTGCTTCCTAACTAGAAAGYCTCCAAATCTCTTCCTTGTGCCTCCTCTATCATTTCATAATCCAGTTGCAATAAATCCTTTTTTTTTTTWTTTTACCTTCATACACYATCTCTGCAGAGGCAGCACTTAAGCAAGCAGCATGTTTTATACACAACTGCTTCAATCGAACGTAAGGTAAAGGATAGCACAAGGCAGCTTTCTTCAAAATTAAAAGCCTCCAAATTCCTTCAYGGGCTACCATTTTAAACATTAAGCTACTTGCACTTGCAGAAATGGTACCTCACTTCCAACACCAACTACCCAGGGAGTTTAACACAGTGTGTTATGTTTGACACCGTACACATGCTCTAGTGGCCTGTATCCTGTCCTCTCCCTTTGAGATCCACAATTTGGACAGTTGGCTGTAGTGTCTGGATTGCAGACATGCAGCAAAATATCCAGGTATAGTTACAGAAACTCTTTTTTTCTAATAGTCTTGTTTCTGGAATTTTCTTAGCACGTGCTTTCTTCCTCTGATAAAACACCTACATTATGCCCTGAAAAAGCTGAGTTATCCCTAAGGCACASTGTTTTACTTGCAAATACGATGCATCCATCTTTTCTGCCCATTTATTGAGGTCACTTACTACCCAAAACAAGATTTTCTTAACCTTACTTTTTGGATCTTTGAACCATTTCACTCTTTGGAATCGTTCTTCTCTTCTGTCTGGTCAGATAACCTAAATGCAAGGTTTTAAGATAAGAGAACAGTAAATGWGTCTACTTCTCACAAAGAATACTATTGCAACAAACTTACTCCTTTTTAAGGTATGGATTCTTATCCATATGTAAACGAAAATTTACATTTAMAATTACATTTCAGTAAATGAAAATAATTTTATTGGAAAAACATACATTTTTAAGCATACACAGGAAATTCATCAATTCCTACAGAACGTGAAACAGTATAACCATGAAGTACCTCTTTCAGCGAGCAGGCAGCTTGCATTCCTGTGGCCCTTYCTTTTCTCAGGAGGATTAAACAGCTGTTCTCGTTCGCACTGCAACACACTCTGCATCTTTCTCTCCTCCATGACCAGCTTCAGGCGCTTTACACGCTCTCCAGAGCGGGAGATGAAGTCAGGGCGATGCAACGCAAGAGCCTCCTAAGACCAGATGACACAGAACAGTCTAGATTGGCCAGGACTTCCCTTTCAGGCTGGAAGAAGTTAATCAAAACATCAAAGCACTGGGGAGGAGGGGGAAACACTTCAAAGAAGCATTCAGTGTAAAATACAAAGTCTTGCATCTTTAAGGCTGGGTAGGTGCTCAGGGATCTGAACATCAAAGTATTTGTCAACAACCTGAAAAGTAACTAGATGGGAAGAAAAGAAAAAAGAGGACAGCTAAAATAATCAGCCAGGGGAACACAAACTTCTCAGAAAAGCACAGCAAAGCTGAGATAGAGCTGGGCACACAGAGCAAAAATGCTGCAATATGTTACAGTCTCCATCACTGTAAGGCAGTGGCCGTGTCAGTACACACACTCCTTGCACTGTATGAATTAAATCCCATTTTAATCACACACTATTTACACCAGGGAGGCAAATATAGCTTGAAACTGAATTCTCTCTAGTTCCTGAAGCCATTTGATTCAAGCCCCTAAAGTACTAGACTAAGTCATATACATTACCTTCTTTGCTTATGGCAACCTGGCTGTACACTATATGATAGATAATTTTGTTTCGGTTTCTTTTTCTTTTGMATATGAGTGGGCTCTAATATGTTGTCTTTGAATGATAACAAAGGTGAAAAATAAATAAATAAATATAAATAAGGACAAGATTTTCTTTTCAGAAGCTTCAGTCACATGAAGTGGAATTTCTGTCCTGTGAGGGTGACAGAGCCATGAGATTGGCTGCCCAGGGAGGCTGTGGAGTCTCCTTCTCTGAAGATCTTCCAAATCTGCCTGGATTCAACCAGGTGCCCTGTGCTCTGGGTGTCCCTGCTGGAGCTGCACTGGATGATCTCTAGAGGTCCCTTCCAACCTCAAGCATCCTGGGATTCTGTGATTCTTAGGATCGCAGAGCAAAGCCAGCAGCCTGTACCTGCAGCGTCAGCCTCACGAAGGGCCGTGGGGACCTGTTCTCAGCACCTCCCCCCGGCAGGGCCGCGTGSTGGGCGCTGCTCTGCTGCTGCTCCTGCCCGTTCCGCTCCCGGAGCGGCTCCCGCCACGGCTTCGTGCTGCTCAGTGGTTCAAACCAGGCTGGACCCGGCCCAGAGGAGGCACTGGAACAGTTTTCTTTCTTAGATTCGGATTTCAAATCCTCTGCTTGGGCAAGCCAGGAAACTCCTATTAAAGACAGAACAAAAGGAAATGAAGACTGTGTAGACAACACATTTTCCTATTTTCCCTCCCCATCTCCATCCCTTCATTCTCAAGAGCTCAGCTCAAGCAATAGCTGAATACTGAAGAGACTCATTCCAGCAGTGCCACTGATTCCAGGGGGACCCTGTATCTGATGCCCTTGGCACGTGCAAGAAGGTCCCTTTGCCAAGTGTCAGAAACCCCCCAGGTTTCTACCAAACACAATGTTGGAAAGGCACAAAATGGCTTAGCTTGCAAACTGCTCTCTTTACAAGAACAGCAGCTATCAGCAATAATACTTATTTAAGGCATCTCAGTGACGTCCCAAACTCTGTGACTCTCTATAGATATTTTTGAAGGGCAAATGCTTCACATTTTCTGAGTGTTAAATATGTATACAAGAATCACATTACTCACAGTTTACATATATAATGGGCCTTGAACACATCGCCCAGTACTCTGAAGAGATATTCTAAGTTTTCTAAATTAAACTGGTATGAGAGAGAATGATTCGTCCCTAACAAGCATGATGACTAAGGGTAAATATTTTAAAACATTTAATTAGTGACTTTGGGCAGGGGGAGAGGAAATGGAGGGAAAAAATCCATAAATAAATAAATAAAGGGAAATACAGCAAAACAAGTGACATTTCATCACTGGAAAAAAGCAATCCTAGCTAAAAGGGTAAATCAAGTTGGGTTCTTCCAGTACCATCATCTTKTTCTTACTCCAGTACTGCTTAAAAAATGCTTGTTCTGTGAAGCCTCAGTACATGAAACAGTAAGTCAAGCTACAAGATCYACATGATGACCATTTTATCTATCTGATTTCACTTATTTATTGCCTCCTATTTACCACCTTCACTGCTTACGTCACATACGAAAACTAGATTGAAAATGACACCATAAGGGAGAACGAAGAGAACCTTACTTGACAGAAGTGTGTTTAAAATTAATTATAAAAAAAATTTAAAAAGTGTGTTTAAGATTAATGCGACTACATTAATAGTGGAGACCACTGTGTTCTAGCTAAGCTTGACCTTGTGCTTTGCTGGTTGCTGTTGAGATACACATCTTTTCCAGTCTATAGAGAAATGCATTTTGCACTGACCTTGTGGCAAATGCAGCCTGCTCCTTTTCATCTTTTTGTCCATACAAAGACTGCCCGTCTGGCCCTTCTGTTTGCCCCGGCCTCCTGGTACCTGCTGATCTGTGACCACACCAGCTGACTCTCCAAAAGCACCAGTGCCACAGAGCCAGGGTTCCTGTGGCCGTGCACTCGGCTGGCTGCATCTCGGAGTTGGAAAAGTCACACCAACATCCCGAGTGTTCTTTTTAGTGGCACTGCTCACAATCTCCAAGTCTCCTGCAGTTTAAAAGGAAGAAGTCACATCTKATTCTGGAGCAGCTGTTACAATATATTAATCACCCCCTCCTTCCTCAAAAAAATGTATTCCTCATTTTTAATCAAAATGAAAATGCCCACTGCCATAGGCCTTTATCTCCAACCCCGATCAGCACTTTTTCCCTTAGGAGATCTGACAAAAATAAAGCATTCCTTGGAAGTACTTTAACATCAGCGTGTGTGACATGAATAATGTAGAGGACAATTTTAAAGCAAGAAGTGAAGGGTGTCTTTCAAGGACGTGATACAGAAAGACAAAATTTTTTATATTCTCACTTCAAATTCAAACGATTTTACAGTGATTTGAGATAGTTTCTGATAACCTGAGTGAAAAAAGGGATGGATGTCAACTTGGTTCCCTCTGAACAAGACAGGCACGTGGGGTGGAGAGGAAGATACCAAACTGGAAACAAGTGTGGAAAATAAAGAACAAGCTAGGAAAATAAGCAGAGGTCTGAAGATCCAACTTCTGAAAGAAACAGCCATTACACGACTGCCAGTATGGAGCTGTAGGGCTGCAGGTTTCTCTGACAGGTCCAGAAATGCTCATCCAAAACTCAGCTTCATCTCCAAAACAGAGGGTTTGTCCACAACACCAAAAACACTCCAAAGAAACATAGAGCCAAGGTGTTAACTAATATTTAAAAGAATTGTAATGTGACTTTGAAAGCACATAATGAAAATATTTTTTTTGCTGCAGCTCATTTGCCCATATCAATAATTCATTACTGCATTTTTTTTAAACTGATGAATAAAATTAAAGTTTTACTCAGCCCTGTGATGGGAACTTGAGGTACAAATTAAAGGAATGGAGAAATTGAAAACTGCCACCAGAAGCAAAAGCCTGAATGCAGGACTACACTGGCCAAGGACCAGCTCACRGCTTCAGCAGAGTAGTAACACTGGTTATAGTTGGTGCTCATCACCAGGAATAAACAGACTTTGGAGGAAGATTTCCAAAGAAATGAAAAGCAGAAGAAAATACACACAAGTCTGGTCTGGAACCCCAAAACTCACCTGCTTGGATACCTTTGTTTAACATCCGTATTCGTCTCTTGTTGCTAAGAGCAGAGCTTGGTCCCCAAGAGCTACTGCTAGTGGAAGCTGAATCGGGTGAAAAAGCAGCTGCCTTCTAAGAAAAACAAAACAACACACCCACACATGTAAAAGCCCAGAAAGTCCTAAAAATGCAACKGAAAAGAGCCAAAAGTAAGTTTCCAATAGCAAGCAAGATCAAGATGAGGTATTTAACACAGGCTGATCAGTGTTTCTTACCCAATACCCAGCCTGGACTTCATTAGCACACACTAATTCACTTGCAGCACCCAACCCTAGCAGGGAGGCTGCCTGTTTCCTGCAGGTCAGAGCTTCCCGGTGTGATCAGATTTGGGGAGCTGCTGAGCATCCTCTACGGGGCACAGGACAATGGGGACCGGCACATCTGAAGCATTTAAAATGTGCTGGTTATGGCAGGGAGAGCCTGGCTGGAAGGACTCGCACTGCTCTGTTAGCTCCCCGTGAATTCGGGTTCTGCACCATGGCCGTGAAAATACACAGGGTGCTGGAAGCACAACCAGTGCTCCTGCTCTGGGTGATGCTCCGCATGCAAAGTGCACTAGGCAGAGAAAATTAAACTCAATGATAATGAGAACGGCAGCCCCGTGGCAGAGCGTGACCGTGATGCAATAATTTTATAGCCACTTAAAACGTCACGTATTGTGTCTGCAAGGGCCACGCACCTAGAGCACGAGCTCTGTCTTTGGGCAGAGAGCGGCGGGGCTCCGGGAGCGGCGCTGAACAGCGGGGGCTCCCCAGGCTGCGACCGGGGCCGCGCAACGGSGACCGGGCCAAGTTCTGCAACACCGCCCAATTTCCTTTTTAATTATGGAACTGATCCTCCCATCATAGCAATTAGCATCCTATTAGGAACCCATAAAGCAAGCAACAACGGGAGGAACAGAGGTTTCTTTTTTGTCTTCTAACTGAACCTCTGCTATTGCTGCTTCAAGGAGAAGCAATTTCATCTCAACATTAGAGAGGGGCAATTTCGACCCTCCAACATCCAGCCATTGGTCTTGGTTTTCTAAAACCTCCGGTCTTTGCTTTCCTAAAACCTCTGCAGCTCCGGTACAGGGCACTAGATCGTTGGAGACATGCACCTTGGAGCTGAAAAAAGCCAATTTCAATAGATGCACTCGGGAACCAGGAGGCTGAAGAGGATGCAAGGAAAAAGCACATGAGCAGCCTCACAGAAATAACTATCAGCAGTCCCTGGCTCCCGAATATCGACAGCACATTCTATTTGGACTGGAATATTCCGTGCGAGGCTTCCACAGCCCTTCAGTAGTTAAATAGCACAACCTTTAGCTTTGTACCTGCTAGCAGATGGCAGCGTGAAGAGTGCTTTAGAAATAACATAAACTGGAATAGATTAAAGCCGCTKCTGGGATGGGTCCAGCGCCTATAAATAAAAGCTGTAATAGCGTTTTCTGGGAGCAGAGCTGACAATAGGTTCTCATTAAAAACTGAGCTACCAAATGCAAAAACTCAACGCGAGCAGCCTGGAGGGTTTGTGCAGGGCTCCTGCTGCACGTGAGTGTCTCTTTAATCCACAGATATTTGCAAATACAAAAAAAAAAAAAAAAAATGGGTTTCTGCTCTTACACAGCAGAGAAATTATCAATGTGTCGATTTTAAGTTGAAGTCTAGCGTGTTTGTAGCTAAATTTTTCTCACCCTTTTTTGAGGGGGTTCCTGTGTCTCTTAACATGTTAAAAACAAACAAAAACCCACAGCAGGTAAGTGCTGCTTTCTACGAGGCAAACAGGTTCCAAGCAACCTCCAGCATTACGAATAATAAGGTTTTATTTTAGTAGAAGGGATGTGTCGTCTCATGGGTGATTTTAAAATGCAAAACAAGGGGTTGCTTCTCCAAGGCCTAGGAAGATACTGCAAGGTTTGGGGTAAGAAGTAGAAAAAGAAGTAAAATCATCTCCTGAAGAGTATCATGAAAGAAATGTAGGATCCCAAAGGCCATATTTAGAGGGTCACTGTTCTGACCGACTGTCCTGATGCTGCAGGCAGTGTATGACAGTTTTATTTCAATACTGAGAGGGCCTGTTGTTTTCTTCCCCTTGAGCAAGYTTTCAGTAAGTCACTTGGCATAAACACTGCATTTTAGTTGTTTCTATTAAAAAACTAATTTATTTCAGTGAAGAACTGTCATCATTAGTAACGATGACAGCCCATTTCTGGTAAAGAACACCAAAACTTTGTGACTTACTATAAGCCTCAACTCCATACTGAGGTCCCCTTTTGGGGAATCAACTTTTCATTTACCRCTGTCAGGATTGCTAAAAAGCAGAGCCTTTAAGTAACCAACAATCAGACACAGCAGGATCCTGCTTTCCAAGACAACCTCCCAGACAAATAAGGAGGGAAAAAAAAATGTAAACAAAGGGAAAGAAAAAATATAAACCAAGGAAAAGAACGCCGGGTTGATGACATAAGAGATTTTGATCTCCTCCTTATACCTGGAAAGGCAGAGCCTGGTTTGCTTTTGAGTTACTTGCATCAAAGCCATAAACCTATCAAATAAACAACACTCAATAGGAAATATTAAGCATTTTCCTAATAAAAACTCTACTGTACACAATGTGTATGTGTAAAAGAATAGCAGAAGTTGTCTTGTGATCATACCTGCATCTCTTTCCTYCTCCCCTGTCTCTCAGAAGCCTCCCTAGGATATTCTGCCCCCGTCACGGCGCTGCTCCACTCATCCCACTTTTCCGAGCGATTTTTCTGCTGATCGATGGCACAATAAAGCTGGGACAGCCGTGGGGACACCCGCACCCTTTCATGCCCAAAAGCCCTGACCAGCCTGGCAGTGTCGATGGTGGAAACAGAGCTGCTCCTCTCGGTCTGCGTGGCACTTTCCATCTCCGTGGGGGTCATCGTCTCCCACTCGGAGGTGGTGGAAGTGACCACAGTGCCATGATCTCTGCCAAGCCTCGTCTCTGAGGAAACCTCACTAGGAGTTTCCAAGTACTGCTGGTGCTCCAAAATTTTATCCATGTGACATATAGTCTTCTCTCTTGTCCTATTTTCCCTGAACTCAGCAAGCCTATTTTTATCGTGGTTGATACGTGGTCTTTCTTCGCCGTGTGCTGCATTAGGCTCTAAGTTACTTCCACACGTGTTCTTTTCCTGAAGCCTTGTTTTCTGCTGCTCTCCTCCCTTCCTTCTCTCTTCAGAAACATTCCTGCCAGGCTCTGTAGGTATCAGCGTGTGCTTAATGGGGTTCTGAAGGACTCTAGCCAGCCGATCAAGGCGTTCTACAAGGGACAGCTCACCAGCTCTCCTAAAATRGTGGTGCTGGTGTCTCCTCTGGCACCGCAGAAATTTAGTCCAGAGTTCATCTAAGCTACCACTAGAATGGGTTCTCTGTTTCACCGGAAGGTCTGTCTCCAGATCCTTGTTCAAGTCAGTCATTCTGGTCTTTTTCTGTTCTGCTTCTCTTCTGGCATGCTGAAATAGCTCCTTCCCTGAAGTTTCCTTCCCCATGGATGTACTAACGGCTACATCCTCATTCCTGCTGTAATCTGCTTCTGCAGTTAGGGGAAGGAATTCATTTTCATCCTCCTTCCTACGACGAGCAGAGGAAACTGGCTGATGGGGCTGTGTCTTTCTCCAGTTCTGGAAAGCGATGGAGGAAGGTCCAGTGTGTCCTGGGCCAGAGCCCTCCTCCGAGGCCTCACTCTCCGACACCGAGTACCCGTCGTCCATGGGCATTGGAGGATGCAGGAAGAACTGCGCCGACCTGAACGTGGAATGACTGGCTTTTACAGGCTTCAATTGATTCAGGCATTCTAGAAAGGAAAAAAATATTTGTATATTTATTTTTCTGTTCCCTTACATGTAAGTAGGTAGCAAACACGGAGATATTTGTCTTAAGACTCTCCAACCAYTTAAATAGGTTAAAAACAGGGATATCACGTTGCCCTCTCCCAAAATGCAATTATTGTTGAATGGAGTCTCAGCATTAACACCACTGCATGAATAATATTTTTGATCACTTGCTGCATACAATCCAAGAGAATATTGCTCCCTCTGAATCTGCAGGAGGAGCCAGATACGCTGTATGGAACTACTCAGGTTCCAAGTTCGAGGGGGTCTTCACTTCTATTCTTTTTCTTAGAAGATATTCTATTCTTCATAGAAGAAGAACAGAAGTTCTTCTACTTCACTTCTACTGATGTCAAGTCAGCATCAGGCAGCCAAGTCCATTTGCCCCTTCACTCGCGTGTCCTGGGAGAACCAGCACCCCAGGACTACGTCAGGACACTAAGGACATTACTTASAGCTACCTGGGAAGAGCACTACGTATTTAAGACCAATACCACTTCTCCTATCATTCCTAGAAGGATCCCTGATAGCTTATTGGAAAGATCCAACCCTGCTTTGCTTTTAACATGATATAAAAAAAGCTTAGTCAAAAGTAGCAATAAAAWCCTTCCAGAAAATACTACTATCTGAAGCTTCCAAGGGCCACACATAGAAACCCAAATACAAACTCATCTGTGTAAATGCAGCATGTGCAAGCAGGAGCATGCTGTAAAATCATTCCATAAAATCATTTGTCACAGGTCATATATGTTTCATGTCATGTTCCTTGAACAAATTAGCTTAATTGTATAAAGATCTGTAAATGCTGAAGGCAGAACTGGAGCTCCTAGTGCCAGCAGGACTGCAAGCTCTTATGCTTATTGTAAGCTCTCCTYCTCCTGTGCCACTCTACCCACAAGGAAGTTCAAAAGATACATTAGAAAATATTAATAGCCTTAATCTAAATAAAAGAATGAATGCAAAACAGTGCAGTCCCATTTACTAATGGTGACAGCAATTAGGAAATGGGGAGCTATCAGCAAATGCATATTGATCAAGTGCCATTAATGGCATGGACCACATTCAAATCGTTCTTTCCCGAGCTTTGCAATATTCCCCTCTCTTCTCCTTCAAGCAGCCTTCTCTTGTTCTGCTCTAGGATTGAGATCTACCGATAACRACCAATCTAGAAACTTTTTTTTCTTCTTTTAGAGCTAGTTTTTGCTGTTGATTCTACAAATGGGCAGCAAGCAGTCCCACAATCACATCTCTGCCTTCCCCAGGGAAGAAACACCCTTCTCCTCCTCAGGAACCACAGGCTGAGCCCTCTAGGCCCCAATGGCAAAACATGATGCAGGATAAATACAAGCAGGGACTATAAAATCATGACAATTTGGTTAACATTGCTTCATAAAACTTAGTTTTTAATTTGTAACTGTTTTCCCTTTTATTTTATGCACCTCTTTCCTTCCCTTTCTCAATAGGGGCAATGTTAGTGTCCTGTCAAGATTACGMACAGCCCCTCCAGGCTCACAGTTACTGACTTGGTCCTTGCACAAGGTTAATATTCACCCACCCATGTGAGAAGATTCCTCTGCATCCTGCTGACTAGGAAGACTAGGCTTGGGAACGTTATGCAGAATTGTTGCTATTTCCATATTTTAATAAAATTACCAATAAATTGGAAGAGATGCAAGCACAGGAAAAAAAGGAAAACAAAATAAGCTTCTATAAAGAAACATTAAAAAAATACATAACTTGCATAATTTTAAGCTCCAGACAAGCTCTGTGGGTAGAAGCAGTCTTTTATTAGACCAGCTAAAAATATAGTTGGAGAAGTCAGAGAAGATTTTAGACATAGGCTTTCTTCAGAGCACTTGTTTCACCTTCCACCTATGCTGGCTGGTCTCACAGAAGATTCTCTCTGCTTACAGGACACAACTAGACAGTTTTATCATCAACAGCTGCATTCCCTTGGATTTATATCAGGGGATTCAGACAGGTATCTATCAATCCGCTCCAACGTGGTATTTTATTTCTAGATCCAGTTTCTTAAGAGCTCATTCCTATACCCACACTTTCTTCACCTCTAGCCCCATGACCYAAACACTGTGTCCTGGTTACCCTGAGCAAATTACGAAAAATGTTTTTCTATTCTTCTCTTTCTGCATCCCTGTATTTTATAAATGTTCACAGATAATTATTTCTTCTATAAGAAAAAACATATTAAGACAATATTGTCTTTACTGTTGCACACACTCAACTACTGAGCCCACAAGCACGTAYTGAAAAAGTAAAACTAACTCAAGTTCAGCCTGTCTTAGGCTATCAAATATTTTAAATCATCTTCTGGGAATATCAGAAATGCATATTCATTCTGAASTGAAAAGCTTCAAAAAATCCCTTCTAAAGTGCAGATTTAAAGTCACCAAAYGGTTTTGCTATGGATACATCAGCGCAGCTCCAGGAAGTGACCTACAGGTATATTGTGCTGGCTGCTTAAAAAGGACAGCAGTAACTGTCCTGAAACACCCCCCAAAAATGCATCCCACAGGGCCCTGCATGGAGCAGGTTCATGCARTGTTCACAAAAATAAATGGGCTCCAGGGAAATTGCATATGTGACTCCTATAGCAGGACGGGAACCCTCCAATTCAGAATCCTCTAGCCTGTTTGGATCTTTCTGGTGCCATTTCCCATCAATGGCCATAAGGATATTATCTCCTTGCATAGTATCTCTTTGTTTAATACAGCACAAACTTCAAACCCTGTACTGGGCACTAAACATCTTTCACTGGTCTCCTACTAAAGTGACTTCTGCCCAAGGACCAGATACAATCCTCACTGAACCCAACAAAATCCTCATTCCTCCTCACGTTAAAGGATATTTATCAGCCACTCCATGGTGCAAAATGGGGTTTAAACACATCCATCAAATGCAGATTTAGCTAGGCCATGGTTTACAGTGTCAAAGTTAGCAACTAGCTCAGTATAATTTTATTTTACAGCAAAAAGCAGCGTTGCCCTAAAGTAGGTTACTGCAGCTATAAAACCTGACCTGCCCCCCTCAGAAACAGCATCCAACAGGGCTAATGGAGGGAAGAGATACCTTGGGCAATCAAATCAAGACTTGGGTAAAACAACATTAGAAATATCTGACTGGCATCACAAGGTAACAACACAAGCCCTATCACATAAACACAGCCATCCTATCTGCTTTCGTTCATCATGAGATTTCTGTCTTTTTCTATATTTGCATCATTTTCTACACTCCAAAATAACTCAGCGCTTCACAAACTTAATATTGGGTGCCTCAAAGCATCTTACAAAGGCTCCGTTAAGTGGCGGGGTCACTGCAACACTAGCAAGTACTAACACCCAAGTATTTTAGGGTTGGGAAACAGAAAGGAGGGGAAGAGAGAAAAAAGTAAATTTAGTATCTTCAGACAGAGTATCAGCAAATCACGAGGCTGTAAATGACAGTTCCCAAAATCTAGCTCTTCTGCTCTATTTTTTTCATGCTTGTGGATATGGATGCAAAGCTGAACACACACTTTAATTACCTGAGGCAACCTCCAGTGGCATCATTTGCTTCTCAGTCCAGGCTAGYCTGGGCTTGGCCTTTTTACTAGAGATTCCTGCTTTATGCTTAACAGCTATACTGCCTGGAGGATTCTCGTCCCCTAAACCAAGTACATCTGCTGGAAAGCTTGGAGGAAAAGCATCCTTTGATCCTGCAGAAAAGAAAGCAACAGTTACAGGTAAAAAGAGGAGGCAAGCAAGATAAATGCACACATTGCACAGGGAGAGTGTGTGAAGGCAGCTCTGCATTCAGCTGTTAGTGGCAGTATATTCACCAACCAACTACCACGACCACTAGTGAGCAAATTCTAGTAACTAACAGCAGGAGACATCAATTTTACCTTCCCTACTAATGAGCACTCATTTCTACTAACGAGAACATGACAATAAAATGAGCATTAGGCAAACCAGCTAGGGAGCCAGGCACAGGACTTAAGTCCAGACTTCCCTCCATTAAAATTCCAGACATTTTCATCAACTGATGTAAACAGCTTTTTTCTGAACTCAGACAAGCGATGGAGAAAGCTGCAAGGCTACAGCAGATCTGTTTAACTCTTGAAGAAGAATCCTAGACCATAATGGCAGGGTTCCCTCAGCATCATAACTGTCTCCTAAGAGTTAGAAACCTAAACTGGCACCTAACTGATTTAGCATCCTTGTCAACACCACCTGGTTACATTCAGCAGACCTGTCTCCATTTCCTTCAGCTACTGCTCGTGAAATCCTCGCTGCAGCAGGGAGCTTAAAACCTCAATGTTTCAGTTCTGCTGTACATCTTCTAGAAGCTCGAGCTGCCTCATCTATATGTTGTACCTTTACATTTAGCACCATCGTTCCTGCAAAATGTCACAGACTCATCACATTCATGTCTCATTTTACCCCTATTACCACAGACAGACTAGAAAAGGTAATGAGGGCAGACACATAAATAATTCCAAGCCCAATTTATGGCARTAATGACTAACCTGTGCATTTCCTGTCACTTACGTCTACCTACATCCCTGGGTCAGATTTGTCAAGAACTGGACGGCTCTAACATGAGTTTTGTCTATAGATAACTGTGGATGTCAAAAAGTCCCGATCGACAGCAACCTGAAAATAAGAGCTGTAATGCTTAAGCAACATTATGTTCTTTACATATAGAGAAAGAACTAAATATGAGAGGCTGGGGGAAAGAATCAGAGATGATCTTCTCCTCCACTTAATGAGGAAAGCTTTTTATTGGGAGTGAGGGGAAGTTAATGTGTATTTCAAACCACAGTTACAAATGATACTGTTTAAATCTGAAAGCAATTTTCAGCACCAGGAAAGCTATTACCCAAAACTCACATTACATTATGCAAGTGCTTCAAAATACACGCTTACCAAATAGGGAAGCAAAAATGTGGCAGGAAGTAACAGCAAGCAGGGAACTATTAAGAGTTATCAGGCTCTAAGACACTGAGCCATGCATTTTTCCCCTCCCTCTACTGCCAATGAAATGAGAGTAAACTCACCTTCAACATAGAAAGATTCATAGATCTTTATATTCAAGTGGTGTGAACATCAACGCACTTAATCTAAACTAACAGGACAGAACAGCTCCGAGCTCAGCTAAGACAATTCCAGATATGAAACACAGGTATTTAGACACTGTTCTGTGATTCAGAGATTCAGAGATTTCAGAGATATTCTGTGATTCTGTGATTCAGAGATATTTAAGTACCTGAGCGAGAGCTCTCAGCAGGCACTTCTGAGGAAACTGGGGACATTTGGGGCACGGCCTTCGGATAAGGAACATAATACATCCCAGTGCTTCCCGAAGGTTTATAGGGCAGCAGTAGCGGCTGACCTGCCGGAGAGGAAGGCAAGGCAGGGAACAGAAACAAGGCTTTAATCAACAAAAGATAAAAGGTAACAGATCAGGACACCCGGAGATTAGAGAAATATAATTTAAGTTTCTTATAGAATAATTAATAATTACTTAATGAACACTCCCCCCTTCATTAAAAAATTGATCACCAGTCAACTAGATAGAAATCATACCTTAACTCATCCATAATACTGGAAAAGTACGACTTGTAACTAGTTTTATATTAATCATTTTATATTAAGTTAATAGATATAAAGAAAGTCCTGTATATTTTAATTTTTGTTCTAGTGAAAACACGGGTGTGCGTATTTTCTCCCTAACACCTGTGCAAACAAATCAGCTTGACTATGGAGGAAATAGTCAGATAAGTCTCTTGGTAGCCCCTAAGCAATTAACTGCATGCAATTATCTAGTAATTAGATTTTTTTTTTTTTAAAACCAGATCTGTACATAAGTTTCACTCCCATATGAACCTGAACTGAACCACAAGCTTTTGACCAAGCTTTCTACCCAACAAGTCTGTAAAGCCCAAAGCTTCTATGAGCAACCTTAAATATCACTGAGAAAATTCAAGAATGTTACTTTCAAAGAGAAAAAAAAAGTCACTCAACCTCCCCTTTTTGTCTATTAATTGTCTCTTAAAAATCGAAWAAATGGAAAACTACGTATACATAGAAGATGCTTTAATTTGCTCACCCCCCTGCCTTGGAWGAGCAGAAATCCTGTTCGGGCATGAAGCTGCACAACTGGAGACCTGATGAGCTTTCTGGAGAGATGGCTGCAGGGTGGCATTTTCAATGTCTTTAGGATTAATATAAATTTCTGACGAAAAGGTTGTCTTTTCAGGACTTTCTGTTGTTATCTGAGTGGCAGCATCAGAGGTAGTTTTCCCATTTTCTTCCAATACTACAGACCTGAAATTATTGTTCAGATGAGATGCCTCTGAGCCCGGAGCAGTGGCCTGTGGTCTCTCACAGCTTGGTTGAAGAAGAGGCTTTAGCTCTTGCCCTGCTGTGTTTGCAACAGAGGAAAGCACAAGGCAGGAATCTGCTGAAGATACTGGGACTGGAAAACTAGATCTTTGATCTGCCAGGATAGGGTCAGTACTTGATAATTTAGAAACAGCATCTAATGAAATTTCTGGTTTTGAACACACCCGTTGAGGATCAACTTCAGGCTTATTGCCCAGGCTCTTCTCATTTTCAGTGTTCAGGTCACCACACAGCTCTGAGTTAGTGCCCTTTGGGGAAAGAGTTATATGGACACAAGACAGAACCTTCTTAGTTGGGGATGATGGGTACGCAGATGTAGTGGAGAAAAGCTGATTTGGAGCCGAATGGCAAGACATGCTGGTTTGCTCTCTAGGAACCCCTTTTTGAATGAGAGAGACCGTGTCTGAAGGATTTTTCTCCTTTTCTAACAAATTAACATGGTCCTTCAGCAAATCAGTTGGTACAGCTGGACTAGGACCTTCTGTGTCCTCACCACGTTGAATGCGTCTGGGTGAGCTGCTCTTTAGAGAATGGAGTTCATGAAGTCCACTCGTGTCTTGACTGAATCTTACATTGCCGTTGGCTCTCTGGACTCTGGCGCTACGCCTGTCTGATTTGGTTGCATCTCCAAGCAGAGTTTCCTCAATTTTTTTTGCAGTACATGTCTTCTCTTCATGGCTATGGATGCTTAAAGAATCCTGATCCAATACAAAATCTTCTTGATTCACCCCAGTTCTGCTCTTGTCAGCAGGAACACGGTGAGACCTGCCTTTGTCAGCAGCAAATGCAATCTCACTAGACAGTGAACCAGCAAACACTGCTTCTTGAAGTGTTTCTTCAAAACTTGAGGGAGGACAGATCTTAGATCTTGCCCAACGTTGTTTACCATGGTCCTGCTCCTCAGTATCTGCAGAGCCAATCTCCAATGGCATTACCYCATCAAGACCATCTCCAGTAAGGCTGCTGCCAAGTACCATGCAATTCAGTGGTGATGGAGAACGTTTTCGGGATGAAAAAGTGATAGAAGTAATTTGCTTGGTCATTTCTTCAGAAGACTTTTCCACAGACAGCTTCTGAGCTGGAAGACGTATTTCCTCCATCTGTGTATCAGAAGCAGCTGGAAATCTCATTACCTGGGTGTCCCATTCCTGCTGCAAGGGAGCGTGAAGACCAGTGCTGGCATCAGAATGACTAGTTGCAGCTGCCTGATGTTGGGGTGTTCGAACAGTACTCGAGGATTTGAACTGTGCCTTCCTCAGGAGGCAACAGTCAGAGGGATCAGCCCCATGCACTGGCCTGACTTGCTGTGACCTAGACTCACAAACATCCTCCGTCCTGAACCCTCGTGCATGGCTCTCAACAGGAGAAGTTCTGTTGCTCGAAGCTCTGGAGGGCTCTCTGTCCTGTTCCCACTTCTGGCTGTACTCAGAAGCAGTTTCCAAAGCTGGAGCCTAAAAAAAAAATAAAAAATAAAAAATAAAAATAATAAAAAAGAATCCTCAAAGGTTACGAGGACATTTTTCTACCTCTACCAAAATCAGGTTTTAAGAATTCAGAGGCCAACGCTGTTACTAATCAGGAGCCTGCCATTATGAATGAGAATGCAATTTCTCTGAAACTCATCTTTTAATGCAATTAATTAAAAACTTACCGTCRTAAGTGCCAGCAAATTAGCTAATACGGTTCTGATGCTATAACAAACAGCAGTGACATTTATAATAAAATCTTTTAGTTATGTTTTGTGAGCTAAAACGTTAATAGCTCTCCATCAGGCTGATTGAGATGTAAATACTTGAAAATATTACTCCACTCACAGGCAAACAAGCCTGGAACTTTTTACCTTTCCCTCAGTTTGCTTCATACACAGCTGGACATTGTCATAAACCTGGTTCCTGCTGTAGCAGAAACTGCTTTCTGGATAGCTTCTGAATCTATCCCCCCAACCTAAGCTCAAAGTGATTCAGACACTCTCCACCCAACAGCTTTGTAGCTTCAGAGATTTTTTTTTTTTTTTTTTAATTAAGCAGCCAATTATTCACATAGTCACAGAAACATTCAGGTTGAAAGAGGCTCCTGGAAGTCCCTAGTTCAACTTCATGCTCAGAGCAGGGCTAACTTCAAAATGAGAACTGGTTGCTAAGGAGAGCCCCAGCTTTGTCAAGTTTCAAGCATCTCCAAGGACMGAGGTATTATATACAGCTTAGTGCTTGTGATCCTTAAATTACCAATAAAAAGCATCCTTTCAYAGCTATGCAAAAATATATATATGTTTAAGAAAAGCAAGCAACCAGTTCTTAAAAAAATAGAGAGAAAAAAATATTTAACTTAAAAAACGCTTTAATTCTCTGTAATTAATATTATTAAAACAAGTATGCCAGTATCACTCAGGCATGAGCTGGAACAAGTCTTCTTATAGTCATTGCCCACTGCTGACAATTAAAATATGACTGAAAATAATCCAATTTTTGATTTATTCTTTAAGACAAGTAACTTGAGAAAATATCCAATTTTCATATGCATTTTACTTTCATTCCTCTAATGAGAGAGGTAACATCTTTTCCATGGGAGTTTTTTCTTTGTTTTGGAAAGCTGCTGAAATTGTTGAATAAGGAAAAAAAAAGAGACTTACTAGAAACAGGTAAGACAGTAATCCAAACAGAGTTAAAGTCCAGAAATACCCTGGTGATTGTCTTTGCTCAGGAAATCTTAGGCTAAATTACATTTACACCTTCGTCTAACCATGAAAATTGCCCCATAATTATAACACATCCCCAATATCAGCTATATTTAGGAGCAACTCCTTTTGCCAGTATTTAAGCATCTCTGGAATATATTTTACAGTAAGAAAATTGTAAAAATTTATATATAAAAAAATAATAATAATGCTGAGCCCTAAATTACCTATCTGGGCAAAATTTATTTAATTTATTTTGGTACTAACTTCTACCCTTGGGTCTTTGCTTGATGTTAGTGTCGCTGTTCTCCAAGTACCCCCAAGGCGTCACCACTTGGTCTTCCCTGCTTACCTCAAGCCCCATCACCATCAAAAACCAATCCCATCCGCCACCAACAGCTTGTCTCAGTGGGTAAACACAATTGGAGAGACACGTTAGGGCCCTCAGCAGGATCCAAAGGAAAACAAACCACACTGCTCCTGCCTTTCAGCAGCCTGTTAATGAGGCACACGAGTGACACTGAAGTTGAGGGCAGAATTCCTGCCGGGATCCGCTCCTCCGTTAGGGATCTGGCTCTAAAGAGACCTGCGCCTTCCTCTGGGGCCTCCAATGAAACCCGATTTCTCTGTGCCCCTTTGGCAGACAAAGCACTAAATGAGTTGGGTGGAGTTAAAAGGCTTGAAGGGTTCAGCAACAGCTCTGGTGACTTGCCAAGCAAGGTAGAAATAAACACATCTGCACTAGGAAAGCTTTAATATTCCACATTCTCCTTTAATTTCTCATTACAAATAGCAAAGACTAATGAGAAACATCCATCGTGGACTGGGGATAAGTGTGTGCAGGCATTTCCTGAGCCAGATGACCGAAGTGGGATCCTCCCTGTGACTGGCTGTCCCGCCTCTGCCTCTGCTTTCTTTGCTCACCTGCTTATATGGGGAGATCTAAGAGTGGGCATCGACCTTGGTTTCCAGTATCTTTACAGATATTTTGCAGCAGAAGCTGCCAATAGAGCTAAATTTTGCAGCATCTTACCTGACTGGTGCATAAGTAGACAGTCTTGAAGGAAAGAACTGCAAAGCACCTCCAGATTAAATATCACACTGCAAACAACTGAACAAAATGCCATGCTCCCAGCAGCATGCACAAAACCGATTAGGCTACGAGCACAAAGAGCTAAAACCTGGCAAGTGCGACTAGAAAAGCTTACGTTACCATCCCCAGTAATTTGTCACCATCAGCACTGATCAAAAAAAGACCGTGATAGACTCTGCCCTGAAGCAAATGAGGGCAAGGACTTACCTGATCCACCACCCCGCTCAGCTGTGGAGGGCAACCAAGCAGCTGGGACCGCTACAGCTGAAAGGAGCTGCAGCAAAGCTAGAAAGCCAATATTCATCCACTCACTTAGAAAAGCCCCAACTAAAATGAGTATCAGGCTCTTGGCCGCCCTGCTGGCACAAAATACCAATCACTTCTYACACGACACGCGGCAGCAGCGTGCTCTTGCATGGTTTCACCCCATCGCTTCTACCCCGGGCGTGTGAGGCCAGYGGCAGAAGCGCTGCCAGGGCCGCTGCAAACAGACAAGACAGACAGGGCCATCAGCATCCCCACTKCACATCAAAATCACAATTCCTGCTAATGGGTATGAAGCTATAAGGCCACTGGGCTTCCCCAGAGACGGTTTTGTAAGCCTGGGTATCAGTATTACTAGCTTACCAGTATCTGCACCTCTTTGCTTTTATTTAGCCTCATTAAAAACTTTTGTTTTCTTTGATGTGCAGAAAGCAAATCTGAAATAAATGCAGTGCCAGGAAGATGGTCCAGATGAACTTATAGTAATAAAAATACAAACTATGCAGTGGTTTTGATGTAAACCACCTATTTGAAAGCAAATATTCTGTAAATTAAAAATACTTCACAAATCAAAAAAAATCCACAAATGTTTTTTCCCTCGTTCTACATCCATCACGTCACTAGCAGCAAACTATTTCAGTGAGGCCTCAATTTGCCTTCCAAAACAGAACTCGTCCGTGCCCTTATCTATGTTAAGGAGGCTCCTTGGTTTCCCATGTCCCCTGTGGCCGAGGGCTGGAGAAGGCTGCAAGATGGGTCAGTCCTGGGCCAGAGTAGGAGGCAACCCAAGACGATCCAGACACTCGCTCCACTGCCTGATCCAATTACAAGGTGACTGCAGTAGCAGTGAGCACAGAAGCCCATCTCCAACTCCTCCCCATGCTTTACTGTGCTGCTTCTGCGGTGTCTATCCAAGAGAAGTCCTTTATAGGGCACGATCCCCGGGAGACTGCRGGGTAGATCTCTAGAGGTCCCTTCCAACCTTGAATATTCTGTAGCTTGACAGCCTCAGCTTGGCMACCCTCCTGAAAAAACTCCTCGGCATGAGGGGTGGAAGAGCAGGGCACTCCRCACGCAGAGGGGGCACGATCTTCAGGAAGAGCAAGGACACCCTGTGCAGCTTCTTAGGGGTGTTAAGTAGCCAAATGAGGCCAGAGCGCAACAGGGTCTCCAATTCAGATGGAGACTTGAAGAGTCTGAGAAACACGTTGAAGCTTCACTTACATTCAACAACCAGAAAACCCTCAGTCTTAACTGGGGGACTAAAATAAACACAGAGAGACAGCCTAGGAAGAAGGTTGGTTTTGGGAGATGGTTCTCCTGAACAGGCCACTGTCTAAGCATCTCCTGGCTTTCCCCAGTTTCTTGCTCTGGAAATCCTTTTCCTTGAAAAGACCTTAAGAGTTTAGGCAGAAGAGGAGGACCWAGGGGCTTTCTGAAGACCAAGACTGATGTTTCATACGTTTTTCTTAACAAACCCAAACAACTTCCTATTGCTCTATGGCTCTCTGARACCGAAAAAGCATCACTCAGCTCAAATCCACAAAATAACAAATATTGTCAACTTACCTGCTTAGGCTAAAACCAAACCTCTACAGCCACAGATGAGGAATATCATGCAAAGAAAGCAATGTATTTACAGGCAACCACCCACTGCYCCTTTACCACACTGCTCTAACAGCCAGTTTATAGGAAAGTGCAACCAGCTAAASCTGAATTTCACGAGACTTGTCTTTTGGCAGTCTATAATATAGCACTTCTTAGGCCACTTTTTGTAAGATTTGCAGTTAATAAGTCCATACTCTTTGCCTTCTGCTCCTTTGAAATGTAACTCAGTTGTACAAGCACTGGCCACATATGGTGGCAGTCAATGTKTATTAAGCATCAGGAATTCAGCCCCATGCAAAACAAAGTCTGTCCTCCCTGCATCCTGGGGAATAAAAAACAAGACTAATTCCAGGCAATGCTCCTCGAGGGGCCCTGCTCCTTCCCAGACCATCAAGGTAAAGACCTTTAGGAAGGGTCAATATCAAATGGAGGCAATTTAGAAGAAAAAGGTCAGAAGTTACATATTCACTGCTTATTGCTAAGCATCTCTGTCACATTTTAGTGTTTATTGCTCACACAGTTGTGCTTTCATAGGATATTTCTCACCTTGTGTAATGGAAGAGGTATAAAAATCAGAKGAACCCACCTCCTCCCAGATTAAATGTACAGAAAATAAACTCACTGTGCAAGACCTGTTAGCTGTACAGAACAGAATGCAAAGAAAACAAAATGCTGCTTTTGAGTTGTAGCCATAAGCATTATGTGCTCTTTGGGCTACATCTTCCAGAGGAGAGAACRATTTCCTACTGAGTTTTACTTTTGGGGGAGTCACAATTCAGCCAGAGCACTTCAAGAAATACTTGAAGCATGATTACAAATTTATGTCCCAAACCTACTCTTAAGCATTCTGATCAACTGGAGCTTGGGAAATAACACTTTTTAAAAACATGTTTACTATTAACAGTTTATTAACTAACAGATATCAAAAAACACTCTGCTATCCCAGAAGTGAGATGCAGCAGTGCTCAGAAGTAAAGGTTAAGATTCCTGAGAAGAATTCCCCCAAGTCATCCTGTTCCCTCCCTGCATTTTCTATTTTATRGCAAACCCTCACACGCTTCCTGCTGGAAAAAGCAGCATCTTGAGCTTTTACCCATAAAAACAGGAGGCAAAGTCTCAACTTCCTAAAAWGGACATTCCTAAGGAGACTGCAGCAGAAGCCCTAAACAGAGATGTTCTAACAAAAGAATTGTTTGCATGAGCACTAAGAACAGTTTAGAGGTTTTCTTGTTTTGGTTTGTTTTTTTCTGGTTTCTCCCCCCAAACCAATGCATATTGTAAAACTGTTTGCTCCTAGTCCATAACAAATCAGTAACGGAGTTCAAGCTAGTCTACAAAATCCAAGCTGAAAAAAAATACATACAAAAAAGCCTGTAGTTTGACGAGCAGATTGCAGCGAAGATACATTTGAGTTTTTCTTTGTTTATTTGTTAAGTGAGAGGAATTCTTTGCCTAAATCTCCAAAAGCAAATAACCTTAACTGTTTTTTTTTTAGGCTCCCCAAGAAGATCACCTTAAAACCTGAATAACTCCAAGGTTTGATCTGATGTATTGCCAAAAGCAGTGTCTGAGCTAGGGCCTAAGAAATTGTAAACACAAAAGGGGTTACTTCTATGACAATTTTTTTTTCTAGACTTTTTTTCTACTGCTTTTGCCAAGATGCAGCCAAACTACTGAAAAAGCAGGAGTTACTGTTAATGCTAGAATCATTTGTCTGAAACAGACTAACGACAGATGATGACTGCATTTTAAAAGATAAATTTTCTATACTCAGAAACTGTCCCAACCTAAAGTTGGCTTAATTATCAGGTCTCTCTTCCACCAACTCAGGATTTCCTACCTTGAACAGCATGAATTCACCACTCATCCATTGCATCTTCTTCTAAAAATATCTCCACATTTCTTGCAGTCTGTGTCTTTTGCTCAAAATATTCTCCATGAGGAGTGCTTTATCTTAGGACACATGGACAGCCTCCAAATCCATAGGATGAGGGTTTTACAAGCCAAGTGTTTTCTAAAAGCAGAACTAATCAAGGCTACTGRAACTGTGACCTGTGTGCACCTTCCCGTCACAGTAAGACCAGCTCCTCCTCACATCATTGACCACATTTGATTCCTTCAAAATAYCTGCAGTTCTCCCTCTCTGACCACATTTCTCTCTTCTCCTACATCCAGTTGCTGTCTGGGAGCGGGGAAAAGCTGCCATTTAAAAGAAATGTCCCCAGACAGGCTGCTCTGTGACATCTGTACCTTGGCTGCTCCCGATTTCTTGGCGCTCAGCAGCAGCTCTGCCTTGATCTCCTCTATCCTTYGCCTGTCCTCTTCAGTCAGGTCTGACACCGACTCCAGAGATCGGCTGGCCAGTTTTAGCTTCACCCAAGCTACATAAAGAGAAGACAAACCAGAAAACAGTTCTCTTCATTTTCTTGCATCATATGTAGCAGTTTTATTACTTAAAATCAAAATTATGCAGTTGATTTCTAACTACCATCATTGAGGATGAAATGCACTGTCAAATACTAGAGCTGGGTGACCGAGAATATCATTCAAATTTGATCTTTTGAACATGTCTTTGGAAAGATGAATCCAGAAGCCACTACCTGGTTCTGACAATCATCATTATGGTCCCCTAGTCAATACTCTTTCACACAATCCCCTCCCCAATTTCTTAACCTAGCACATTTTTAACAACTGAGTGGACAATGATTTGCACAGTGTTATTTTCCTATCAATATTTTGCTATATTAGGCACCAAAGTATCCAAATTGGAAAAGTAAAACAATTATATCTCATCTAATATGCTACTTAAAACATTTAAAAGACATTGATCTTTTATGTCTTACAAAGACTAAGATACAATTGCACTTTTCAAAGATGTAAGTAGAGAAGAGCATGGCAGAGGAGTAGCACAAAGATGATAAGAGATATTTCCCAAAGCGCAATGTTAACAGAGGGACAAATGTGTGCAAAATCCCTCTTGAGACTGAAAATTAGAAAGGGTTTCTAAGCATCAAGGGTCTAGAATAAACTCCCCTAAGAAGTTCAGGGATCCAGTTATTTTTACTGAGCTCCATTAAAGCTTATCAACGTGATACAAATATCTTTAAAATTGGGGAAACAGAGCCAAATGGCCTAAAGTTTCCCTTTACACCCATGCCCTTTCACTTCAAAAAAATCTTAAAGCTATCTCTAAAATGTACACGCAAATCAAGATTTCACATTTTCAAAACCAACTGAAGCATTTTATTACCTCGTGCTTTCCTCTCCTCTTCCTCCACACTTCTGAAATCTTGTCTTGCAGGTGCCACAGGCGATCCCTTTCGGAGAAGGGTTTTGACACGGGCAGCCAGCGAATCTCCACTGCTACTGTTATCRTTCTCTTGAATTCCTCCCTCCTTGCTGCCAGCTGCACTAGCTTTAGCCAAGGCCCTGGGCAAGCTTCCCAGGGCATCTGTGATGCAGCCTGAAGGCTCTGCTGGAGAAGGACTCAGGAGCTCTGAAGTTTTTCCACTGCTCAGCTCACTACTTGCATTACTCAGTGCAACAGGCACAAAAGCAGGCGCATTTCTGTCCGTTGCTGCACTACTGCAGCCTTCTGGCTCGGACCTTCCTGCAGATTTTCTGGTCTTAAACTCTTTGGTCTTCTCTTTCATCACTTCTTCATTGCTGTGTAAATTGACATCAAGAGAAGTTCCCCATCTCGAGCTGCCTTGGTAAGAATTCCGGCACTTTACGACTGACCGCTCTTCTTGGGAACGCCTTTGGGTCACAGCTTCGTCCCACAACGACATCCTCTGAAACTCAGGGACGTTGTCTTTCGCTACCCTGGAATCCTTGAGATCACCCTCCTCTCTATTTAGCACTGGAGAAGAGTCAACAGTTTCTCTAGAAGAGGCACTGGAAACGACAGGGTTGCACCAGCTGCCAGCTATATCCTCTGCCTTTGCTAAAAGCTTCCGGATTTCTTTCAGTGTATCAGATCCAATCAAGGAATCGCTTTCTGGATCCTTATTCCTCTCATTACCAGAAGTACCTACACTTGAAGGCTGTGATCCTATCTCAACTCCCATTTCCTGTCCAACTCCAGACAAAGAACCTGCAGGCCACCTCTGCAGGCTCTCTGCATCCTTCGCCTCGTTTTTAGCTAGCAGATCTTGAACACGTTTTGCAGTCTCTACATCAGAACAGCAGCCAGGTGAGACCATCTGAAGCTGCTGATCTGGATCAGCCAGTTTGGAGACAGACAAATACTCTGCTCTGCTTACAACACCATGGGAGGCAGTTAGCTCCTGTTGGGGGCATGAAACACTGCACTGACTCACTGGTCTGTCTCCAGAAGATCTTGAGAAGCAAGGAGAGAGCTCCCTGGGGAACAGAACATCAGAGCCAACTTCTGAACCCATTGGGACAGACATACTGCGAGTGGAAGTGCCAGAGTTAAAGCTTGTTTGCGGAGCGTCAACTGCAGTCAGCAATTCATCTAGAACGAAACAGAAGAACCATAAAAGTTTGAATCCTCAATGGAGGATTATCCCCTAAGGCTGCACAATCCAAGGCCTTCCCTCCCAATACCTTGTAGCCGCTGAGCCGTCTTCCTAAGAGAGTCGGAGGAGTCCTTCAGTGTTCGAAGCTCTGAGGGGGAAAATTCAACTTCCCTGATAGGTCCTCGGGGCACAAACGGAGTCAGGATAGATCCAGGGGACTGGTCAATGCCAAGGTTGCGAAGATACACCTGACAAGAGAGGAGAAGTAGCAGAAAAATGTGAGGGAAAATGGGGCACTCTTGTCAAGAAACAGAACGTCAACAGGTTCTGTTCTCCCATCAGCCTAACAGACACACGACTTGTTCTAAAGCAAGATCCTGAGCCTAAATCATGTTCAGTTTGCAGGCACAAAACACTAATCACATGTCACACGACACCTCCAACATCTTTCCTCTTTGAAGGACAGGCAACAGGTCTTTTTAGTTTAACAGGCCTTTTTAGTTAAAATCACTACAACAGGCCTGCCTAACCACCATCTTGCAAGTGACACGCAGCCCAGCAGGACAATTCACACMTCCTGCAACCTATTCCTCATTATTTGGTATCTGGGAGCAAATCAGAAACAAACCTGACCAACCATTTCTGTTTCTTGTCATGCCTTTTCCCTCACCAGAGGCCAAAATGGCARTTGGCAACTGTCTGCTACCAACAAAAGAGTTAATCCAGGGCCTTGTTCTTCCCATAGGACCCTGAAATGGGGGAAAAGTCCAGCAACGGAGGGCCATATAACTGATTCTTGTGACAACCAATAGTCATTTTATTCATACACATATTGTATACATTGCACAAGCGATAAGCAAACTTGATAYTTCAAAGGAGGTGGGAAAGCTTAGGCCTCACCTACCTAAAATGTCAATTAATAGCAGAAGACAGTTTTGATTTAGAAGCTTTTCCTGTATMATGTCAAAGCTGGTGGACATAAAACAACGTGAACCAGCTTTCTGCCACATCACTACAGGGAATAAATCTGTATTGACCAAGAGACAGAGCAAGTCTCCTATATTTAAACTTCTATAAAGAAAATCAGCTGGTTAATAAAAAAATTGCACACTTACTCAGTGATGWTGCATGTAAGGAACATACTGCAGCAGTAACTCAAAAACTCCCTGCTTATGAAACCATTTCTGGCTACTGTCAACTGCACTARTTTATATCTGTAACTCCTCGGACCCCCAAGCTATAAACAAACGCTATGTTCAGTTAAGGCTTAGGCTTACAAGCAGAGCTAAAGCAATAAATCATTCCATAATATTAAAAGAAAAAAAAAGCATAAAATTCACATTTTCTTTTAATAAGGCAGCAAGCATAAACATTCAGGAGCACTTGTTGGAGCAGCTTATAAACAGCAGAGTCACTGGGGAGCAGAAGCCCCTAAGATCTCTATCAAATTCCCTTTCTCCCCTTTGCCCATGCTGCTCTGCATGCAGACATTGGAAGTGGTCAGGCAAATTCCCCTTTACTTAATCAATTCCAGGGATAAGGTAGTTYTAACTTGTATGCTCTAAAAACCAAAAAATAAAATAAATGACCTTATAGAACTTAATCAACTTAATTTCTGATGATTCTATTATAAAGCTACATATTAATAACCATATAGGTGATCAAAACTCCTTTATCTTGTCAGTGATTTATGAGAGCAGATTTCCTCTGAACTAGGGCTGGAGCACATGTCTACTTGTAGTCATGAAATGAAAGGGGAGGTAACAGTGAACTGATGTACAGAATGGTTTTCATTTAAATGTACATAATGATGTACATAATGTTTTTCATTTAAAATACTCTCCCTAAAATATTTCTATTTGCTTTTATATATATGTATTTTCAGAGACAACTTCACAGGAGAATGCTCCTAATACCTAGTTCCAAAGACCTAATGATGGTAAGAGTCATTCTGCAAGAGGAACAGCTACTTGTTCTGAATATAATTGATGTTTATCAACATAAATCTGCATTTAATTTTCTCAAGCACTCAATAGTTATTATTATACTTAACATGGCTGCCACCATCAGCCCTGTGTTCTCACCAACTACCCTAAAATGGGGAAGGGACAAATGAAATCTGCATTAGCCAAATAAGACGTAATGGAAAAGCTATGCAGAGGATTCTAACATTCCTTATGAGCAACATATAATGAACTGGAGATTGATGCCTAAGATAATGGAATGAAGTGAACAAGCAAAAAGGGAATATTTATAGAAATAAGAAAAAAAAAGGTGGTTTCATTTGCCAAGAAGTTCTGTGTTGGTTTTGCTATTATTGAAGAGCCGTGGGCGTGTGAAGTTCAGCTCTCTCTTCTGAAGCTTAACATTTCCTTAGTCAGCATTTGAGTCTCAACCACATGGTTGGGAAATGATAACCTGATCATCTGAAAGAGCCTAGAAGGTCAGAAATGACTTATCAATACCCTAACAGAATGATATGCATCTAATTTACTCGTCTTTGTACAAAGATTCCACTTTTGTCACTATGTCCTGTTCTTTTCTCTTGCCCTTTACATTCTGCCATCAGCAGCCACCAATCTTCACATTTCCCTTCACATTTCTTTAGTGGGACACTATCCTTTATACCTGGGGAAGGGCAGAAATCCAGATCCAACCTTACTTTGCCCGTGTTAAGTATTATTACAAAGGGTGGTTTAAGATTTCTTAGGCTCCATAACATAAAGCATCTATATTGACTGATATCTCAAAAAGGGCACTTATTGTACAACACGTTCCCTACATGACTGGATACCAGAAATGAGCTAAAAACAGGCCAGTCTTCCAGCTTGGAGAACCATTCCTGCCATAACTCTGCACCTCTGTCCTACTCACTATTACACACACAGGTATACTCCAAGCTTTTCATAAGCAAAGTCAAATATTAATCATAAAAATAACTTACTGGGATCCTTTCTTCAATATTTAGCTCTTCTTTCTCTGGAGTTTTCAAAGGGCTTAGTCGAAAGGGGATGAAGTTCCCCTCTTCTGCACTGAAGAAGTGCCTAGAAACCTGAGAAGGGCCCAAGTCCAGCTGGCTGCTTCCCCCAGAACTAGCAAGAAGATTCAAGCTGTCTGGGGAAATATCACTGAAATGGTCCATAGTGACGTGGCCAGGAGTAGCATCTAGCTTAGGAGACTGTCTTTGGTTTTCAAGGCCACCAAAACTCTCTTCATCAACAGCTTGAGAGTTTCCAACCTTTTTAAGGAGTTGATCCATTTGTTCACTAGAAAGGATGAGATTTGTGTCTGAACTCTGTTCTGTATTGTTACTCTCAGCATCTTCATCACTTGACCCAGTGACAACAAGCTTGGCCGTAAACTTCTGTAACACGGAGTCTAGTGAACTATTACTGCTCCCTTTAGTTTCAGGCACTCCTAAAACAGCACTTTTTTCCTCTGCCTGTGTCGAGTGTGCTGGCTGAACAGCTTCGGTCAGAGAGGGGTCCCTGCTGGCGACACTCGCTGAGGCATCGCGCTGAGATCCGGTAAGGGAGCGGACGGGCACCAAGTTTTCATCCTGAAAAGGCAAATTTGCCAACGACACCGTCTCTCTAATGGAAGTAGCAACATAATCCTTGGGATCTCCGTTGCTATTTCGCATTGAGGAAACACGGTTTGAAGAACTGGCAATTGCACTGTAGGCTTTCCTTCTAGGAGAAAGTCCATTTGAGTTGCATAAAGCCAGTGAACTGGACAGCTTCTCTGGTTGGCTTACATTCCAAGCCCCTACCTTTTCCATGAAGCTAAGCGATGGGAGAGATTGGATTCTTCCAGTGTGGGGATATTTCAGTTTCAATGGCTCAGACTGGTCATTATTTTCTACCCCGTCACGCTGGAGTGAATGGTGCTTCTCAACAGAAGAAGTAGGTGAACTAGTAGATGAGCTCCCTACAGGTTCTTCATTTAAGCATGCAAGCGAGGCCCGAATATTTGATTTGTTTGGAAGGGTTTTACTCAGCTCATCTGTCTTACAGTTTTTGCTTGCAAATATCCCTGGTGTAGATTGATATTTTGGATGAGCCAAGTGTGCAGAGAATGAGCCATCACCCACAAGGAGATTAAATGAAGGAGAAATACCTGAAACTTTATGTCCCCTTTCTATGGATAAATCTGATATGGTAAATTCAGTCCTGCTTCCTCCATGTTCTACTTCCACTCGTGCACCCTCTTCCTCATCGTGTGGAGATGGAGCTTTCATCACGGTGGTATCTACTTGTTTAGACACATAGTCACTGGTAGTGGACACAGTAGGAATAAATTCTTCCTTCTCAAATGTCATTGCAGAACAYGGCTGTTTCTGGTGAGGTATGAAAACTCCCTGCAGTTCCTTTAACTTCAGGCTTCCGGATTCATTCCGATCCATACCACGTTCCTTTGACAGCCTGGATATTTCAGAATGCTTTGCCAAAAGTATACCTTGCGTTTCCAAATTTTTACAATTGTCTYTTCTTAAATCATCAGGTAATATATTAGAGAAGCCAAGCCCAGGAACTTTCCTTTCCTTTTCCAGCTTCTCTGTCTGTCTTACCCACCCTTCTGACTCACTCTCTGCCATTTTTCCCTTTTCCATTTGCCTCTCCATTTCGCATTTTTCCGAGGTCCTCAACAGTGCAGTTCTACAAGAGTTTTCTGAAGATGAGGAGAACTCATCATGCCTCGATAGCCTTTCTTCTTTCTCTGCAAGCTCAAGAACAGCAGCTGGTACATTACTGACCAGAGAGAAACCTTCATCCTTCACGGAAGAATTATAGGTCAGCTTTGCAGGAGAAATTTCAGTTTGCTTCAGTTTACTTGCCCTGCTTAGCATCTTACTTGAGGTTGAGTGTGCTAAACTGTCACCTGTTTGAGGGATCAATTCCTTCTCACTAATATCACTTCTACAGTCTTCATTTGTCGTCTTGTCCACAGGTAGTGGTCCAGAACAAGACATCTGCTGAGACAAATTACCACCAAGACTGACATCAGCAGGATCTGCGTTTCTGTATGGAAGAGGATAGGGAGACACAGCAAGGCCACCGCCGAGTGCATCAGAAGGTATTTCTGTGTCTGTCAGCCACAGAGCTTTGTGGTTCTGCAGAGGCTTCGAATGTACCTCAGAGGCACTGGAAACATCAGGAATTCCTCTAGAAGAGGCAAGAAAAGTAAGTGAATTTCCAATAATATCTCGATTTCAACCACTATGTTGTCTGCCTAAATAGAAAACACAAGAAAACTTTACCCAGACAAAAAACTAAGGTGTAACATATGCATAAATATATACATAAGTATATATATATAAGTAGGCCAAAGGGTAAAGTAATTTAAATAAAGGCCAAAGAACATCTATTCTATAAATTCTACTATTCTACAAAATAAAGGTCTGAAAAGATTACTTACTTCCATTTAGTATGTTAACATTTTTTAAACAATTCAATTCAGGATTGAAGTATTTTTAATTCACAAATGTTTATTAGTTAAATAAATGCAAAAGAGACAAGAAAATACATATGTTGCTTACATGCACACATGCAAAAGTGAATGTGTTTGGGTTATCTTCAGTCACCCATGCCATAGTATAGCTGCTATTTATTTAAAGGACACAAAACAAACCAGGTCTCAGTTGAATCCTACAGTTCAATGACAATATATTTCTACACACTTCCATTTCTTCATTGTGAATTTTTAAATTACTATCTGATTTTATTTTGATGATCATTTCCTTATAACATTACTTGACAGTAAGGGGGAGAGAATTTCTTGCCTCCGTTGCACAGGTAAGGAAGGTTCAGACAAATATTTTTAGTGAAGTAGTAGTTTATTTATGCATTCCTATTTTATACTATATATTAGGTATTAGTCTAGTCTATGTACAGAAGCTAGTTTTTYATACACATGTGCATGGATTTATTAATATAATGAAAACTATATCTATTTTCTGTCCCTGAAATTCAATCAACTTTCCTTCAGAGGCTAAGAAAATTAAGAAGCCCCCTAGGAGTGTGGAGTCCGCACCTTCCTTTTCCTTCAGCTATAATGACATCCAGAAAAATGTTTTCTCTTGAGCAGAATCCTTTTGAAAGTAAAATGACTAGCAGAACTCTGACAAAGTCTTCTCTCTAAAAAATAACACTACTTCATCCTATTTTTAATGTTTATAAATTATTTAAATAATCAGTGTTAAAAAAAAAAGTCAATCGGGAAGGAGGTGGAAGTTATGTCATAACATAGGTAGTTTTCTCCTACCTTAGAGGAATAAAATCCCCTTCTGACTGCTGGAAAAGTGTATCACCCAAAATTTTTTGACCCTGTGTTGAGTATGTCATCAGCAGTGGAAGACAGGGCGAGAATCGACTGTCCTGAATATCTGTTAAAAATAAAAAGAAAACATTGAAAGGCAATAATACTRTAATGAAAGTTTGCAATATAACCCCTCTTAGCTTATAACCCCATTTTTCATAGATTTTGATTACAGTGAAGACTGCAAAGGATTTTTCTCCATGGTTTCAAGGGGTAAGTAATAATAAAATTTAGTCATCATAATGATATAAGTACCATTATSCATTTCTGCAGTAGTAAATTTTAATTTATATCACGTGTTTCTTTATTCTTTGATGTTTTGGGCACTTCTACCTTTTTTAATTCATTGCTTATAAACATAAAAGAAATTGTGTTATGCCAATAAGAACAACCATAAATTTAGATATAATATCATATATTTAGATAGATGGAATAACAGATTTAAAATTTTACTTTAAAAAAAAAAAAAGGCTGTCTCTAAGAACCTGACTTTCAGAACCAGAGTTCACATTTACTTAAACTATGTTTATTAGTATTCTAAACTATATTTATTAGTATTCAAACTAGATGCTGTATCACTTACAGARGCATAAAATCACATCAGATAGGACGACCATGACAAGAAAAGAGACAATTAAATTTACATTATGTGAGCTTTAACCTCAGGCTTTCCATAGCCTGGATTACATCACCGCGTGAGCGATACCAGACCGCGAGCAAAACATTTCTGATTCATTTTTAATTTGATATTGCAATCACCATGATATTTTAATTACCTTAGCACTCCATTACAGAGCAAGAGTATGATTGCATGGATAGAAGTACCTACCCTCATACRCTAAAGCTGGCTCAAAATACAGATGGCCCCTCGTCCCATCTCATCAGCAGCGACAATAACACGATTGCTACACGGATCCCAAMATTTCTTTCCATCTCAACAGCTGTCTCCACCACATGGCAGCCCTAATGTCTCCCAGAGAAAGCCAGTTTTAATACGGTAGCATCTGTAGTACAGATGGCACAAACACGCTGTAGCAATTTAAATGGGGAGCCTTTGCTTTTCTAGCAGCCTCGACCTCCTTAAACCTCTACTTTCCTCATTACTTAAGTAAATACATGATGCTGGTCACCAGCACATCTCGTTTTGCTGTCAATAACTATATGATACAAGTATAAAAATTAAAATAATTTCCTAGGAAAGTAGGAATACTATGGAAAATAGAAATACTAGGAAAACAGAAGGTTCATGTGCTTAAAGAGAGATATGAATGGCTACTTTTGAGCAACTTGACAAGAGGAGACATTCTTAAGGCTTGTATGTAGACTGGTACACATCTGTGCACAGCACRATGAAAACAGTCCCAGCACAGCTCAGAAAAAGTGGCAGAGGAGAAAAGGGGAGAACTCAACACTTGGAGCATAAGCCCGGAGGGAACAAAATCCAGGGAGGGAAGCAGCAAGGTCAGGGATGTCTCACCTGGTGCCTCAGTGCGCCGGTCAAGACTGGTCTAATACTGCAGACTGATTCATAATTACAGCACTTTAATCACAATTTGAATCAGTGTAAAAATCAAAAAGGGGATAGTGACCMAATTCACCCCATCTTTAGTGCTCATTTCAAACTTTGCTTTTGGTGGCTGGCACCGATTCTGAACCACTTTCAAATTTCTTATTCCCAACCAATAACTGGAAGTGGACACACTATCTACAATGCATTTACTCAAATATTTATTTTGTTAATTGCCTATTTCTCCGTTTCTTCTCAATATGCTTGAAAATGAAGCAATAGATTAGTCAGAGCTAGCTTGGAAACAAAACTCCACTGAAGATAAAGATATAAATTTTAAGAAACATTAAGCAGGTTAGGAAACCAAACTACTTTAGTTGTTAGATGCACAGGGTTTTCTCTTCTCCATAACTTGTTTTATTTTTAGAACTAAAGATATTAGTGAACAAATGAAATAGTAATTGCAGTAATTGAATTAAACTTSTCATTTCATACCCTGATATACTACATGTTTTCAGAACTACCATCTGATTTTTACTCCTACTACAAAAAGGGAAAAGAAACCTTCTTGGCTTTCAGATTAATTTCCTAACTTTGGCTGAAACCCTGCTTCCTAGTCAAACTGAGAATCAGAAATGATTAAGATATATATTTTATATTATATATATATATCTTTTCTACATAAGATTGCGTGCATTAACTTTGTATGTGAATAAACAGACAAAGACTGAGGGAGAGAACCAAAAATAACTGAAAAAAGGCTGTCAAATACTGTTAGAAATAGATGGTGACAAATAGTTTTATTTAAATATATATTCACACACATATAAAGAAAACATGGCTGTATACGAACTGCAGTGTGCCTGGGACAGAGCACGCTGTCCTATTCAAACACAGCCAAGGAGCACCTTGGAAAGCAACTCCTCAGGTGGGAACCAGGGGTCCTGACAAAGAAACTGCTGGCATGAGCCCAGGGCAATTTAAATTATTTTTCCACCCTCAAGTTTATGCATGTTCATACTATAGAGATGACGCTCTTGCACATATCAACACGATGCAYCAGTGCAAGTGGCTCTCACCAAAAGGCACTTGGCTCCATCATTAGGTACCGCCAATATTATTTCAAGGGCACAAGTTTTGCTTTGATTCTTGCTCCCTGCAGGAGCCTATGGAGGAGCCTCTAACAACATCCTCCAGGAGATCAATAAGTGGCATTTAACAGGTGTTCCAGGGCTACCGAACTCATTTTGATATAAAATACAACCCCACCAATGTTACAAAGGTCTTCCTTCTCCAACTTTTCATGGAAGCTTTTCTAATCTTACGCCACACAAACTGAAATGTTTTTGCTAACTTATCTTCTTCAGGAGGCAGAAAGCTCCTCACCATCATAGCCGGGCTGCTCMCGATGATTTAGGGGCTCATTAGGCTCCGACATAACCCAGGTTTTGCAGGCAGAGGAGCAGGTGCTCGAGGCTTAAAGCAGCCAGTGACGTCAGTGCGACACTCTCAGAGCATCTTGTGTCAAAACAGCAATTCTCCCCGCTGTCACTCTGAAGGTCAAACGCTTCCTCACCGCTGAATTTCCTGAGCAAGCAAAGCGGGGCTTGCTGCTGCAGCTCGCAGCCTGCTGACAACTCCGAACGCCACAATCCAACTGCCATTTGTGGGAGACAGSGGGGAGAGGCAGGGGGAGGCAAAACAAAAACAAAACCTTCCGGCTTTGTCATCTGCTCCACAATGCAGCAAGAGCAACTTCTATACGACTGCCATGGTTTCTTTTGTTTTTTTCTTCCTCCAAAGTGACGTTGAAAACGCTTTTGGAGAAGAAAAATGAATAATCAGGGTTACAGCTTATGCTTCTCTCTTCCCGCTCACGTTCCTCCCAAGTTTGGGGAATTAAGCTCGTATGCAAAAAAACGTAGTTGCTGACACACTTTCTAAATAAGTAGAGTACTAGAACTATAAAATATTCCTAGATCTTCAAGTATCACATTAAGAAAGCTTCTCTTTCCTCTTTATTTCCAGTTATAGTTAAAAATGCTGAAAAAATACCAGGATTTTTCTTAATGAAGTATTTTCAGCTGTGCAAGTAGTATTGATGTGCTCAAAACACTAGAAGACRTACTAAAAAGGAAAAATATAGTGCCCTTGGATTTGAGCAGCCCAAACTATTATGTGAGTCTGCGAACAGCTGATTTTACACTGAAATTTCATACCTGGCAAAAATTTACTTATTCAATATTAACCTGCTCTGCTCAGAGGGCAACTCACTGTGATGCTCACATAGGCTTTAGCAGTAAAACTGCCTGGAGATCCAAACACGAGTTCGCTAGGGGTGCTTGTTACTTGGGAAGGGAGAAAGCCTCTTGAAAAAGAAAAAGGATAGGCAGAAATAGCTCCAAATTAATTCAGCAGCACCGGCCTTTCTGCCTTACTTACCATGCTGGGGTAGCACCTCACTTAGTCTCACGTCCATGAGGTTTAAAGAAAGAGGAGGGAAGTGTCAAGGCAGCAAGGGACAGGGCTGAGCGGTCAGTGCGAGACTGACAGATGAATTGTGGCTTGGCAGAAGTTGAATTCCAGCACTTGCAATAAATTACCTAGTTTCTAGGAAACTAAACAAAATGCTGGTCCTTCCCTCCATGCTTTTGTATCACACACAGGGTTTTAGAACTTTTCAGCAGGCRGATTAGCACTGCCAAAGCCAATCTGGTCTCAGATTTTAAATTACAAATAGTAGCTCTCTTCTGTCTTGAGTTTCTTTACAAAAATCCATGTATATTCACTACCATAAAGTTAACAGAAGACTCTCCCCTCAACAGCTAGTCAAGGCTGAGCAACTAAAACAAGAAATTCAAGCAGAGCAAAGGCATTTCTTGGTCTTGAAAGTTTATCTAGGTGGCCAAAAACTGATTCAGCCTTTGAAGAAGGCTTTACAGGAGCAGCAAGGGAGAGCTGCAGTTTATGGTGCAAGAGCTACACTGGAAGGCAGCAAGGCTTGGGATTTGGAGGGATTCAGTATGAGAACCTCCAGATCTGGACCCACCAAGACTGCCTCTCCCATCATTTGCTTCTTCACAAAGGATGGATCCAAAACTATCTCAGAAACTGATAAGGAGCATGGAGAACACATTGTAATCAGAGCTGAACTCATAAAACTTGAGAGCTGCAGCTTATGCTTATCAAGCTACTGCCAAGGTACTTACAATTCCATCCATTTAAACAGCTTGTTTAACTTGAGAACAGAGGGGTCTGCACACAAGGAATATCACAGAAGGAAACACAGGAATGCAGAACTGCAAACTGAACTTGCAGTTCAGTGAATGCAACACAGGTTTAGTTTAAAATATCACAAGCAATCGTGCTACCTGTAATTATTTTGTTTGTTCATGGAAAAAAAGCTAGCCCTCTGATGTACTGAGTAGCCAGAAAGATCAGCCCAGCCCTAGAAGCTGCTTTATTCAGCAGTTTTTCCCTTAAATTTTGGAAAAGTGAGTCACCAATACAACAACSTAATGGCTGGGGTAATGCTTTATTTTGTGGAGTGATCCTCAATGCAATGGCTTAGTAACAGCGTCCTTAAATTCAAGAATGTGTTTCCAAAAATGTGTTTCTAAGGAAGAATATGGGAGTATATGCATAAAAGGAACTGAGGAAGAATGTACATAAAAAAAGGAAAAGCAGGAAAAAAAAAAAACGTTTGAAAGAGAGAAACTAAGTGCTTTCAGTGTGTAAGTAGTTGATGGATTACAGTGGGCTATAGTGTAAGTACATGAAGCATAAAAATTAAAGTTTGAGCAATGAAAATGATCAATAAAATTGCTCATTATTTATTACTAAATAAATTACTAATTATTAATAATAAAATTACSTTTGAAAGTCAAAGTAAAAAGTGACGGTGCCTGATTGAATTTGATGTTAAAAACAGAATTTCTTTTAAGAGTGGAAGGGAAAAAATGCAGAAATTTACAGCTAAACCCAGCAACTGCTAATTTAGGCTAAGTGTTGGAACCAAGAGAAACAAGCAAGGCTGAGGGGTCTGGAGAACAGCTGTTTAACATCATAACATGGATGAATATAAAAAAAAGCAGAAATGCAATAAAGTAATCCCACTAGCATTACTGAAAATAATCCAGACACTTTGGATAGCTAATATGATTGCTTGAAGCATCAGCAATGATGTATTAATAGAGATTAAAATGTGTGGTGAAAAATGGAGTATTAACAAACGTGTTACTACCCTACGAGGATACAGCCAGAGTCTGACACAYACAGTACTGCAAATGGGTGCACGTGTGTTTTTCACCTGTATCCAGCTTACTGGAATCACAGCACAAAGTTGAACACCCCACGGAAAAAGATTTACCATGACCTGCATGTAGATGAAACATATGCAGGCTCCATTCACGTATTGCATCAGTTTAATCAGARTTATGTAACATGGAAGAACACTCCTATGGGATTAGAGAAAAATCTTAAAGAATCACAAGGAATTGGACAAGAAATAAAAGTATAAAGAAATATCAAGCCAGGAAACTTCGTATTAATGTAGAAAAACAACAGCCATTATGATGAAGTGTTGCAGAAACCCTAACTATCCACTGCCATCACATTATTATTAAATTCACCTGAAGCCGCAGCAGTAACCCAGTTAGCWTTAGCACCCTGCTGTTACTTCATTTGCTTTGCCAACTGCACTGCTAATAGTAATGCTCATAACCCAGCAAAGCACTGTGCAGAGCTTTGCACACCTTAGCACTACGATTAGCAGTCCYGAACACCCCACACTGCCTGAAAAAGCAGTGGGAGGCCCAAATGCTACTCACACTGTGAGTTAGTGCACTAATTTCCTAAATAACCAAAGCTATGGAGATGAAGAGATTTGTTTCTGGCTTGCAGTAATGCAGTACTTATATCTGAAATCCCTCAGGTTTTCTCTTTTCTGCAAAGGAATACATACATGACTAACTAAAGAGCAGGAACATTTATAAAATGCTTTTGCAGAGAGCTGTGGAAAACTTTGTCCATTAGGGAAATATTTTAAGAAGTAATGTAGAAGTACAAAATAGTTTGAATACATCAGAAAGGGGGTAAACATGCACTTCCTCCTMGCAGTTTTTCTTGCTATCAAAAAATAAAATCTGCTTTACTATCTCGAAATTAGCAAAGAATGACTCATGACCAAATAAAGCAGGCTTTAAGCTCAGAATTATCAGATCACCTATAAACTTCTTAGGCATTTTTCATGTCACACAAGGTTACTGTTAATTCTGAAGACAAACAAGGCTATAATTTTACTTCAGATGAAATATAATTAGTCTTCCTAATAAAAGAAGCAGGAAAGTTACAGAAACTCTCTACCTCATTTTAAAGAGCACCTTGGACAATAAAATATATTCAATGTACTTTGCAAATAYTACCTGGAGTAATATTAAGTCAAATACAGGCTGAGTGCTTTACAAGTAAACTCCTAATTGTTTCATAGGTACCAAAAAGCAGCTTTGAACATACCCAGAAGCGAGCCACGTGCTGCGTCCCCGGGATACTGCCTTGTGGAGGCTTCTGCCGAAGGCAACACTCCCTCCTCCATCGTTGGGAAGTCCRTCAGGTCATTCCTATCCCACGTCAGGCCAAGTTTGGAGTCCGAGGCAGCAGTTAAGCGGCTGACATCCACTTCTGCTGGAAGGTGATACCATGGCTCTGTTCCCTGAAAGCASGTGGGGAGAAAAATGCCACTAAGTGTTGTGATGAAGAAAAAAAATAAATAAGAAATCAAACATTAAACAACTTCCTTGCATCACGTGATTACCCTTCTAACACATCTGGCTTTCATCTCTGACATACTAATTAAATGCGACCATCACATTAAGTTCTGAAAACTAAAGGTAGCAACAACAGCACACAAATATAAAGGCACATTAAAGTGGGTCTTATTTAGCTATTTATTTTGATTATGACTCAGCAATACTATGGAATTAAGTAGTCTTTGCTTTACATTTTCACATCACCAAAACCGCTTTGCTTTAATAAATAAATAAATAAATCTTTCAGGGAAGCAATAGCCCTGGAGCATCAGAGTCTCAACATGATATCCTAACCCCACAACTAATTACAGCGTTAATCTGTTGCCATTTGAACAAAAAAGTCCTTTTTTCCAAAATAAAAAGATCTCGCCAATGAGATACAATAATCATTGCCTTTAAAGCAAATGAAATGTTAAAGATTCAACATTAACATGCTACAGGTTTTCTGTATTCTCAAGAGTCAGCTTCTCTCCTATGAGTCACAGGAGAGCAGAAGTGTTTTAGAAGCTGCTGCTTCCTCCAGCCATTGCTGAAATGAAGGCTCTGAAGGAGGACAGAAGTGGAGGAGGCAGCGAGTCCCGTGAGCTACCCAGAGGCAGAGACCTCTTTGAGCCCCGCTTCAGTCTCCTTAGCACATCTGGCTCCAGCTCCCCCAGCCAACATAACCCTACAACCTGTAACACATGCAGACTCACTGCTCTTTAGAAAGCTTTGGGGTTCATATYCCCAAACCAAGAGATTTTCTATAGCACAGCTTCTAGAACAGACCGTTTTTAAAGTATCTGKGGGGTGAAGTGGGTAGGATCTCAAGCATCAAGAAAAACTAAATCACATTTTTGAAGAGAAAAAGATTAAAATTATTATTGAAAGTACATTTTCTATTTTTTTAATCAAATAAGAGTTTGATCCACAAAAGATCYGCAGCCCAGAGGCAATTCTCACTACTTCCTAAATCCTCATCACTGACTGTATGTTCAGCTCACTGGTCTTTAATCACTCATGTGAAACTCAACTGCGTCTCCAAGACATCCTGCTACAGGAAGAGACTTTTTTAAACCCAAACAAAATATCATACAAAAAACAAGGCATCTGAAGAGTAGAACTGCTTCAGCAGGATGCTGGGTCAACAGAGCTCCTGGCACTGCCTGGTAAAGGTGGTTTGCCCTGTACAAGCGGGGATTAACAGGTACAGTATTTTCTGATTCGCCTAAAAAAAGGTTTCTAACTGTACAAATTCTGAATTCACACAGATAATGACTGAGGCTTTTAACTAGCTCTTGGTATTTTTTTTAAAGACTTTCAGTCCATATTTAAACAGAAAGCAACACTTCTCGTTCAAATAATTCACTRAAGACTTTGCACTGGGATTAATGGGAAAGTAATTAAAACGGATACATTTTAACTATGAGGAAGGCACAAGCTAGTTTTCAATGCTGAGAATTAAGAATATCCGTCGCTGATAATGCACTGCACCAGTATTAGGAGCATGAATAATTTACAATTACAGATATGTTAATACAAAGTGAAGAAAATGTCCCAGAGACTCAGTAAGAGGAAAATAGTATTCCTAGTTCATACACACAAGCTCTTCTGCYTTCTGAAACACTGATAAGGTATTAAAGTCACTTTTCAAATCAGGATCTTGCTGTATTAACTACATTTATCTAAGATTCTTATAACCATTAAGAAATTAATTTCTGATCTTTTCAAAAACRTATGGTTTATACAGTGTTTTTAGAATTATAAACAAACTTGCAACACACCCATTTGACAGAACTACCATGACTGGATCATACATGATTAAGGAAAATTATATTCATATCATGAAATACCCTTCACTAAAGCGAAGGGCTGAAAGTAGCCAGATTTCACACRAATAAAAGCTCTTCTCTGCTCACATGCAGATCAGATGTTTTGAGCTAGACAGATCTGGCAATTTAGAGGCAGTAACRGGATCAGTTACAGCAAAGCATGAGCTGAATACAGATCAAGGACGTGCTGGTGCAAAGATGACTACACGCTGGAATATACGTTGAAGTTTAGAACCAGAAGACAGAAAAAAATTCACTCTGATCTCCTCAGGCCAGGCAAGTTCTCAGCTTAACTACTAAGTGCTCAGTTTTGAATTACACATGCCAAAAACACGTTAAAYTTGGAGCAAGAATAGGCTAGGTAACTTGTCAGAATCCAAACAAGACCTATTTTTCTGCAGCATCAATATACAGAAACACAARACTCATCTGTGGGGACCTGTATTATGCAGGATAAAGCATTTGGACTTATTTTAAGCCACATAATTCACCTTCACCCACAAAGCAACAGACTTCTACTGCTCAGCACTCGCAAGCAAAAGCAAAGCCCAGTGGAAATACCTCACTCATGGCAGATTTCTGACGGATTGCTTCTCCCAGGGAGACGCCRCTGGTGACCGACACCTGGGTGCCACTGCTGCTCTGGCTCAGGAATTCCTCCATCCAGCTCGGATGCGGCGGAGTTGTGGCAATAGGCTACAACAAGCAAACAAAGCAAGTTGTTAATGCAGAAGATGAAGTCTCTGGATAGTTCAACATATAGATAGATTTAGGTAAGGGACAACATAGTATATATAATACTCAGGCATACCCATCTATTTCAATATACTTCYGCAATGACCTATATCCCACCCAGACACGCATTTGATTAAAAGATGTAGATTCATTTGCTATTTTATACCATAAAATAACAGTAATGATAATTTTCTACACAGTACTCATGCACACTTTGAAAGTGAGAAATCTAATTCTCATTCCTTACCTCCTTCCATCCTATTTACATGGAGCACTGAGCAAGTTGCAGAACACGAACCAGAAAGACTCACCTTCCTCCTCAAAATCACTTCCTGGCATTTGTCCTGCCTGGGATATTAACAGCTGTTGACATTTTTAATAGTCAGTTATTTTAGTTACTTTTTAATATTTATGTTTCAAAACAAATAAGCTATATCAATGTTATAAAAACAGCATAAAGAGACAGCCCACTGAAACATCTTAAAGCAGCTAAAAGTTAATTTCTGCATGATAATTTAGCAATATCTGACATACTTTGAGGGTGTGAATTCAAGGTAAATTGYACATGTGCCTAGAAAAGCAGCTGTAACATCTATTCCCCCACAAGGTACCAGGGAAAGCATTTCTACATTCAGAAGGAAATTTCTCTTCCATGTATCCCACGCCTGAGGTCACTGCAACTGCTACAGCCTTTTTCAAACAAGCAAGATAGCCGGCTCCAAACTTAACATGTGCGAGTGCAAAAATAGGCACTTCTGCAATACCAGGGTTCAGAGAAAACAAACATGCTCTAGGCTGTAAAGTTAAACAACAAYAAAAAAAATAAGAAAACAAGGCAAAAAAAGGCAAGCTAAACCTTTCCAGGCACAGGAAGGTGTTATGCTAGTCAGCAGCAGCACTGGAGGGAGTYGGCGAATATTAATGCTGCAATTTCACATGAAGCTTCAACCAGAAAACAGGTCAAAAATCCCCCCACATCTTTATCACCCTCCTCCCTCCTTTCATCCTCTTCCTTAGGGCACCTCCTGTTCTAACGTAGTAATAACCAAAAAAGCCCTATTGTCCCTGGCATTAGTGATTACACCAGTAAAAGGRGGGTCTGGAGACCAGACAGAGGCAGCCCAAGGCAGGGAGCAGAGGAAGCTTCGCATCCCTCAGGTCTCCACATCGCTGCTCCCTGCGGTACCGGCTGCCATAGGAATCACAACAGGTCTTAACGTGCACAAGCCACATGCGAGGRGCAGAAGAGTCACAGATCAGTTGGTTTTATCTTATCAGCTTCCCCAAAGCCTTCTACTTCGAATATGAATAATAATAGTCAGGTGTGTGCCATAAAAAGTCCTGAAGCGAMAACTGTTCTCTTTTTATGGTTATTTCTGATAAACCAGAGTAATGCGAATTTGGAAATTCTACTCAGCAGTGCAGATGGACACTGATCAGATACGCAGCGTGCAYGAGGAAAACCAAACTGCAAGAGCCTTCCTGGAGACATCGACTACACTCCAGGATAGGAGAGCGGCCATAAATACAGTTWAAAATTCCAGCACACAGATTTGCTTCAATGTAAAAATAAACATGCCAAATTCATGACGCGGGGATTGTGGCTTTAGAAGCGAGTATTACTACAGAAACAGCTAAATTGACACCCAAGTTTCATTTCGTTCTTCTTATGCTGTAAACAGCTGATAAGGAGGTGAATAAAACCTTGAATTTTTATTTCATGTATTTATTATTTACATGACTGACAGTACATATTAGGACCTGAGTGAACTGAATCTTGTCTGCTTATGCAGTCTCAGCTGAACGTGATTTTTTTTTTTTAACATAAAACACATAGCATTTTAAAACTATCCATAAAAAATGTTATATATAAATCTTTACTTATATGGTACATTCCCGAGAAGCTACCAATTTTGCCACAAAGACAGCAGGGAGAAGCTATGGAAGAACCTTCCAACTTAAAGTCACTTGGTCAAGATACCTCAAACAACACCAAAATACCATCCAATGGGTAATTTGGGACGTACATACTGCGAGTTTGGGTCTTCCATCTAATTCCCACTTACYTGACATTCATTACATAAAAGCTTCCAGCAAGTGACATACTTCCATCCTTACCAAGCTAGGGGGCACACAAAGCTGAAGACAGAGAAAACTTCTCTTGCCTTTGAAGAGTATTTAACTCAGGGAAATGCCAAGATTCACTGACAAAACAGCCATGGCCTCTGGTTAGCGTCAACCCCTATTTTGCCTCTGAAGAAAGGGTAATGTTTAACTCTCCTTCCCTCTCAAAGTGAAGTGAACTGCAGTTTAAGACGGGGATTACTCTTTCGGACTGCCTGATTGTTTTCACCCCTTAAATGGCTCCTTTAAAGTAAAAAAGTCAGCGGTTCAAATGCCTGGTTTCAACCAGGACAAGTCACCGGGACCGCACCTCCGCCCTTTTCCCAGTGCTGCCAAATCCCCAGCTCTGAGCACTAAGCTCACAAATTTTAGCTCTCGGAAGAACAACAATTGTCAAAATTTCAGCACAGTTTGCCATGCTCAACTCTTCCACAAAATAGTGCCACCGAAATAAACACATGACGTAGCCTTCCTTTGCTTCTGAACAAGCGTGGGCGTGCAACACAGGGCTGTCTCTGAATATAGCCATTCCCAAGTTGTTGACTGGAGCCAGTTGAACAGCACATTACTTGCAGAAGGCTTAAAGTGTCATTTAAGACCTACACATTGCTACCTACTGCTTCGGTACAGAACAGTGTTCTAAAGAAAATCGTTTTGAATGGCAAGAATAACTTTAAGTTTAAACAAACCGCAGCGCTCAACAAAGTTATTACTGTTGAGCAGGATTTGCGTTGCACGTCGCTGTGCCTCTTTGAATGCCTACAGTAAGGATGGAAATTGCTCAAGAGCATCACTGTGCTGCATGTAAAATGGTCTTGCTAATGGGCAACTTAACACCTGTAACATGAGAAATAAATCAGACCAAGAAGTAGAAACACAGAATGAACCTAAATCCCCTCAACTCTCAGAATATACGTGACCGTTTGTAAGTCACACACAGAAAACTAAAGCTCAGAAAGGTAAAACCAACTAAATGAAYGCAAAGGTTGCAACTTTGAGCACACACTGGTGTGTGGAGCCACCACCACAGTTTCCTTTTAGTCCAGATGCAGAAATACCAAGGAACTTGTCCTGGTTAATAACCCCTCACTGTCCCATGGAGGCCAGGAAAGAGGAGCAGGTGCTCTGCACTCCTCCAAATTAACTCCCAACACAAAAACAGTTTGCCTGGGCTYTGCAGAGGGGCTACAGGTAACCACACTAGTCTGCATGAATACATATCCAATCACTTGTGCATTCCCCTAGCTCTTCTTGTTCATACTAATCAAGTCATTAAAAGAAGCAGCACTGAAGCGTATGCGACAATAGCTCTGAATGCAAAACATTCCTGCAGCTATTTGGCAATTTAATTAAGGTCTTTTATTTAAAATTTGGTTTGACAATATGCATCTTCAGCAAAGGGCAATTTTATTAATCCAACTGGAAATTAATAGTGTTTGGTAAGAGACCCATACTGTCCTTAGGAAACTGAATTCCAAAAAAACAGGCATTGATATTATTTAGATACGTTAAGCACAGCTAATTAAGTGGATATTCTAGAGGATATTATAATAGATGAGTAATGAGAGCATTAAAGATGCGCACAATGAACAAAAGATTAAACAACTGAGCTGTGCATGTTATTCTTCATTCTCCCCTTCAGAATGACCTTCCTTAGCCTACGGTGAGCAATTCCTCTCCAAATTATATTATTCATAGACCAACTAGCCACTGAAATAAAATCCCTTTTTTTTAATATTCAAATTGTTGCATCGCCGACTTCCTTCACCATGCCCATGGATGGGCAAAAGGAACCATTTCTAGAATCCTGCCATTCTAGAATCCTGCCGTTCTACATCTCTGCCTTTTTTCCCCTCATTCTGTTAAAAAAATATAACAAAAAAAGACTCTAAAGCAACTGAAGTCACCAAGATTCTTCTTTATAGAGATAATTTACATCTTGATGCAAATATGGATAAAATAAGGTTATTGAAGAATAGACCACAACTGAGCCACCACTTTGTGGAAAATTCTCCCCAAAAATGCCTTTAGCATTTATTTTTCCAAATATATTAATTTTATATCAGAATTTAGGCCAGTTTTATTTGGGGAAAATGTCACATGTGTATGATGTATCCCACCACCCCAACTCCAGAGAAGCTCACCTAGCAAATGCTCAGCAAACACAGCCACTCCAGAAACACTATTCGAATAGTTTAACTACTGCCCACCACCATGAGAACCACGTTCAGTTTAATCAAGAGTTATCAGAGCTCTTCTATTGAAAGGTATAGTAATAGATTTCATAAAATCTCCTTCTTTTCACCCTCAAATAGGAAATATCACTTGCTGAAGTCAATTTACTTTTCTGCACAAGTAGGAATTTCCTCGTAGCAGCACATTCTGTTTCATTATTTTGTTTTTAATCCTCATACCAGAGCAATACTCCATCAGCAGMACAGTGCAGGAGATCTGCCACATATTAGCACTGTGTGTGCCAGCAGCTACAAGTAAAAAATAAATTATGATTTACTAAATGAGTATAATCATCTCCAAGGGCTCCAGCATGTTTAAGTTCAAATGAAGAAAATTTTTAAAGGCTTTTACTCCTGAAATTCAACAAGTCAAATGGTAGCCYTCACTGCTAAATATATAATGAGAAGAAAAGATAAGAAAATAGAGTTGCACAGCTGTGATTATACCTACCATGTAAAGTTAATGGTCCTGTGGTGGAGAGTAATAGCCTCAGTTAAGAATGCCAAGCAGAAGTTATTTCGTGGAAGGAAATATGGTAGTAGGAAAGGTTGCATATACACATACACCTTTCTCTCCAGACTTTCTTCTGACCCACAGATCACTGAAAATACTCTAGTAGAAACATTATAAGAATTCTGGTTGAAATACTCAACACACAACAGCCACACAGGAAAAACAAATAACTAAAGATACAGGAAGGAAAACTTCCCAGACTRCAAACAAACATCAGAAATACTATAATTTCTCCCAAACACTGTATTTCATGTCTTTCCTAAACACACACAGTGGCGCATCCAATAGAGGAAATGATACACACATTCCCAACATCCAGGATAAATTGTTCTGTTGTGATGACGCCCCATTTCCCTCCACATAAACACAATGAATCAGAGAATAACCTCACCCTCCCCTTTAATTCTTTTGTGCATTGTGCATGTCCTTTCTTCTTCCCCAAAACCCTCCTTAATAAACTAGAACACAAATGCTCCCTTATAAAACATATTCTAAGTCTCCTAATAGTCCAAGGGGGGAGTACATCAAGTTCTCAACAAATTGGAGATATTCCAATTTAATGGATTTATAAATTCATAGATTTGCTAATTTATGAGCCCCCAAACTGGAGGAGTTAGTCTTGGTGCAGATTAATCACTGCAAACTTATCTTCCTTAGACTTCACTCTGCTCGTTTCAGCCTTCCCCCCTTCCATTTTGTCAAGATCAGTCTCAATTTCCAATACCATCTTCCACAGCATTTGTCAGTTTTACCAGCTTAGCATTATTTACTTATTTTCTCTACCATTACTCAATTCATCACTTCATTTACTTATTCTCGCCACCATCAATGAAAATGTCGACCACTACAAGCTAGGAAACAAAGAACTGTACCTGAAATGCCGTCTAGATTTGCTGCATATTTCCTTAGTTTATTCCAATCAGCATATTCCCAATTTTGAAAATCCCACACATGTCAAGATGCAATTATACCTCCTCTCCTTTACCTTCTAGCTAACCTACCATCTCAAATAGGATAATTAAATAGGCTTGAAATTAATTGTTCTTAAAGTCACACTGGGGTGTTTTCTTAATTTATTTGAAGTGGTTACAAATAGTTTGCCCTTAAATTTTGCAGTTTTTGTACTTCTAGTTACTAGTAAATGATAAAGTAACATGCACTAGAAGAACACAATTAATGAACACATCAACAGAACTTTTATATTTCAGAGAAATGTGAATTTGACCATTTATCTGTATACACAATTAGCTTTTAAATGCAGGTAAGGTCCCACTCTGTAAAATCCAGGCACATCTACCACACTGGTGGACCCAAAGCACATATGACTAATTCTATCACTGGAAGATTCTCAGAGCTGTACAAATTACCAAAAGAAAAAAACACTGTTCACATTTTCCATTTAGCTTGTGTTCAAATTTTATGTCACAGTGACTTTAAAGAGCTGTCAGTGAAAATTTATCWCAACTGACACCTGAATTGAACTTTCAAGACTCTACCAGGGCTTCCTGCCTAGTCTGAGAAACCTTCCAAGCAGAAGACAGCGAAGGCCCAAGCTCTGGGGTGACCTGTAACACCAGTGCAGTGCAAGACTTGTGCCACTTGGAGTCAGCAACCCACTGCTGCAGGACAAGGTCCTTCCAACTGTGGGGCCCTGCCTGGCAAATGAACACAGAAACAAGCACGTGTTTTACTAYGTGAAAAATCAACTGTTTGATGTTCAAGAACACGATGTAAGAAAACAATGTCTCACTTGATCACAGGAAAAAGTCTTAAATGGAGGAGGGTTTTGGCTAGAAGCTCAAAGTCCCTGCTTACAAGTTTTATTAAAACCATTAGTATAGGATAGTAAAACCATTAGTAAAACCATTCAGCTCCTGAACTTAAGATTTCTACTGTCTGCAAATGGTTCAGCCCCAGAAGATCATTYATGAACTGGCCTATTGTCATTCAGGTTTCAAAAAAATATCCAAACATACATAACAATGATTTCCAATGACTTGGCACTATCAGGTATTAGCAGGTACAGATTAAATATTTTTWAAAAAATTTAATTTAATTTTTTTAAATATTTAATAAATATTTTAAAAGTGCTGATGTCCTAGCAGTTCCTTTTCCTTTCTCCACACTGCACAAAGTCTACAGTCAACAAGATTATCCACTATGTAATTTCTGAAGTGTTTACACTGCCTTTATGCAATGCACAACAAGCTCTTTAATAGTCATAAGGGATCAGAACCAGTGTAATAGATCTCAAATAAACCCACAGCAGATTTGCAGCAAAGCAACTTGTCAGGTTTGGCCTTGAAGTATTTTGGGGAAAAAAAAAAAAAAAAAACACCACACACACATATCCTTAAACAATTTACACTGACACCACAAAGACTGAGCATCATTCTTGCAGAGCAAGAATCTTTGCATCTCTGAAAGATTCTGAACAACAGTAGCTTCCACAATCGATACTATAACATCATTGTTATTCCAGTAGAAATTGTTTTATGCAGTATCCTAAAAGGACAGTTGGAATAATTATCTTTTTTTGATCTGCAGCACATCTGCCTAGACTTTGCCTAGTTTCCTAGGGACACAGAGCATGCAAGATGGACAAAAAGCAAACTTTCCAATTCTGTGCATAGTCAGGCCTCAATGTAGTCACTCTATGGCAATCTCAGCACCAATTCATGCTTGTAAAAGAAGTTTTATTCATACAGTCATACAATAGCTTATGTAGGAAGAGATCTCTGGAGGTGCTCAGGCTCCTTTTTGAAGGGCTGCTTCCTAGGCTGGCTGTCCCCAGACAGTATTGATGCACAAGGATGTTATCTCAGGTAGAAGGACTCTGCTTCTCACACTGCTAAACTCCATGAGAATTCTCTTGGCCAACTCCTCCAGCTTGTCAAGTTCCCTCTGATTTAGTCCCATCCTCCAGTATATCATCCACTCCATCCAAACTGGTGTCATCCACAAACTTAATGAGATGGCATCCAGTTCATCTCTTGGGTCATCAATGGTGACATTACATAGCATGAGCCCAACCACAGAGCCCTGAACACCACCAGTTAGATTCTCCATCATCTTGCATCCACCTAGTCAGTCCCAGTCTCCTCCCTTTGACAACAAGGGAGATCATGAAGACAATCTGAGTGAACTCAGGGTAAATGACATCCATCGATCATCAGACAGCTCCCTCACCACCTTTAGTTATACACCATCCAGTCCTTTCTATTTCTGTATGTCCAGCTTACTTGAATAATAACTATCTTGAGTCTCTTGAGCCTCTTCTATCACAGGCACCACCTCTTACTCTCAAGCTCTRCTCCTATGCAGAGAGACTAGGCAAAGAAGATTTACGTGAAACTACGGTCTAAGCCCATGTCTTCAGCACTGAACATGATTAGTTTTGAATTAAGAGAAAAAAAAATGAATTTCTAGTTATAAGTACATAGTAAAGCCCCAATATCTGCTAATACTACTATAATCATTTCAGCAACCTAACAACAGAGAGTCAAAGCTATCGACTTTCGTCTGAGAATCAAACTCTTCTCGACTTATTCCAGATAAAGAAAAAAAAAATGCTGTAAGAACCCACCTGAGATTTCAGAACAGCTTGCTTCACACATGGTAGCTAAGCCATGTTATTTTCATTCTTGTGCAAAAATCCTTTAATTCCTTGCTGTCCAAATCTTAAATCCACTATGAACATATAATAGTTCCCAGAGGGATATTTCTATGTAATGAGATAGTCAACTTCTTCAATGTCTGCAAAATCTGTAACTTGTATCCTACTGTCTGTCCTCCAAATTGTATGCAAACATTCATCCTTTTATCTTTCCAACATTAAATTAGTATTAAAATAAGTTACCTCTGTCAGATGTACCTTAGTTTGATGTTTAGCTTTAAAAAAAAAAAAGAGAGAGAAAGAAAAAGCTCTATTGATGATGGTCCTTCTGGAACACACCCATCAATGCACAGTGTTATCCTAAGAATAAGGACCAAAAGGAACAGACTACAGGATCTTTTCTGTAGATATTTACATGGTTAAATATACAACCAAAAATTTCCATGACAGGGCTTAAATCATCTTCATAATCAAACATAAACTAAAAGGGGAAACAAATCATTTTCATGGATTAAAAACAGTGSAAGTAATTACCACACTGCTATAGTAGAAAAATTCTTCCAGCTGTTACAACCTGATGCCATAAACTCATAATATCTTTAAAATAGCAAACACTGCTATTTTAGGTCCTAGATCAGGAAGATGAAGTTTAGCCCACATCAGTGAGCAAAAATTTAGAATAAAAGTTGAATGAGTGATTTTTAAATCAACTTTAGCCCTTGTTCACTGCATAATCGCACTGGCAGTGGGGAAATACGTGCTGGAACACTTGACMAAAAAACAGACTTAAGTATCAACAAGTAACCAAATCACAGCAGAACAGGTCATTTCTTCTGAGAGGAGATGAAGATTTTGCTGATTCATGGAGCACTCTTGAAACTACAGCTTTCCACGCTACACCTAACACAAATACAGGTTTTCAGCATTAATATCTCTTTATCAACTGAAACTATTGCAAGAGAATAATCTCTTGCAACAGAAAYACCCAAGTGAAGTATAGCAGCAGCCATCTGGCCTGTCTATAGGCACCTGCATCCCCTTGCCCCAGAAGGGCGGCACTAGGCCGGCAACAAGCTCGGATCATTTCCACCTGGTATTCCCAGATCCATGCTGGGGTTGTCAGAGCAGCAATTAAACCACAGTACAAAACAAGGGCAGGGAGCCAAGCTGCAGCACTGGAAAACCAAGAGAAGAATGAAGCCCCAAAACAGAGTATGATAAAMTGATCTACAACAAACACCACAAGGATGCAAAGCTGAAGGCAAGTTCACCAGTCTACAATATCACATACAACTTAGCATCATAAAGTTMACTACAGAACTTAAYGGTCTCTCTAAATCAACATGCTGATAAACCCCAACTCTATAAAACACACATCTGTGCAGGTACCTTCCCTTCTAGTCTACTGCTACTTAGTTTTCCTGAATACTTTTCAAAGATCCTTCACCAAARGGCTTTYRGAAACCCAATTAGACAAAGCCATCTGAAGCCCCTTAGTCACACACTTGTTGAAGCTTAACTTTACCACACCATATTTATCCACTTGGCTGTTTATATTCTTTATTTTTATTATYACTATTATTTTTCCTGATAAAATAATACCAGTCTGTGGGTCTTCCCAGGAATCCTTTGTAAAAACTGCAGTGATATCTACCACAGGTCACCATTTTCCTGTGGCACCTTCAAATGCCTTCAAGGACTAGGGAGAAGGTCTGAATACAACCAGGTCCTTGCAGCCTATTACTTCTTGTTTGTGTATGGTTCTTCTGTATCTTCTAGTATACTTTCTTCTATACTCTTCCTAATACATAAATGTGGACACAAGATCCATAAGCACCTCCAGAGCCAAGATTCCAAAASCACCTTCTCATGTACCTATCACAAAGATGCCTTCCCATCACAAGGATGCCTTCCCATCAGTTTGGGAAAGTCAGGACTTGCTCAAGTCCTCCAGGTCCTTTGCACTTCTGGAAACCATTCCCTCCCCAGTAGGCCAGGTCAGACCACAGCCCAAGAAAGCAGCTCCCCAAAGCTCTCAACAAGGGGGTACTCAGGACAGCACAATACCCAAACGCGGGGCAGCAGCTGTTGTTGCACGAGATGCGACACCCTGATCCAGGGATCTCCTCTTCCGGGCCTCCCACCTTCCAACACCAGCACAGCAGGGCACRTGGAGCTGCACATGGGGCATGAAGGGCTCCATGGAGCCACTCCAACCAACTCCACGAGCTGCAATAGCCCAGGGCAGACAGTGCTCAGGCCTGGGGCACCCCACACCTTTCAAAGGCTGCAGAGRAGCCAGTCCGGGTGCACAACCCCCTCCTCCTCTGCAGGAACAGGGGGAATCACCAACTTTTTCCAGGGGGAAAATCAGGGAAGTCATAGCCTCTGTTCACAGGCCAGAAGGGAGAGGAGAGTGATGAGGGCAGTTAAAGCCCTTCTTTCGCCAGGACGGGACAAGCAGGCCGGCTGCACCTTCCCCTGCCCGGGCACTGGAGAAATGTGGAGGAATGAGCAGGATACAGCGCCTTCCTGGGGCAAAACAAGAGGGAAAAGGGGGATGGGGGGGCAGGGCAGTGTCGCCGTCTCCCTTCCCGCGCAAGCAGATGGAGGGGCCGAGGCGGGCGGCTCAGGCTACCGCCCCCCAGCCCAATCCGCCCCGCTGCCCGCACTCACCGGGACCGGGCCCTGCTCCTCCTCCGGCTCCATGGACGGGCGGGCGGCCCYCGCTCCGCGCGGCAGCCGCCTCAGGGCCACAAGCCCGCCCCGTCGTTAGGGACTCGCAGCGCGCCGCGCATGCGC